CGACAGAAGAGGTCAAGGTAGTATCGACGTTGCTGGTGACAGAGCCAGTAGCAGAACCCGAACCTGCGCTTGACTCTGGAGATGAAGTCGATGCGGTCTCAGATTTAATTGTGGTAGAGCCAGTAGTCGTGTCCAAAGCGGCGCTGGACTCAACTGATGAGGCTGAAACGGTATCGGTGGTAGTTGGGTTTACAGTGGTCAGGTCGGTAGTCGTCGTGTCAGCAGCGGCTGTAGCCGACTTGGCACCAATCGCATCTGTTGAAGCTGTGTCGGCATTGGATAGTGTAGATGTTGAAACATCATGTGCTGTCACTGCAGTTGATGGAAAGTGGGTGTCGCCGCCGGCAGAGCTGAGAGATGTCTCTGAAGCAAGTCCTGATGAAGTGCCAGAAGTGAGTGTAATCTCAATGGTCGATGAAGTCTCAGACAATGAGACACTTCCAATGATAGAGGTTGTCTCTGACTTAGATGCAGTAGATGCCTCAGAGGATGCTGTCTCGGAAGCAACCGTGGTACCATGGGTAGAGGTTCCACTCGCAGTCAAGATCGGGGCACCAATACCACCCTGGGGCTGTCTTGGCTTGCATGCCGACGATCTCTTGACAAGCGGGTTGACTTGAGGAGTGAACGACGTAGAACCGCCGGGAGCAACAGGAACGTTGCCGTTCAAAGGAGTGTCATGAAGGGAATCAAAACGAGTGGAATGGCTGGAGGAAGAATCAACGAAAGCAGGGACAACTGAACCTTCTTTTGCAAGACTGCTCCCACAGACAAGCGGGAGCAGTAGCCAGGCAGACAATCTGGCCATGTTGAGCCGTGATTCAAACGCAACAGCACGAAGGTTACGGACGCGGGGGAGGGACAAAAGTACGTGGTCGGACCTTGTATTCTACAGGGGCTACATACACTGATATAACATCCCGTCTCTTATCTGATATCAGCCGCAGAGGCCACCAGCTTCTCGGTTATGAAAAGCCATGGGTTTCGCCCAGTCTAGAAGTACTCGGCTCGCCCGTCAGACTAAGTAGTCTTGGGCATGGCAAAGACCTCATCCTAAGTGACAGAAATATTCAGAATAGTTTAGGATATCTTAGAGTAGCTTATGATGAGCGTAGTGGACTCCTTGATCAGTTTATTTTGGCCCCTAATCTAGAGTCTTACGACACCCTGAGAATAGTGCTGGCCAACAAGCAGCTGAACATGACATTCAAGAAACTATCGATTTCGCACAAAGGCTAGAGAATAAACGACACAAAACGGTCGAATAAAATGTTCAAATCAGTCCAGGGGACTCGGCCGTGACGGAAGATAGCGCCGGAAGAATTATTTGGAGACGGTGAAATATACCCTTTCGGGAATAGAGGCAAGGTGTAGTGGGACGACCCTAGATTTCATCTCGTCTTTTAGCTGAACGGTAGGTCTGGGCCTGGACTAGAGACCAATGAGAGTGTATTAGTGACGACATTCTGAGCTATCCAGACTGCCGGGAGTTTGGACCGTTGCCAAGAAGGTTTTTCTTGTGGGACGAGGACGATATCACGATAAGGTTCCAAATGGTTGAACCCCTTTTTTATGTCTGAGTTTATATAGAGTTTGTAATTAATATGTATAGTTACACTTTATAATGTTCTATGATGACAGTTTAAATAAATCATTTCAACCCCCACAAACTCAAAGTGTCACGATCCTGATCTCGCAATCCCACAACGATTCATAAAGTTCGAGTCCAGCACCACGTCAGCCCATCATCATTTCCAAAATTACAGGGGTAAGCCATCAAGCAGATTCACTATCGAATTTCCCAGCCACGAATGGAGAAGGCCCCGAAACGATTCCCCATTCTGGACGTTCTAAACTCGATTTCACGAGCTAGTCAGCGGGAAGAAAGCTTATATCAGGAATAGTCTCACCATTCGCGACCGCCACCGCCACAGGCTAATGATTTTGACAGAAGCGACACGTGGACCGCACACTACGCTTATCGGTGTTTCCAGGTAAGTGGGATGGGAGTTTTAGATCCGGTGCAGGGAATACCCCTGACTTAGATTCAGCTTGAGTCAGTCATGTGTGACAGTTCGCCTTTTTTTAGTCGTTTTCCTGTGAGAAAAATATGCTTCTGTTTGTGGCTTGCCGATGCTTGTTACCGACAGCTTTCAACTTTTCAAGGCTGCGTGGTCTTTATTGGCTTGGATGAATGTTCTGGGCCTTTCTGGGGAAGAATAATCAAGACTTTCTCCGGAAACTTCAGGAAATATCATTCTCAAGAACCATAAACCTGGTAAATTCTAATTATCAATCAAATGTTCTAGTAAACTTAGGCGAGTCCGTGATCGGAGGAAACTCTTTCTTTCTAAGGTAGATATAGATACGCGTATCTAATATGGTTATCTGACCACCCTAGATAGGATAGATGTAGAACTTGTTCTCGAGATCAGTCAAATCCAAAAGCGCAATCTCGACCTTTCTTCGAACAATCTGGCCATTCTCATCCAACTGCTCAACCTCACCAAACTCATGTGCAAGTCTCTCCTCCTCGCTCAAACCAGCCGCCCACTCCTTGCGCTCCTTATTCCTCTTCTTGAGAATGAACTGAATGACGAACAAAATCGCCGGGGTTCCTACCCAGCTGATAAGAATCATAGAAATCCAGGCACCATAATATCTGGGGGCATCCTTTGGAACCCAGATTTGCGGTGAAATCAAGTTTGCAACACTGTAGCCGATCATGAACATGACATTTCGCGTGAGTTTCTTGGTGTAACCCGCGGCACTCGATGTTGCCCAGCCCAGGGCAATGATGTAAGTATTTCCGTAGGTATGGCCTGCGAGGAGGAGACAAGCAAGCATGCCGAGTTTCTCGTTCCAGTTGATGGCGACCATTCCGATACCACCAGCAACAGCAGGTATACACCAGACAAGACCGTGGAGGGCGAGGTTGGAAGGCCACCACTTCAGTGCAAAAGTTCCAGCAAGACAAATTGCAACTCCAAAGCCACCGCCAGCTGCAGCAACAAGTGTCGAGCCCAGAGCATCGACGCCGAGAGCTGTAGTAATGAGATTTTGTTGTCCGTATGTCAAATTGTTGGACATCATAAGGGTGAAAGCTTGGAGGGCAAACAACCACGAAACTGGATCGCGAAGTGTCTCCTGAAATTGGGTCTTCTTGAACTGCTTCTGTTCGATGGAACTCTGACTCGACTCGTGTACTCTCTTGATGGAGTGAACTTTTTCTTCCAGCGTCAAAAATCTAGCCTCAGCAGGATTGTTTGGGTAGAAGAACCAAACGAACACAGATAACACGACGGAAAGACCTCCAGTAACGATCATGAAAAGCTTCCATGGTAGGACTGCACTATGACTCCAGAGAAGACCGTAGGAGATGAAAGCAGCGCAGACTGGTGCCAAAGCTGATGTGACCCAGAGGAAAGGTTGAAGAAAGGACTGCTCGTGTCGGTTGAAGAACATGCCAATTGTCATCTCCATTGCTGGCACGACTACTGATTCGGCAGCACCGAGAGCTATGCGAAGAACAACAAGACCGGCGTACTTGGTCGCAACGCAGTGAAGAAGGATAGTAGCTCCCCACATGAAGACCAATCCGGCAACGAATTTGCCAAAGGGAAGTCTCTGCATGAGATAGTGGCCAGGCCATTGTGCAGCAAGGTATCCTATGATATTGTGAGACGGGTCCTGACCTGAAAAGGTGATAAAGGGCCTGTAACATACCGACATAGAAGAATGTTCCCAAATTGTTGTATTGTGCCTTGTTGATACCTGTTTCCTCGAAAAGACCGAGAATGGCAGCATATCCGAGAGTTGATTTGTCAATCTGCAGATTCGTCAGTAATTCTACCGTAGGGAACACTGGTGAGGTTTGAACATACGAATAGAAGCAAATTAATCGCTGATAATAGCCCCATCACGTGCCAGTAAAGCTTCCTTCGCAGCTTCTTCTCCTTCTCAGGCGTCAAAGGTCCAAACTGATCGCCATGCTCCTCAACGAGGCGCAACGTAACATCAGCATATTTCTCCGAGACAATAGCAGTCTCTCCCTCTTTCTCTCGGCTTTGAACCCCGGAAAGGTCTTTGGAATCATCTTTAACACCCATATCTGAGACGGAAAGATAAAGAAATGGGATGAAGTGCGGATACAGCCGAATGATCTACATGCGGGAAATGCTTGGCTTTATCTCAAACGACCATCAGATATGAGACCACTATCAAATCACATCAGATCGACTCCATACTACTAAATTGATTACACTGACTCACGAATCGCCCTTTTCGTGATGATTTGCACTTCATCGTTACGCTGACCTTTGTTGCGACAACGTGGGGAACGATTGCGTGCTGAGGTTATTGTGTAGCGATAGGTCGATTACCTGTTGATACGTCAAGGATTCGGATCCGAGCCGCTGGTAGTTGCACGATGCGCCGCATTAGATGCCGCAAAGCCGCAATTTTAACTGGAAAGGGAACGCCACACTTTTGAGGACTCACAGGTGCTCAGGTGCTCGTAGAACAATTTATGGCCCGTAAATACAGACTGCTTAGAAACATACCTTCATCCACATCATCCCATCACGATTCACTCTTCTCATCATAGGTGATGATACTTTCCGTTTCAATGTTAATAAATTATCAGTTGCAATCCCAACTCTCTTTGAGATGGTTCATGCAAGACTGCTCACATCTTCGGGCACAAGCCGACTTGCGAAATCCACTTTGCTTATGTGCCTAGTGAACTCTATTCCTGCGGCTCCGCGACATTGGAAACCGGTGCCGCACGCGATCCGACGAGTCAAATATTTCCCAATACGGTAATATTTCAGCCTGAGGCGAGTCTATTCACACCGAAGCTTACAAAGAGACCGCAAAGTATCATAAATCTATGCATAGATTAGGAATCATATGTTGAAACACTGTCCATCGAACCCGAATCAGATATTGCCCGTATACCGATACTAAGACTATATCTAGCCTGAGCATATTCCCGAAGATTAAAGAGTGAATAGTGTCGGGACTCTTCCGGTTCCTTCATACTCAGCAATAATCTTCTTATTGGCCCTTCGAAGAATAAACTTCAACAAGAAGCAAACACAGATTTCCAATACAGCAAACGCCAAAAGGAGAATCATCGCTCTAGTATACCTTGGCTCATCATTCGAGTCGAAGAAGTAAGGGCTCCAGATGGTTCCAAGCTGACCCGTGACATTGATGATAGCCGTTGCACAAGCCTTCTTCGTAGGTGTCTGACCAACTGAAGACGCAGCCCAACTGTATAAGGCTGCATTTGCTCCAAAGCAACCGCATATATACAAGAACGATGCAGCATACCGAGCTGGGATATTGATCGTCGCAGCACTGATAATGAAACCGACGATTGCGAAGAGAATCGCACCGCTTATGTGCCATCCTCTCTCAGCCTTGCGGTCACTGTGCCAAGCGATGAAGTATGAGATGAAAGCACCGAGAAGATATGGCGGTGCGGTGCAGACGAGAGTGATTGTTCGACTACCCAAGTTGAAGCCCCGTACTATGGCAGGATAAAAGTAGTTGAAACCGTAGGCAGACTGGTTAGATAGCAGCAAAAGAGCCTGTGCCATGGTTAGATGTTTTCGGAAGCATGGGGATTAAGAGCACTTACAAAAGCCCAGACTTTGATATCGGTGACAGCAAGTTTCAGGCCATGCAGCACAGACTGATCATGTTCTTCCTCAGACACAGCATCTCTGGCCATTCGAGTAACAGCTACCTCTTTCTCCTCCGCGGTGAAAAGCCAATCCTGACTCTTAGTAGCAGGGAAATCAGGAAGCATCAAAAACGCGACTAGTCCCAGCAAGAAAGTCGCAGCACCTTCGAGGATGAACAGCCATCGCCACCCCTGAAGTCCAGCTACACCTCCCAAGCCAGCAAAGATGCCTGCAGCCAATAGGCCAGATACTGCAGTTGCAAGAACAAGGCCAGAATACAGAAACGCATAGCGTAGTGCTAACTCTTTCTTGGTGTACCAGCAGGATAAAAGAAAGAAAACGCCTGGGAAGAAGGGTGCTTCGCAAATGCCGAGGAAAAAGCGGATGATGATCAAGTGGGTGAATGAATTACATGCAGCAGTGGCGGCAGATACGACGGACCATAGACAGACCCATGCTGGTATATAAATCGAAGGTCGAACGCGAGTGAGGATCATGTTGCTTGGAATTTGCATAAGCATGTATCTGCTCATTCGTTAGCGTACACTTCTGATAAGTCAGTGGTTGACTGACCCAACGTTGAGGATTGCCAAGGCAGTACTATAATCATTGCCACTCAATCCAAGATCCTTCTCCAATGAATCAAGCTTTGCTTGGCTAGCAACATATATCAGCACAGCCCCTAGAACACGTGAGAGGTTCTTACGCAATATTGTTCCTGTCTAAATAGTTGAATAGATAGAGGATGAAAACCATTGGCATCAGAGTCATATCAAGTTTGCGCACAAGACTCTTCTGTGCAGCATCATAGCTAGGATCGTTCACTTCGGAAGAGAAACCCTCCTCACGGTCGGTGTTCTTGGAGGGGGAGAGCTCGAGGGTCTCTTTACCATCAGCTGGGGCAAAGTTCGTCTCTGAGAGTTTGGTGGACATGATGTAGAAGGATTGATCGTAGAAATATATTGAGCATGTGTTTGAGGATATTGGCAGTTTCAAGGAGCCCAAGGCCCTGCTTTATATCTTTCTTGCTCCAGAAAGCTTACCGACAACGGATCTAGATAAGACTCCAGATATGGGGCCCCGGATGAGGAGCATGAATCGTGGGGTATCTCACATCGAATCTAGTAAGTTTTCGCATTTGTGAAACGCTATTGGCCCATATCTAGAAGCGAGGCCGTGAGGCTTTCCATGGAGAGTGGCGCAACACTAGCGGTTCAACGGAGGTGTACCTCCATTTGATACCTAGGCTTTGTGGCTGACTAGTATTCCCACTATCTTATAGCTACAAGTGGTGCTTTGATGTAAGGAGAACTCTAACCAAAGTGAAGTCGATCAATGCCTCTCCGTTCCGAGAACTTCCTGCCGAAGTGGACTCAATGGTTGTCTCATCGGTCAACAATGATGGTTCTAGATTGCTGCTCTTACCAGAGTTCCAGGCAACCTTTGCGGATACGTCCTCGACCACAGTTTTAGTTGTCGAGCCGCCTTTGGCGAGCGGGGTCAGGAACCTGAGGAGATTAAGGATGATTTATGGTTATCCTTTTCTCACAGGGCCTGACCACGTCCAGAAGACACACTGACGCAGTCTTTCTCCAATATTTCACGAGGACATCGATTGTTTCACGTATGATACTCTAATAAAGTTCTATATCAAGCTTATTGTTTTAATTAAGTCGTATATAATTGTTTTTCGAAGAGCTCTCGCATTCTCTTTCATAAAATCAATCGGACAGTAATCAATTTCATCATATTAATATGCTAAAAAAAACAATAATCAAGATTCTTACAGCTTGCTAGACTTCTCAGGAATAGCAGCGATAGCTTCCATCTCCACATGAGCGCCCTTTAAGGGAAGCTGAGCAACAGCCACGCAAGTTCGGCTCTGTCCGCCATTATCAGTATCAAGCCGACACCTAAAGCGAAAGACATATTTACTGGCTTGGGATCAGAAGTGAAAAACTCGAGGTAAGCTTTGTTAACCTCAGCATAGTGGTCCATATTCAATATAAAGATGGTGACTTTCAAAGCATTGTGAAAACTTGTTCCCGCTTTGTTCAGGATGGCGTCGAGGTTCTTGAGAGCACCTGCCTATTTGGAGGGTTAGGACACAGACTGGGCTCTTAGCTCGGGGAATATAAAAGAGGACATACGGTCTGATGATAAGGACCCTCAGCCAGTTGTCGAGTCTGGGGATCCATACCGAACGAACCTGAGCAGTAGACTGTTCCATCATGAATAATTGCTTGCGAGAGATGAGGACTGGGGGCAGGTGCATCAGTAGTCAGAACACCGGTTCGGAGAGGCATGATGAATGGTGTAAGAGTCAAAAGGTCTAGGTCTTAAACACGGTTATCTAAGATGGGACGGTATGTGTTTGAAGGTTGGGTCGATCCAAGATGGAAATGGTTACTTATAGTCCACTAGATAACAAATAAGCCCCCGATGTTCGGAGAGAGCTCGGGGAGGCATTTTCATTGAGTCCATACTAAAAACTCAACTTGAATGCATATGCCCAACAAGATGCCAGGATGAATCCGTGATAGACCTCCCCGCAGTCTCCACGTCAAAGAAGAATGGAGGTGGATCTCCGTGAGACTAATGCAAGCCAATGCCCAATCAAGTCTCGACGGACACCTCCCTCCATCGCTTCAGATGCCTTCTTTTTGACTACCAAGTGGCGTCCTTGAAATGGCTCCGACAATTGATGGAAACCCAATGCGACATTTAGGAAAGACTAGATATATACCAAGAGCCATGGCATGGACCCCGGAAACACTGATAAGACACCTCATACGAGCGAGGCATGCCATCGGCGTCTCCCGATGGTCAAAGAATAAATCTGCAACAATATCCTCTTTTTTAAGAGCACTCGCTAGCTCAGCCTACAAGTCATCGATCGCAACTGTCTTTATGTACTTAGTCCTACCATTGTCTACCACTACTCGCCAAAAATGTCTCGTCAAGGCGAAACTATTGCCATTGTTGGGTACGTGCAATACCATTCCTGTCTTGAATCCAATCAGCTTTCCTTTGGACAATCAACCTTGTTGAGAACAATGACTAAACTCTGGAACCATCAGCGCTGGAGTCATAGGACTATCCACAGCCCTTCGAGTCCAAGAACAAACTCTTTCGCAGAACAACCCACCATCCATAGTCATCGTCGCACGAGACTTTCCCAACGAGACATCCATAAACTATGCTACGCCATGGGCCGGCGCACATTATCGGCCATGCCCAGGGAATACTCCCCAACTACTTCAAGAAGCAGTATGGGCGAAGAAGACATACGATACTCTTGACAGTTGGTCTGAGAAAGACAAACTCGCCGCTGGTGTTGAATTCATGCCAGGAGAAGAGTTCTTCGAAAACCCAGCGCCTGAATATGTCGATGTTACCAAGGATGTATCCCAGTCGGTGTATGCTCACCTCGAATCGAGCTTTGAACTTTTCAGCGGCAGTGAATTGAGTGCTATGAGTGACTCCCTGCAACTGGGTTTTCGTTACCGGACATATTCTCTCAATAGTCCTTTATATGCTTCGTTTTTACAGCGCAGATTTCAGAATAGAGGAGGTCGCGTAAGACAGTACACACTTGCATCACTGGAAGAGGTCTTCTCGATTGAAGCCTCTGTCTCTGTTGTGATCAACTGCTCGGGCATGGGATTTGGTGATCCAAAAGCATTTCCCATCCGTGGTAAGTGATAAAACACCGACGAGCCTTTGAATTTTATTGCTAATCTTCTTTCAGGCCAGACATGCCTTGTGCGGAACCCAATTTCGAAGACCGTAACACGCCAGAACTCGGATGGCTCGTGGTCGTTCGCTATTCCTCGACCTTTAGAAGGCGGGACTATCATTGGAGGCACCAAAGAGCCCCATAATTGGAACCCTTATCCTTCAGCTGAGACACGACAGACTCTGCTGAACAATGCAGCAAAATGGTTTCCTTTCGACAGTGAAGGTTATCTATCTTCTAATACCAGGGACTCCGATCGTTTTGATGTCGTCAAAGACATCGTTGGTCGTCGACCAGCACGCGAAGGGGGCCTTCGCCTAGAACTGGAGCGCCTGGAGCCAGGTGTTGTCGTTCATGCGTATGGTGTTGGTGGTAGAGGTCTTGAGCTATCATGGGGCATCGCAGACGAGGTTGTTACTTTGCTTCACAAGCAGAGTTATTTCTTCTTACGAGCGCATTTGTAAAAATCCCAATTCTAATCAGAAGTCTGCTCCTTGACTTGCTGTATTGGAGGGTCAAGATTTTTGCGTCTTTTATGATATCATATCATTAGGCTGATCTCAATCACGAAGATGGATCCAAGTGCGACTAATTCAGTCAAAGGATAATAGAAATCTCATTACGCTCTGCTAATCCCAAATACAAGTCTAAATCTAAATATTACAAAATGATACTCTTATGAACACTGAGAAGGCATAGCCTGAGAAGTAAGGAACTGGACACCTGAAGCGGGACTTCCACCCAAGACAATGTCAAAGTAAGTGCTCTGCTCCTCAAACATGGTCTTCGCCTGGAAGCCAGTGTAGCCGCTGGACTTCTTGCCAGTAGCCTTGAAGTTGGTGATCGCCGTCTGGAATCTGGGGACGATAGAACCCTTGACGGGTTTCTTGTGAGCGACGCGAAGGGTCAGAGCGTCCTTGGCGCGGGCATCTCGAACCATGGCTGTAACGACGAGAGGAGCGTTGGGAAGCTTCTCAAGCACGGCACAGGATTGCTGAAGCTGGTAAAGGACGGTATCATCGACCTTGTAGCCGCCGGTCTTCTGGTTGTCGTGGGTGACGGTCGCCTTGGTGGAGGGCTTGACCTCCTGGATGAAGAACTTCGTGATACCGTTCTTAGCGTCCATGGTGGTGTCGAACTCGAAGTTGGCAAAGACTTCTCCAGCACCGGAAGATGTACCGCCCTGGAAGGTCACCTGCTGTGTAGGCACAGTGACCTTCTTGCCGTCTCGGCCAACGTATATGAGGTTGATAGCAAGGTCATTGTTATCACGAATGTTGTTTGTGATTCTGACTCGAACCGAGCCCGTGAAATGTATCTTGTTTTTGTTGTTAAGAGACAGCTCGGTGATGTAAGGGCGGATATCGTAAGCCTCGAGGACGGGAGTGAGCTGCACGCTCTTGGGCACGGTATCGATCATGCGGGTGAGGATGTCAGCACACATGCTGTTGAAACCAGCCTTGGTGGAGAGCTTCTTCATAGTAGCCTTGTCATTATCGAAGATTCGCTTATCAGAGTGGAAGGTGGCGTTCTTTGAAGCGACAAGAGGATTCTTGGACGTGCCGGCCAAGTACTCTGTGACGATGCCGTTATGGAAAGAAGAAACATCCTTCTGGAAAGGCACGTTGGTATCGTTGTTGGGATCAGCCTTGATGCCAACAATCTCAGGAAAGTCAACGCTATGCACGCCGCCAATAGCATGACCACAAGCAACCATAGTAGTCATCTCCTCCTTAGTAAAACCAGCCTTTGTGAAAGCAGCAAAGGTATCCTTTAGGTTTGTCGAAGGCTCGGGAACACCAGCTGGGCCAGCCTTGTATGCATCGATACGGCCAGCTCGGAAGGGAATCCTGGGGCCATTACAAGCTCCAACGGCGAGAACAGTTCCCAGGGCTGTGAGATCGGAAGCAGTAGCGCGGGGGTTGTGGAAGCCGCTGAAGAACCCGAAGGTATTGTTGAAGGCTTTCCCGGGGTTTTCGGGTCGTGAAGACTCCCAGTAGATGGACGCGTCCAAACCACCTGTTCCCGCTTTGGCATCGTGTGTAATGGCATCGTGGAAAGCTGTTCGGAGCCATTCGGCCGTGTTCTGGGTTCCGGGGACATTGCTCCCAAACTCGCAAGTTATTAAAGCTGCAAATTGTTAATGGATTTTATGGCATAAAAAGGTTTATTGCTTACCATCAGCGAAACCTCTCCTGTTGAATCCTCCTTGCATGTACAGAAGATCTTCGACCTCATCCCATTTTGAGGGCCAAACGAGCTGCGAAGCAGCACTGAATTGAACGAGCGCAAAAGCTAGAGTGGCTGAGCCTTTCATGATGGGCAGAATTGAACGAATGTGTTGGTATGCTACAAAACAAATGGCATGATGTCTCTCGCCATCTTATACTACATTTTCCTTCATAGTCAAAACCCACTATCCCAGCAGAACATGTTTCACTTATGGGGCAGAATTAGAGAATACGAGAACCCAGCTCTCTATTAGTGTAAACCCTATGCATAAATCGAGCCTAGAAAGTCCGTCAGGCATTCCGCGTGACTAGGAGCGAAGTCGAGACAGCGGGAGATACGAGCCTTACCCATGTGGAGTGCCCCAAAATTTCAGGGCTCGTAACAAACAGACCAATAGCGTTGATTTGATTTCAATGCAGATCCCCTGAAATTTGCAATTTACCCTCCAAGGCTAGAGCGTAGGACTAAATTTAGATGTCGGCAAGGCAATGCCGAACTCCACTAGGAAATTCTGGAAGATCGATTCGACCTGATGATCTATTGCGGCTACGCTTTGACTGGAATGCTAGGAACTATTGTAAAGCAATGCTATGCTAGTGTTTACCTATACTCGGTAGTTCAATGCTGGATATCCACTAGTTGAACCGTATAGCATATATCCGTTGGAGGAACATAGAGTTTGCTGGGACGGCTCGTAGACCCTTTCGTTCTATAATTAATTTTACGCTGAGCAAAGATAATCACGGCAGTTACTGATAGACGAGAGGTTATTTCCACTATATTGTAAGGCGCACCACTATACGAGATAGATCAAAAGTTCTTCGAGTCGCCATTATTGGGGCACTCTGGTGACAATCTTTCTTTTGCACCAGGGATGACCAAAGTCTTCGACGCTCAAGATTACTAGAGATGCGACTGGCATTGAGGTGTTCTGATAGGTATATCTGAATAATTGTACGAGCTTCACTTTCTCTCTACTGCTCTAATTTATTACTTTTTCTCAAACATTTCTTAGTCTTATTCTGAGGCCACTGACGCGCTTCAATCTCTGCTGTCAATATCAGTATTCAACAAGCTACCCTATGCACCTTGGTAGAATTCATGCTGAATGAATCAAATTGTGTCCTATAATAAAGATTATACTGCTATAGATATTCTATTACAGGCTCAGATTTAATTATAAATTTCAATTTGATGGTAGAAGCCGTTCAACATTAGGCTGGCTAGGGGAACGCAAGAAAACTTAAAGACTTCTATTTATAAGTAACAAAAAGGTTTAGGTAAACTTATTACAGACTTATTTAATCTTTAGAGTAGGTAATTCTGACATCCTAAGCTTAGGTCAGAAGTTTTCTTGCTCTTTGAGGACTGGTTATCTTACATAAAGATATTCTGATGCCATTATAATCACAGTTTTTTGGGGCTTTCATCAGAAAACAATGCTGCTATAGCATCCGAGACAATGCTTGTTCTAAGCGAAAAATGATCATGATTGTACCGACCAAGGTTCATCCAGGTTTATTTACTCTCTCCCTTGGCCCTTTCATCCCCCTCAGCTTCATCATTCGACCAGTCTCCCTCTGAATCATCATCCTGCACCTGCTCAATTCCCGGCGAACTCTTCGGATCATCCTCTTCCTCATCCTTCTCCTCCTCCTCCTCTTCATCATCGTCAACAAACTCTGGACCTCGCTCCTCCCATTTATCGTGATACGGATGAACCTCCTCTCTATAACGATAGCATTTGAAACACAACCCATACAAGAGCTCGCAACCGTTACAGAAGTATAACATGCCATAGACGTGCTGATAGGTTAGTAAAATGGGTACATTGAAGTCGGGGGACACTTACAAAGAGGCACAAGTCGCAGAACCATGTAGTTCGCGCTGCCTTCTTGGAAACATGGAACTTGGACTTCCAGTCGTCCTCCTTTTTCTTACTAGGACTTGCTGTTAATAACTCTATTACTTCCTGCGATGCGCCATGAAATCTGGCCATCTTGAGCGGCGACCATTCTCTGTCATCAGAGGTCCGACCTCGAACCGATGGGTCTGCTCCACGATCCAGAAGAAGTTTCACGATTTCGGGACTGATTTCCTTGGGCGTGCCCCAACTTTCACACACGCGACACGCCCAGAGCAGAGGCGTCCAACCATCGTCATCAGGCTCATTGATAGATATCATCCCGCTGGTATGAGAGAGCACCAATTCGACAAGATCAGATCTTCCGGTCGCTGCAGCAAAATGTAGCACTGTCAAGCCAGACTTGGTTTTCGTAGTGATGCCAAGACGTTCTTCATCATCGTCACTCGACTCGAGCAGTAGTCTGAAATGCTCAGCTGTTTTCAAGGCTGCGTAATGTATCGGCCGTCGCCCGTGGAGGTCTTGCCAGCCAATGTCAGCACCTTTCTTGAGTATGAGTTTGATCATGTCTATAGAACCACTCAGGATCGCTGCGTTCAACACCGATCCCATATTGCCGCCACGAACATTGACGTCGGCGCCAGCGTCATTGATTAGATGTCGGGCAATTATATCCTTATTCTCCGCAGAAGTATAATATTTCTCAAATAATCTCTGTAGTGGTGAGCCATACATCCAGGAGTTGGCAACATCGGGGCTAGCACCCTTCTCGACGAGCACTTTGACGATGTCAACGTTGCACTTCTCTGTTGCGATGTGCAGAGCAGTCCCATCCTCAGAAGCCACCGCGTTCAAGTCAACTTTTTGAGAAGAGAGCATTTGCACCAACGGAAGGTCTCCGTTCACGACGGCTCGTCCCAGGGGGGTATACTTTTCGTTGTTCCGGATCGTCAGACTAGCCCCACGATTTATCAAGCGTCTGACGACAGATAGATTTGCAGGATTAGGAAGACAGAAGATTGCAGACCCTCCCCATATGTCAACCGCGTCGATGTCTAGCTTATACTCTAGCAGGATCTTGACACTCTCTTCATTGTTGGTGGCCACGGCTAGGATCAGAGGTGTTCCACCTTTTGGAGTTCTTGCCTCAATGTCAGCACCCTTTTCCAACAACAGCCGGAGTAGCTCATTGTAGCCGCAAGATGCTGCGCAATGAAGAGGCGTATAGCCCGAGTCAATAAAGCCCCCATCGGGGCACCTGGTTTCAAGATCTGGTTTGTGTTCAAGAAGCAACTCAACCACCTTTGTCTGGTTAAAAAACGAGGCGAGGTAAAATGGCGTGCCATCTGGACTCGGTAAGTTGATGTCGGCTCCGGCATCGACAAGAACCTTCATGCAATCTGGGCGATGGTAACTCGAGTGGATTGCGGAGCGTCCTATGTCGTTAACGGCATTCATATCCGCCCCAGCATCAATGAACGTCTTGGCTATTGTCGGTTGACCTCCCATGACGGCGGACCTCAAAGGCGTGATTTCTTTGGGAGCAGCGTAGTTGACGCTGGCTCCCTTCTGTAGGAGAACTGTAACTATGTCTTTATACCCTGCTCTGGCAGCCGCCACGAGAGGCGTGCCATGATCTGGGGAATCGTCCAGCTGCACATCAACTTTGTGACCCTCTTCAAGCAGCATGTTCACTATCTCAAGATTATTCGCTCTTGTAGCGTGGATAAGAGCAGAATCGTCATCAAACTCTTTACACGTGCCGTGGTCAAGTAGCATACGGCAAATCTCAACGTGGCCCGATCGTGCCGCTATGCCCAATGCATGGAATGAGTGGATTTCTCTCAACTTTGAATTGATATCCAGGCCAGCATCAAGCACTGACTTGAGGCACTTTGGATAGGGAGCCCCTGAAATGGGAATCAGGGCAGGTCGAAGCTCCCTCACGTTGGCTGTGAGGACTTCTGTGTTCGCTCCAGCTTTGACGAGGGCTTGAAACACCACGTGATGGCCTCTGCCTCCTGCATACCATAGAGCGTTCCTGCCTTCATGATCCTGGGCTTCGACGAGTGCTGCTTTGGCTAGCCTGTCGATGATCTTCGCTCGGCCATACTTGCCAGCTACCACTATGGGCGGCGTATCTACCCAGTTGGGGTTGATGACAGCAGGGTCAGCTCCGTGCTCTATGAGGGTGTCGAGAATTGCAGGCTCGTCTCTGACGACGGCGCAGTGAAGAGGTGGCGAACAATCTGGATCTGTCGAGTTCGCGTCCGCTCCAGCTTGTAAGATGGTCTTTAAGTGCTCAGATGAACCGAGATAGGCCAGTCGCGAAGCAAGCGTGCCAGGCCACTTAGCTATGTGTAGATTTTCAGTGGCATACGCTAACAAGATACCCAGTGTTTTCAATTCTGCCGACCGTCCTGCGGCCATTATAGCTTCGAGGCAGATATCTGCATTTGCGCTTGACTTGTGGAGGAGTAACTTGACAACATCGCTATATCCGTATCTCGATGCCTCAATAAGCGCCTCGGAAACATCACGTTCGTCAGGTTCTTGGGACTGGACGTAGGCTTTAACCAAGTCCTCGTCGCCTATAGACGCTATTATTGGTAAATGTGACAGGAAAACTCGGTCAGACCTGATATGAGGACTCGAAAGGTACCATCTGGCTGCAGCCCAACGCCGGGGTGCGGTCTCGTCGTCGAAGAAACTTGCGGTGTTGAAAGATTCTAGCTTTGGAGATACTGATGCGTGACTTCGTTGGTAGTGAAGTGGCCATAATTCGACAGCATATGGTGTGATATCCGATGGGTATTCAAATATTCGTTGATCAGCAGGACATGTTCGGCAAGCTGCTAGGATCTTGTCTTGGGTAGAAGACAAGGTGAGATATCCAACACAAGCGTCGGTGATCTCTCGATGGCCTTCTTCCGAAGAGTTCCAAGAGTACCAAGGCTGGTTTCTGTCGGAAGCGTCATGACTAGTCGTCAAGAACTCCCGAGCAGCTGGATGACGAAATTGAACGTGACCATTCTCTAATATTATCATAGGTCCAAGACAGTTTTCAATATCCCACATGAGATCTCCATATGTCTCCTGATCAGGCACCGGGTCCATTGAGGTACCGAGGCTGAGTGCACTTCCCAGTTCTTCAGGGGTCAACGGTCGAAAAGACAGCACCATCCACATCAAGACTTTTCGGGCCCACGGTCGCGAGTTTTCCGGCACCGCCTGCAAGCATCTTTCGAATATCTTAGCCGGCGAAAGGGGTGAAAGTGATGTGAGATCCCGCTCTACCGAAGACTTGATTGATGTACAAGGGGCTACCAGGAGCCATTCGAGTAGGAGGCGCCGCAGCAAGTCATCATCACTGCAAGAATCCAACAATCGTCGTATCTTTCCCTCGCCATGGCGATACTGAGGTCGCACGTGGCACAGCTCAGTCATGAATTCGAGCACAACACTCTCGATAACATCAGCTGTCGGCGGGTGCTCTCTCAAATCAATTGAAGGAAACTCCGATAGAGCCTCGCGGATCTGACTGTCATCAACGGTCGTCACCAGAATCTTGAAATGCTGCTCAGAATTCTTGGTCATATCAGAGACCATGGACAAGAACAAACCACTGCTGTCATCACACTGATCGAGCCCATCAACGATCCAGTGAATTTCGCCGTGGGTTGTTATATCCCTCATAAGCTTTTCCAAAAAGAAGAAGGCATCTTTATCAGTCCAACAATCTGAGAAATCAGGCGGTTCTATGTCTGGCATCTTATCGTTAGGGGATTCTCTTATCTGACTGAGAATCTGGAGCAAGAAGGAGTTTGCCATGGCCCCGATGGAATTCCGGCGGATATCATGTTTGTCAAATTTGAAGTAGAGAATGGCTCGGAAGGTCGTGCTCTCTCCACGATCTACTATCCCTTCATACACATGCTGAGCCACGTTAGAAATGCTGGAGGTGCCGTGAATATGCAGAAGAGCGAGACCCCAAGACCTCAGCCATTTAATCATGGTATCGTGCTCAGCAATCCAGCCGAATCCGTGGGTTGTGTTGAACTTGAATGGATAGATTGGAGGTGCCTGGAGCATTATGGCTTCCATAACACGAGATAGCTTATCGTTCTGCCAGGGAACTGTAATTTATGTCAGCAGGTTTCTTCTGGCAGAGGTTTCACTGCGTGCTGAATTACAAGATGAAATTCTCTTGGTTTGAAAGCCTTCGTACGGAGCATACCCTTCGGGTTCCTCGTTCAGCTCGTTATGAGACATGTCAATGAGTGAAACCTTCTCCATGGGAACTCCAAGTGCTGCCGTGTATTTGTCAAAGACCTGTAAGCCAGTCAGTATCATCAATGCAACATAAAATCTACTTTTCAACTTACCTTTTCAGCAGGATCTGTCTTTGATGAAATGATATTGATAACGTTGGCGCGCGTTAGGACTCTTGTGTTCAAGAACGAATTGTTTACATCAATGACTGATCTCGCGAGACATTTCATATTCAGGCTAGTCGCTGTTGAGTCTGCTGGTTTCAACACGTCAAGCCTGGTAGCAAGAATCTCGATGTCTTGACGTGTATCCAGGGTTCTGTGTGGACAGCCGAAGAACATCTGCAGGAGGTTAAGGATAGCTCATAGAAACTTGGATCTTTATATTCCATACCAAAAGTTTCGTTGAGTAGCTAATATCAGTATGTCCACTGTCAAATCGACTGGCTAGTATCAAAGCCTGATATCATGTTAGCATGAACACAACGAAATGGATTACATCCCAACCAACCTTCTTCGCGATAATTCCTCCTATGTCGTGACCAAAGAACGCTATTGGTAACGGCTAGAGTCTCTCAGTTCGTTATCGTTCAGACCCGAATTCTCAAGGATACTCACCGTTTGCTGGTCTGTCCTCAACTCGCTAAGCTTTTGAAGAAGCGTAGAGGCTTCAGAAGAAATAGCCTCCTCGGGATATGTAGCCTCTGTTATTTTTGTGGCATCATAGGCATACTGAATAATGCGGACTTCCCAGTTCATCTGCGCCGCCAAGCCCTGAATCCAGGTGTTGGTCTTACTTGAGCCCCATGGCTTGCCTCCCGGGCCAACGAGGCCATGGATTGCTACAATACTATAGCAAGCTTTGTCAGAAATATGGCTGGTGAAAGAAGGTAAGCTTATCTTACTCGAATTTCTTTTCGCTTGCCTCATATTCTTCGGTTGTATCGATCGAGAGACCCAGGTCAGCGGATGGAGAATCGTTATCCATGGTATTGCTAGATGTCTCCATAGCATCGAGCGACCGTTCCTCTTGTTCCATGGCGACTTCGGCAGACACCTACGATGTTGATTCAAACTACAGGCTAGTTTCTAGAAACTGGAAGTTGATAGGATCCTAGTCATCATGAGGAGTGGTAGTGTCAAAGGCTGACTCAGTCACCGTGAAATGGACTGATCGGCCGTGGATCGTCCGTAAGCCTATGATTGTTGACCCCTCGTATCGAAATTTGTGATACCAAGGGGAAGCAGGGAAATAGAGGGTCTTCATCCTAAGTAATAAAAATAACTAATCTAAAGCACCCCTAAGTCTATACTAAACTTACCTAAATCTTTTTGTCACTTAGGATAAAGGCCCTAAGTTAATCTTGGACCCCGAGGGCTGCTTACGACCTGCATGAGCTGAACGACAACTGGTAATAGCTCCCGAAGATTGACCTATAGATAAGCAGAGAGAGCTTTGGGAGGCTGGGTGATCCTTGTCAATGTGGAGGCTGGGTTCCTGGATGGAGTAATCCTTCCGATATATGAGCAAATCATAGGATCTTCCACCACTGATTTTCGAACAGGATTAAGCTATTGCTAAGCGAGTAAGCCTATCTCCACTTTTAAGGATGGAATGGGTCAAAGCTCCGCCAAGGATGCTCGCAAAAAGTTGCCAATGCGTGATTCAGTTGGTACCTGAGATGTACACTTTCGATCAAGTTCTGAGTAGCCTGTCTAGGTGGTCTGTGGTATTCAAGTCAACTAGAGAGTCAATGCTATAGAATTTGCTTCAGGAGCTCTGATTACCTATTTTACTTGTCTTCACAGAGTTCTCGATCACGTTGGCCGAGGTGATATCGCAGACAGCGTTTAGATCTAGTTCCCCAAGCTTCATCTCCATGTCCTTGTACCTATCACTTGTTGGAGCCAGCGTCGGATCAAGTAGTACCGGGTCATCACGCTTCGTGGTGCCGACAAGCCATTCCATCGACGTTCTCCAGTCGGCTTTGGCGTTGACGGTCACCACGCACTGGAAACGTCCCTCGTCCCTTCTCTTGAGCAGAATGGCGGTTCTCATAGAGACAGGTACACCAGTCTTTGTCTCAGGGTTTTCCAGCAGCGTCCAAGACGCGCAGTTTGGCTTGCCATAGTTTCGCCCGCGCAAATCGATGGACCCTGTGACGGACGCTGCGTAGCTCATCTCTCTTGCAATTTCACGCTCATACTTCAGACCGCTTCCTAATTCCACTCCAGCCGCGCCTGCGCCAAGGGTCACGTCGCCTCCAGTAGTTGTTGTCTCTGTCTGTGTCGTCTGAGCAAATCTCAAGTTGCCGTTGGGCGCGATAGCAAAAACCTGGGGGTCGGCTACGCCTTTCTCGCTAGCGGAGAACCTCAGCTCGATATCGACATGTGCGATGCGTCGCGCTCGTTTTCTCGGGTCAAATCGAAATTCGAGAACAATTAGAGTACACAAATCATCGCCATCGGGATCAAATAGGCCGTGAATAATGTCGACACTGGAGCAGCGAATGTCCACGGCGCCTTTGCGTTCGATGATGTTCTCGCGCTGATACAGATCCAATGGATCATTTTGAGTGCGGAACTCACTCCCCTCTTCGCCTTTGGGTGCAAGTGCGATGCCAAAGGAGATCTCTTCCTCGGCATCCACGTCGTAGTTAGGGTCAGTACTCATTGTGTGAGCGTTGACGTCAATAGGTAGGGTGTGAGTACTCTGTATATGGTAGAAGTTTGTGATCAAGAAGTGGAGGGGTTGTCACGACAGCCTGATCTGATACATAGGAGGTACATGCGCTTGGAAATGGGGTTCTCTGCACCCCTGTTCATTTATGGATATCCTTCAGTCTGGTGAGCGGTTAATAAATGACGTGTCTTCTGTAGCTGCAGGCTGCTGCGGGTAAGCAGAGAAGCAAATAAGCAACCAGAGGGTCATTGAAATGCAAAACAAGAGCTGAGAAAAATACATCCCAAATAGATTTGGCACCAAGAACGATGACAAAAGTTGCATTTACAACAGATGTCAGAGGCGTCGTTAGCGATGATGACGATGAGGACTACGAGAACGATGATTTTGAGGAGGAGCCCGCCAAGATACCCAACCACGATGAGGTGCTTTTTGCCTTTGAGAGCATCACGAATGAGGCTCGGAACATGAAGTTGAACTTGGGCAAGAGAGAAAATCGGGAGAGCTTCTTACAAAAGTATGGGCAATTTCTCTCAAAATCAACAAAAGACTCAAACCAGACACTCCTTCATATGATTGCAAACACAGTGGGACACAAATCGTTGACTCGGTGTGTAATCAAGTTCGACAAGACCTTGCTGTACCGCGTGGACGATTCAAGCAAGACTCCTCTGCATACCGCTATCGCCAAAAAGAACCATGCGTTCATCGAAGTGGTCCTGGATGAGAAGAAAGCGATTGATGACCTTGATTCACTGCTCCGCATTACTTGTGAGCACAGGAGGAACTGCATACATACAGCCATCTATCACAACCTTCAGCACCAGTATACCATAAAGTTGATTAAACGAGCATCCGAAGAGACACTTCGCGCCCCAGATCAAAGCGGCTTGACACCCTTGCACCTGGCAGTCGACTACAAATATGCATCAGAAGCACAATTGAGGATTGTTGAGGCGCTTCTTGCTCACGGAGACAGCGCCTTGGATAAGTATACCAAAGAACCTCAAAACCTATCCGTCTATGAATACCAAGACCATACACAGCGTCTCTGGCGGAAACAATTCGAGGTACCAGCTTCCGCTCGTATTGGGGAGAGAAAGCAAGTTGAATCCAGGGAGGACCAAGGTCAAGAGGGTGAACACGCTGGATCCAGGCCCAAAGGAGGGTTGGAGCATGTTAGTGGGAGAAGTCGCATCTCTCAACAGCCAGGCAAAGACAGCCACGGAGGGCTACATCGAGGGCCTGATAATCTTCATGCACGAGGATCAGAACAGACAGATGTATCCTCTTCAAGCCACACTTCAAACGCAAATGGACTCCATGGAGCTGAGAACGGAAGAACGCCGGGAGAGGCACCCGAAGGTTTCAAGCCTATACAGAGAAGACAAACGGGTATGGAGAACGTTGAAAAGCAGGCCCAGGAAGAGAAGCGCAAGAGCGAATACGCAGAGAAGATCCGCCAGGCAGTCAAGCTGCATTACCTCCGGACTACTCTGACGATCAATTCGAAGCCTGCCAGCAGAGACCAGCTCAAAGCTGTGAAGTTTCTTCATGGCGCGAATCTCAATAGTGAGACAAGACCCCCCTTAATTTAGGCAATGCTAACTCTTGGTTTTAGACATTAACTTATGCTTCGACTACTCGGAGGCACCACCCGAGATCTACGAGGATTCTTTCAAACAGAGTTATGACCATATCAACTTTGACCAAGTTCTACGCTATGTTTCGTTCCGAAGAATAGAGCTTCAGAAACCTCCTGTATCAGCTGTAAAAGCAAGGCTAACTAGGAATCGGACGCAGACGTCAAATAAAGGACGCGGTAGGGATGATCTCACTGTTTTCTTCAACTGGCTCAAGGGGAAGGGGGTCAAACACATCCTTAAGGTGATGGTGGATGACCTGAAAGATCCATCACATAGCGACAAGGCACTCGAGGATTGTCTTCGACCTTTTGAGGTGGAGATCCTTGACTGGACCAAGGTTGACTTGTGTCCAGAGACAATCCTGACTGCTTGTCGGAATGTGAGACAGCTCTATTTGCGATGGAGTGGTAACAGGGCCATTTTGAGAGCTTGGAGTGAGCCTGAAGGGCTGGCGAAGCTAGAAAAGCTAGAGGCGGTACATCTGGTATACAGTGAAGAGCAGGTATGTGCTAGTCTAGGACCTACCTTCAGAGTGAAACTAACATTGCATGTTTGATAGGCATTGGAGTCAGCCGATCGCATCACTATGTACGCAAATGATTTCGAGGAGCGGTTGAACGAATCAGCAGCAGCAAACCCGAAAAGGACTCTTTCAAATGACGAAGACGATACGGGGGGAGGAAGACGTATACTCGTCTTTAGATGCAAAGCAGATGTCCCAGGAAGTGAGCGCATCGTCCGAGAAGGAGCATTTGCAAAAGCTCAAAGCGGCATCAATGAGATGAGTCTACAGTCCAACAGATGGCTGAACTGTATGGACAAGTTTGCAGATGAATTACAAAACACGTGCTCCGAGTTTGTCAAACCTCAAAATGGCATCAAGGTCGCTCTGATCGACGATGGAGCTGATCCCTATGTTGAGTCACTTCGGGGTAAGATCTGGGGAGGAGAAACGTTCAGCAGAGGTTTCCCGCACGAGAATGGACCAAGCCCTTACTATAGGTCTACGAAGGGCCATGGAACTGTTATGGCGGATATGATTTGCAGGGTATGTCCGATGGCGAGGCTTTATGTGTATAAGCTTGAGACGCAGACAAGTCTCAACTTGGCGACACAGACCCATGGGAAGGAATACATCGCTGCTGAAAGCGCGGCTCTGGTGAGTACAGGTCTAGAAACAAGCATGTTTCCATGGCTAACACAACATAGGCTGTAAGGGCAGCGATAGATCAGAAGGTGGACATCATCTCAATGTCCTGGACGGTCAAAGAAACGGTCGAGAATCGCGATGGCGTCAATACTTTCCGCCAAGCTATCAAGGATGCCCTTGACGCCGGTATCCTCCTCTTCTGCGCCGCCGCCGACACCGGGGCCATCGCAGAAGTCGAATATCCATGGTCTTTCGACCAGCGGCGCATCTTCCGCATCGGCGCAGCCACTGCAGACGGCCGCGTATGGGGTCCAACAGGCAACCCGCAGAGCCTAAGTTTTATCTTACCTGGCCACAAGGTAGTATCGCGAAATCCACACCGAGAGGGGGCGTTACCAGATGACTTTGAAGAACGCACAGGCTCATCTGTGGCTACGGCTTTGGCAGCTGGTCTAGCAGCACTTATATTACACTGCGTCAACCTTGCTGTTGTTTATGGTAAGGAACATCCGTCCACTACGGCTGTTAGCGCCGAGGATCTGGAGCGGCTTGCGAATCACGATGATATGTATAATGTACTTCGTGGTATTGGGCTGGATGAGGGGCAGCAGCGGTTTATTGAGGTTTGGCGACGGTTTGATCGCCCAGCGAAGGAACTGAAAGAGCCGATGAGCGACAAGATGGATGCACTTGGGATTGTGGCTAGACTGGCTCGAGATCTTGTTCCTAGTGGGAGTAGCTAGTCTTGCACCAGGCTATGGGCAGCCATTAAATGTGTCATAGTAAGTGCAGGTCGGAAAGATTAGGCAGCGGTTGCTGTTCAGGTTGTAGAAAGTTGCAACTGATGGTATACATCTTCCGCTAAAGTTCGAGGGAGAAGCCATTATCAAACAACAAAGCATCGCCTCTGACAACCCAAACGGTCGCCTTATCCAATAAATTTGAAACCTGTTGCCTCTTTTTGATATGACTGATACAAATGTCTGCTTGCAAAGATCAAACCCAAGTCGTACCCCACATTCCACTTGCATACTTATGCGTCCGGATCTTGCGTCTCCCATCAGGTAACACTTCCACATACTCATTCAATCCCGGTCTATATCCAAGCTCCTTTTGTTTCTGCTTAGCAATCTTATCAGCTTCCTTCTCTGTAGTAGTCGGTGGCCGAGTTGGCAATGGCAGCCCTGATCTGCGAGCGTCCTCAACTGCAAGGTAGAAGCCTAGGTCATCTTGAATCTGAAGTAGACTCTCGGCAGATAACGAAGAGATTTGCTTCTGCATGGTAGTCAAGCTCGTAGAAGAGGATGCTGTTGCTGAAGGTTTTGTGTAGACAAATTCTGGGATATCATCGCGAATGCGCTCGCAGGTCCAGCAATGGCAGTGCTCCTGTATGGGCGATGGGTCGTCCATATCGAAAAGAATCTTCGCATCTCGTTTGAGGTCCTGGCCCTGCGTTGGTTCCGACTGTATGCCTCCAATCTCTTTCAGGAAGGCCTTGTATTGTCTTGGAAACAGGCGGTGCGTCCTCCAGAAAAGCCTAACGCCGAAGGACTGATGACAAAGCATCTCCTCTTCCACTGCATTGGGCTCCCTCAAGTGAAAGTCGAGGTACTCCAAGCCCGCTCGGATCAGGGACCCTTGTAAGGCAGGTGAACGTATCCACAGAAGCTTATGGGACTCCTCCATGATATCTTCATGCCTCTTGACTTCGCTAAATAAATCCGTCTCAATACGCACTTTGCCGGTGTCGGCATATGCCGGGGGACTCTGGATATACTCAAGAATGTCGCATGGTTGAGAGGTGATATTAGTGAACAACTTCTGTGCAGATCGAGGGAGTACAAGCTGCATCTTGTCCATATCGAAGACATCGCGAATGGCAGGCCAAGGGAAGCAAATACTTTTCAAGCGCGTGGCATTGGCACCCTGTGCGTCGCAGGCAGCATCATAAGCCTCTGAGTTCAGCATAAGTGCGTACCAGACGAGTAGGATATCCAACGGTGGCAGATAGTCCTTTGTGAGCTGAAGAGCAGCACGGCTGCCGCCATGATGCGAGTAGGCATTCGCGTGGTTCAGTAATAGTTCGATGCCAGACCACCAGGTAGTAAATCGAGTAACGGCGAGCTTTATGAGAAGATCCCATTTTTGGGATGCGGGAAGTTGCGTAGGCTCTGAAGGCGACGCTGGCACTGGACTCTTGGTTTCGTCATATGAAGGTGGTTGGATGACCTCGACGTCAAGCGCCTTTGCGCCAGCCCTCAGGTTGCGAAAACATTCAAGAAGAGCCAGATGTACGGCAGCATGGCTCGCGTCGGGGTATGCCAATAGAGTCTCAATACTTTGTGCTTCGGTTTCGCAGGGAATAGAAAAAACATTTGAGAAGACTCTTGGGTCAGGAATGATTGTCTGTTTACCGTCTGGCTGAGCAGGTTTGTATGACGATGGCAATGTCCAGGTGTGAGGATCCAGATTGACCGCTTGGTCCACGACCTTTGCGCCGCTGCGAAAGTTCTTGAACAGGGGCATCGAAAAACCGTTGACCACTCAAAGTTGAAGCAGTGGCGAGTAGGAACCAGTAGAAGATTGAGCAGAGTCGATTGATTTAAGGATGAAAACGAATCATTAGCCTGGCACTCTGCCTTGAAATTCCTTGGTCGAATTGCGCCTCATTCTGGGGCGCATGACGCTAAGCCACCCAACTCTAAAAGCTTAATTCAGATAAGGCAGGGAGAGAGATCAGCCAAGACAATCGATGACATTAATGTGAGCAGTAAATTCTTGAAGTAATAGATATAGTTATTAATTCCATTATGCGGTACGAGACAGGAGTAACCAAGCCCGGTCTCTTCATTATTTCTCGACCCCCGAAGCCCTTAGCAACATCATTGAATAAGATATTTCAATTCAGGTGCCAAGAAAATCAAGACTGCTTACTTACAAAGAGGCATATCGAGTTGAAACACCACTAGAGAATTGTACTGTGTGTATATATAAGTGGTTGAGCTGCCTTTAAATGTAAAACAATGGTAAGTCTTTCATCCGTTTCCTTGATCTTCGCTGTTGACATTTCAGGCATAATTAACAGGCAAATTCAGATTACCTAAAGATTGAAAATACCTCCTATTCACCATTGCTTCCTGTAAGAAAGGCATGTAATACTTTTGCAGCCTCCTCCGAATCATCCTTTCCTCGGATCTGATCCAGAGCAGCTTGGGTCTGCTCAGGCATAAAGCCTCGTTCAGGTGTATAGAAATATTTAATCGTTTCCGTTGAAATCTCCTCGTCGAATTCAAAATGACCTTGAAATGTCAAAACACGTCCCGGCTGATATATACCCTGCACGGTGCAATGCGGCGTGCTTCCTATCGACATCCACGACTCGGGCCAAGATGTCTCGAACCGAACATGGTCGCCGTGTGCGAATTGCATCCGTAATCCATCCCCGTCAGGGAGGCTCAGAACATGACTGAAATGAGCTGCGAATTTTGGGTTCAGAGCGACTTTGTGGATGCCGACTTCATAGCCCTTTGGATCTTTCTCAACAATCACTCCGTATCTTTCAAGCAGGGCTTCAGAGATAATCTGGTGCCCGAAGCAAGCTCCGAATAGTCGCACATGTTGATAATTCTGGTAGGTTTCTCGAATGAAAGACTTCAACTTTGCAATCCAGGGATCCTTATCATAAACTCCTTTACGAGATCCAGTGATGAGGAGGGCGTCGAAGTCGTTTGGATTGGGATATTCGTCTTTGATAATATCGAATGCAGAAATCTCTAGAATCTTATCAGACCCTAGAGTCTTGTTGACAGCTTGCAGTCGATGGGCAAAGATGCTGCTATATGTTGGTCCCCAAGTCTCGGCGACCTTGGGCACAACGTAGTCGCAATCCAAAATGGCGACCTGTACAGGTTGCTGAAGTCGGCTTTTTACGGTCATTATTTCTCAGAGGTGGAGACGGTTTATATCCTGATCTTGGAACTTGAAAAGAGTCAAAGAATTTGAATCGCTTGAGGAGCTGGACCATTGGAATCCTGTAGATAAGTACTATCTTGTAATGTCCGCCTGATCATGAATTACAACCGAATGCACCCCCACTCACTATTTTTACCAAATCTGGAAAGTTTTAGAGACTGTTGGTCGGACTAGCTCAATCTGATGCTACCATGAAGTGGGTATTCTCCATCCTTATCGGCTACTTGCCGGCCCATGCCGAAGTGCTCGGGATAACGTCCGACTAACAGATCCAACCTCCATCAACGTTATAAACAGCTCCAGTGACGAAACTGGCTTCTTCACTGAGGAGAAAAGCGATAACATTCGCAATTTCGTGAGGCTCAGCAGGACGCTTTTGAACCTGCAGTGCAAGTTCTGCTTCTACTGCTTCAGCCATTCCCTCACCTTCCATCATGGGTGTTCGAACACTGCCTAGTAATGATAATAGTAGTCAGACCTACGGTAGTTTGGCTTGTGAAGCTTGGGTGATTTTCTCCTAGCCTAATGAAATGAGACGTACCTGGTGCAACACAGTTGATGCGAATATTCTCGTTCTCTTTTGCGGCAGATCGAGACATGCCAATGACAGCATGCTTGCTTGCACAATATACAGAAGCATTAGCAAAGCCAGCTTGGCCATCAACACTAGCTGCTGATACCTGCACACGCATAAGCTCTCCCATTCCGGTAAAGAAGTTGATCGACACCTACAATGCTTCCTCCAGACTTGATATGATTTAGCTCTGCTCTCAAACAATTGAAAACACCGCGAGCATTTACTCCCATGATGAAGTCCCACTTATCATCAGTCTCATCGCGAAGACATGTGCCGTGTGTGAAAACGCCGGCCATATTAACAGCGCCGTTAAGCTTGCCAAAGACAGAAACCGTCTTCTCGATCCATGCGTTTACTTCTTGGCTGTCACGCACATCGACTTGTGTGATGATGTGTCCATCACCAGGAAGAGACTTGAGAGCAGCCTCAAGGCCGGCTTTGTTCATGTCGGCGAGCGAGAGTTGGGCACGACGACTTGCTAGGAGCTTAGCAACTGCGAGGCCAATACCGGATGCTGCACCTGTAATGGCAATCTTCAAAACTCAGGTTAGGTGCCTTGATGTCAAAAGGGGAGAGCTCTTAATATATATACCGTCTTGCCGTCAAACGAAGCCATTGTTGATGGGCTGGGGCTTTACTTGGCTGATATCAGGCGTGTGTATGTTGAAGGACTGTCTAAATTGAGTCCCAGTGGTGTGATTTGCAGTTGATCTCGGTGTCTGAGAGCTTACAATCGCCACAGAAAACTTGATGTGATAAAGTGCCAAATGTGAACCGAGCTACTGCTATTTAAATAAGTCCTTCATTCCCAAGAGTTGGACTCATGCCCATAAATTACTCGCAGACCTGCCTATTCCCCCGGTATCTGTGATCCAAACAACACATCTAACTCTAACTTCTATAGGTCGATCGTGGTAGGCAACACAGACACACGATTTTATCCAATTTGGGTTACCTTTCTTACACAATGTGACGGTGCATAATAACTGTACTACTGCATCGCCCTCCATTCAGCTCGTTAGGCTCGACATACCAAATCCGGTTAGACATCACAGACTTCTGCAGTCGACCCGAGCATCTTGTGACTCTGAACCTTGGTACAGTTCATGACGCAGGAACGAATCATGGCAATGATGACAATCCGATGGTACGTATTTGAGTAATCGGGCCTCTATTGGTAAAGTCCAAAAAGCAGCGTTACTTGCGGGCCTTCTAGGGTAGTCAAGTAGTGGTTCAGTTCGAGGATGACAACGGAGATAAGATAAGATAAGATAACATCCAGGACTTCTAGAGTACCTTTTTGGCTTGAGATAACTGCTAGCATTAGTAGTAAACAAGGCAGATGGGCCTTATTAGAGTTATTAGTCTTAGAAATATCTCAACGCTCTATAGTCTAAATTTAAATTATCTTCCCTTCCTCAAATCATTGCTTAGGTAGCCCCATTGGCGATTGGATATGTCTCCTTCGAGGCATCTATGTATAAGTCTTTAATATCATGGTGAAACTGCCCATGTACCCGACGAGCCAGCGAAGTCATGATGCTCCTGCTCAACAACTCGGGCGTCTTGTGCTTATGTTTCCAATTATGGCTCACAAAAACGCCCTTGCACTCGCCATTTCCATCGAGTGTAAACTCATTACCGTTGGCCTGATTGCAAGGGATGTTTTTTACATCATGTGTTCTGTTGAACTCGTATCGGATATAGTACGAGAAAGCGCTCTGTTCATGTGCCCACTTGAAGTTCCAATGATCGCAGCCAGGTATACTCCGTGGGCAATCTTCCCATCGTTGAAACATATCTTGGGTACGCTGACTTGCTTGTGCGATGACGAAGCCCGTGTTTAGGATGAGGTTTCCTTGGGGATCGTAGTCTTGTTCCCAGTCAAGGTCGTAAGCCATGGCGACTAGGGTTTCTGGGCGGTAATCCCAGAGGTTCATGAGCCATTCGAGTGGAAGGTCGAGATGAGTAAAGACGGCGTCTGAGTCTAGCGAGATGACGAAGTCATGGGTCTTGAGAGCCTCTTTGGTTATGGCAGGCTTTACCCAAGTTCCGTGTCGATCGGGATAATCGGCTGCACGGACGAGTCGGTAATCGTAACCGTGAATCATAGCTAAACCTTCAGTAACAGCAGAGCATCAGATAGAGTTGACAAGACGTACCGTATATATAATGGTTCAAGTGTCCTCCAGTCCGCCCGGGTAGTGTTGTGAAGTCCAAGGGACATTCATTTAACATCGTGTTCTCGGTTTTACCATCAAGCCGAGTATCAGTATCAACGATAACGACCCGTTTCCCTAATGGCTTCTTCCATCGTACTTGGTCGATTGGTACTTCGAAACGTTCTCCCTTGTCGGTGACGAATACTCTCTCTGTGATAGGATGTACCAGAGGTTTCCATAACTCCGCCATTAACTTCGGCAGAGCCAAGCTCTCGGTTCCATTGCCATGCTGTTTATAGGCTTCCGGTCGAGATTTCTTATGACAGTTGGCACTGAAGTTATCCGTGGTTTGAGGAGCTGGAGGAGGAGTAGAGGGGGGGTTGGATGGAGAGACTGTGGGTTTCCTATGTAATACATCGTCCTTAGCATCGCCAGCGGAAGTCTTTACCATGCAACGGAGTGGCAAGTGTGTACTTACAACGGATAAAAGGAAGAGACGGGAAAGCAGAAGAAGATAAGAAATGCAGTGAGGCTAACAACTGAGCAGATCCATATAGCCCGCCTGGGGGCGTTCAACGCTCCCATCTTCACACCATTCTGAGCACCACAGAATTGAAGACCCATTTCAAAAGAAACGAAGAACCAACAAGTTAAACGTGACGTGACTACAGCGAGCTCAACGATTTAAAGACAACACCGAGACTGGATCTCACTCCCAGGGGTTACGGCATGATTCGTAGCCCTACTGATCTATGAAGGCCCGATGCTACGTCCCCTGCATCTAAGTAGGAATAGCCGAAACGTTGATCAACGTAATCAAGTGGACGCATCGCTGTCACTCAGATACTATTTGGCCAATTGCGATGCATCTATCGTATGATGGCCACGATTCTTACTGTCGAAGCACAAATTCCGGCTAGAATAGGAAACTACCGAAGTATACGAGAAGCCTAATTTCCGTTTCTTCGAAGAGGGAAATGTTCTAGACCTGTCTAAGCTCTGGCAATTGGCCGTTAAAATGTTACCTAACGCAAGGTCCACAGCTCGGTTAAGAAGCCGATGAGCATCAAACACCCAACACATGCTCATGTCATGCCAGGGATAAGAAACGGGCGGATAGAAAAGGCCACGGTGTTTCTGGGTTTTCAAACAAGTCCAAGTATACAAACAAGTCGTGAGATTCACGGCAGGCCATTGAGCTTAACTTGGTCTTCTTTATCAAGATGTCCCTTATGACGATATTCGTCAACCTGCCACGATCGACGGTAAATAGTGGACCTATGGTTAGTAAAAAAGACGCATCGTTATGTGAGAGTTCCAGTTTATTGGGCTTTGCGTATGATCCAGCTAAGCCTCCCTTTTACGCGTCAAGGCTGAGGCGCAACGCCGAAGGATTCAGTAGCGTAGCGGGAAAAAGGAAGACTGTTTCATTGCTTTTACGCGAAGGCCAATCAAATGCCCCGACACTGGGCCAAGTAGAGTTCAGCGCCGACTAAGGTTAAAAGGTTAATATCCCTGCTACTCAACTACTGACTGAATGAATTTTTGTCTTGGGTGAAGCTATGATGATTGGTAATACACCCCGAGATGGTAAAGAAGCTATACGGGATTGACCTCTGCCTTGCTATATTTGCACCATTTTTAATTGATCATCCCGTCAAGTGCCCTGTCTACACATGTCACAAATTGTAGATTCCTAAAAGCTATCTGCATAAAATACTTGGTCAAGCAAATGCCATGAACATCCTTCATCAATATCAACCTCCACACTCGCAGAATGTTTAGGTGTATGATCTATGGACTCTGTAGATCCCGAAGTGTTGGTAACAAAATTTCTGCAATAGATTGTGCAAGTTTCGATCTCTTTGAAAGACACGTCAACGCCCTGATACAACTTTCAAACCACTGCAAACTCTGCCAAAAACTTTCCATTTCAATATCGAACCACTCATGCTTTTTAAGCTCACAAATAGTTGACAGGTGATAGAGAGAGGCTCTCGTAAACGCTTCCACCAGAATTGACGTGCAAGGATCTGTCAAGAGTGGACTCTCTTGAACTGCGGCATGACATTTTGGAAGTTGTTTGATATGGCTAGTCTTATGTGGAACGACAGCACCGGCGAGTTCAGCAAGATTAATTGCACTGCTCAGTCTGATATCCATATAGCTGTTTGTGTCGCCAGTAGTTGCCTTCTCATGCACTAGCTCTAACAAGTCCGCGAGAACCAGTGTACCGAGGTTCCAGGCTGTGAAAATGCACACAACCCAGCTTCTAAGCTTTGAGGAAACTCTATCATAGCCTCGTAACAAGCCTTGGAAAAATGAGGCGTACGTCATGTCCCAGTATCGACAAACAGTAATTGCTCCTTTTGCAGCATTGATGATATCATGAGTGCTCGACCTCTTCCGCAGAGCGTTCTGGATGTAGGATAGTTGGCGATAAAGTAAAACCTTGATGGGAGCTGCTTTGATCATCGCTCTCGAGGCAACTTCTTCTGAGCAAGGCCAGCCGAGAGATTGTGGCATTTCGGAGTCGTCCTTCAGAAACATATGGAGTCTCCATTGGCAAGGTACATTCTCCCTGTTTTGTATGAAACCTGCCATGCAGTGCTCATCGGCTATAACAACAGGCCGTTTATTCAGTGGCGAGACAACAGTATCAAACATTACAAGGAGCCAGTATAGAAAACCAACAGTTCGTTGGCTTTGTAAAGTCGAAGTGTCTTTAGACCCGCCGTGTGACCGGAGCCCCTCCATCTCGAAACGGTATTTCAAGGCAAGTATTGCCCTTGTTGCCTGATCCAGATGTGCAGAAGGACGGTCATTTGACATGATCTGGCCTATCAAGGGGATGGCAGATTCTTTGTCTGGTGAGAGACCGAGGCTATCACTATATCTCTTGAGACTCTGATCGTCGCTTGATTCTGGTCTTTCAGTGACACCAAGGATGAATCCAGCATAAGCAATCCTGAAACATTCAATTTCCATGGTTTCTTGAAGGGCGGCTCTTGCTTGCTCCCAAAGCAGTAGTTGTAGACTATAGTCCACTGGCATTACAGCTGTTGTATTTGAATGGCGCAGGTGCTCGACACTGGTGGGCGATGCTGTCCGCTTCTTGACATGGTTCTGAGTCCATTGAGCAGCAAAGGCCAGGATGCAAAGATGAAGAGTCCGAGAGACCGCCATATCTTCTTTGCGAGATAATGGTTTCCTGATTCTTTGCGTGGCACGATCTAACTGGAAGATATGCTGGTAGAACGGATTTGTTGGACCAAAGGTACAACTTGAGGATGAGGCGACGTCACCTTTCAATCCTTGCGCAACACTCTCTTGGGATGAGTGTGGTATGGAGTATGGACAGGTGACTTCGGATATCCAGCAAGAGAGGTTGCTCTCAAGAACATCATAATAGATGCAGAGTAGACTTCGTGTAATAAGTTGATTATTAAAAGCCACGGCCATGGTGACATTGGTGGTGGAGGGTGAAAGGACTGCTGATAGCTTTTGTTCACCGTGGATCCATTTCCGACGATACTGGCTGGGTTCTGCGTCTGATTGCGATCTTGACTTGAAAGAAGATAAGACGTTCTCGTAAGAGGATGGAATGGGTTCAGCTTTGATCAGGGAGTTACTCCCTTCAGACAAAGTCCCATCGAAAACTCGGCTCTTGAATAGTCCATGTTCGCTGGGGTTACATGGCCCCTGATTCCCACGTATACAGGTTAACCCCCAAATAGCGTTCAAGGAGCATGACTTTAATGTCTTCTGGCAATAAGAGCAAGGACGAATGCTCGAGATGTGATCTTGATCTATTGTCAAGGTCAGTCACATTGGAGGAGAAACGCAAGGAGTAATTTTGTACCAGAACTGCTCGATGAAGTTGTGGAGGAGGTGAGGCTGGAGCCAGGACCCCGGTCATTGTTGAGAGCATATCCATCACAAGCCCTCTTTGCCTTTTGACACTGGAGGCACGAACGTTTTTGGCGTCGAGGGATTCGGAAAGACATGACGATTGGACCTGGGTCAAGTAAACTGGTAAGTAGGAGGAATCAAAGTGAACAAGATCAAATGGAATGTTCAAAGAACAGGAGATGTCAGAGAGAGGAGGATGAAAGAGAAGGGAGCGGTTGTCGTCCACATCATTCTCAACTAGCTACGTACTTATGCTGGCGAGCTTACAGGGGTCAAGCCTCCAACTATTCGATGGAGTAGATATCCCTGTCACCTAGGTCTCGTGGGGTATAAGTCGTTCAGCGAACTTCTTCCGAAGCCACCATAACGACGATAGCCGCCGTAAATTACAAGCTACGACATCATTACGCAACAGATAGAGATCCCTGGAAGCTTGGTACCCTATCAAAGATAGGCTGGTGTTAATTGAAGCTGGGATCGTGGCACATGATGAGTATTAAGTTTGAGCGCGACGGGAAAATGGGGTCAAATTCTAGACCTCAGCGCTTTACCCAATTAGGATAAAAAGGTGAGAGTGAGAGGCTTATCAGTCTCAGATGGAGTCATGTTAGGCTAACTATGTACTTGGTGAATGAATACCTCATTTGCTGGATTCTAGAGCAGAGGGATCTGAAGATAGCTCAATAATTGAGATAAGAATGAAGGACCGGAAGAACGGAATGATGTATCGGTATAATACCCAGTCCAAACCACCCAGCTGATTGCATCCTCCCGCAGAACTCAATGCTTATTTTCGATATCTTGCAACGCCTATTACAATAAATTTCAGACAATCATGTCAACCCTGGAAAATCTCAGTTCTGCCAGTCAGGAAGTCAGTGCTGATCAAGCTCTGGCAAATCTTGGGTACAAAAACGAACTCAAGAGGACTTTGTCTCTATGGACTATTCTGGGACTGTAAGTCACAAAACACCCTTTCGGTTAGCCGCGATATTTAACAAGGCTCCAAATAGGTCTGTAGCGATAATGGGTGTTCCCTTCGGCTTGTCAACAACTCTTTACATCACCCTTATCAACGGCCAATCCGTCACTGTTCTCTGGGGCTGGGTCTTCGTAACACTGTGTTCCATCTGCATCGCCGCCTCCCTAGCAGAAATCTGCGCTGTATATCCTACCGCGGGAGGACCCTACTTCTGGTCCGCGATGGTATCGACCAGGAAATACGCACCCATAGCGTCCTGGATTACAGGATGGTTGAACCTCGTGGGAAACTTTCTGGTCACGACGAGCATCAACTTCTCGGGCGCACAGATTGTTCTTTCACTAGCTTCTCTGTTCCATGAAGAATACGTTGCTACGCCCTTGCAGACTGTACTTGCTTTCTGGGCATTTACACTCCTTGCAGCGGCGGTTAATGTATTTGGGACAAGATATCTTAGCGCTATCAACGTTGGCGCTATGATATGGACTGCCGTTTCGGTCGGCGTCTTCATGATTGTTCTTCTGGTCATGGCGAAAGCAAAAAGATCTGCTAGCTTTGTTTTCACGCACTATGATCCTTCGGCGAGTGGTTGGCCGACGGGCTGGTCATTCTTCGTTGGTCTACTTCAAGGCGGTTACGTGATGCTCGGATATGGACTCGTCGCATCTCTCTGCGAAGAGGTTGAGAATCCACATCTCGAAGTCCCTCGTGCCATGGTCATTTCTGTAGTCGTCTCTGGCTTTGTTGGCCTCGTATTTCTCATCCCCGTCCTGTTTACTCTTCCTGACGTGGCTACTCTTCTGGCTGTTACGAGTAACCAGCCAATTGGCACCATGTTCAAAATGGTCACAGGATCGAATGCTGCCGCTGTCATATTGCTTATTTTCATCATGGGAATCTTCTTATTTGCCAGTATTGGGGCTTTTATAGCTGCCAGCCGTTACACATACGCATTTGCTCGGGATGGGGCTATTCCAGGTCACCTTATCTGGTCTCGCATGAACAAGAAGCTTGAGATGCCACTGATGGCCATGCTTCTCAATGTTTTTGTGAGCATGCTTCTTGGACTTATCTACTTCGGTTCGTCGGCTGCTTTCAACTCTTTCACTGGAACTGCCACCATCTGCCTTTCGACATCATACGCTACCCCCATCCTTGCCTCCCTCATCCAATCCCGAAAACCAGTTCACGGATCCGCGTTTACCTTACGCTCGTGGGGCTTCCTCATCAATGGCATCTCAGTTTCATGGATATTCTTCTCCATAATTCTATTCTGTGTGCCCGTCACTTTACCTGTGACCGCAGTCTCGATGAATTACTCCAGCGTTGTTTTTATGGGCTTTGGATCTGTGAGTGTTGTGTGGTACATTGTCTACGGAAGGAAACACTACAAAGGTCCTGTAGCCAGTATGGAGGATGACTACCTGCCTGGTGTTGTGGTGGAAACTTCCGGTCATGAAGGAGAGATGGAAACTGTTAAGAAATCTTGAATATGGTAGTCTGTAGTTGGGAGAATGCACTGCTTCCCTCTAGAAGATTTATGGATATGTTCAAATTCAGAATTGTTCTGCGACTTCCTGGGAGGCTTGACACAAAACCTAGAGGCTATAGAAAGACCAGAATATCATTTTTTTTTAATTAGAGTTGGCTTTGGACAATACTTGAGCTTGACGCGCACCTTACCTGGTGAGCTCGTGTTCGTTTTAATCTGTCTCATCACAACCTGGCCCGAGAGATGTTGGATTCTCGCGGAGGCGTCATACGACTTGTGTCAAGGACGAAGAGCTGGTCTGCCTTGGTAAGTCACAAAGCATGCAAATTCTGGTTACTTCATTTGTACAGAACCATCTCTGCTGAATCAAGTTCATTCAGATACCTCGATCCCATTTTCTCAATCCGCAAATTGAAATATAGAATACAAGGCTCGATTTTCTTCTAGCTTCACTACTACTTGGCATTTTTGGTCTCTGGCACACCCCATCCAGGCTTCAACATTCCTAACACAGCATCCTCAGATGCTGCCATGTTAGAAGCCAAAGCACCGGGTCCAGACGGGCCTGAGTCGTGATAAGGATGTACAGGTCTCGCCTTACCCTTGGTAACCTCAAGTATAGTACCACTCTTGATCTGTATGTCTCCGTTCTCAGGGTACTCTCCAATCGTCTGGCTCATTGTGTCCCTTTCTATCAAAGCAACCATAACTTCGGCAACCTCCTCAGGCTCAACCCAGACATCATGCAAACCGTCAATCATAGCCATCTTCTCAGGGTTATCGGTGTAGAGAGGAGTCTTGATGATGCCAGGCGCAACAGCGACAATACGGATATTGGCTGAGCTGATGTTGCTCAAGGAACGAACAAAACCGCTGATAGCATGTTTCGAAGCATCGTAGAGAGGGGTCGCGATACTTGTGTCCTGTGCGCTCGTGCTTGAGATGAGTATGATGGTCTTATTTCCACCGTCTTGGGCGCTGAGAAAGTGAGAAATGGCGAGTTGAGAAGAGCGAATGGGATGGATTAGATTGATGTCAAGGAGAGCATATCGTCCGCCATCGATGGTATCGCGACTAGCCAGGGTCCCAGGAGGATGCCAAAAGTTGCTGAAAGGCTTTAACAGGGTGTTAGGACAACGAATTCGTCAATGCTAATCAGATCGGGATAAAAGCTCACAGGTTCGTACACGCCAGCGCCAGGACAGACTATGTCAATGCGCCCGAAATGTTGCTGAGCTGTTGTGAACATGCGCTCGAGTTGAAGCCAAACTCGGACATCTGTCTCCTGGAAGACAGCAATGCCATGGGAGTCTGGCTTGGTATCCTTTTGATGCTCTTCAAGCAGTTTCCGAGCCTCTGGTCTTAGGGCTAGATCAGCTAAAACAACATTACAGCCATTTGCCAGCAAAGAAGATGCAAATGCTAAGTTGATGCCGCTTCCAGCACCAGTGACGATGGCTGTTTTGCCTGTGACTGGCTGAGACATGCTGAGTTGAGATGAAAGTAGAGTGGAAGAAGGGATGGGCACTGGATCGAGACAGGTAGACGGGCAACCAACAAGCATACAATAAGTACTTCCCATGCAATTTTATTTCCCAGTATCAACTCCAACATATCCTAGTCCCTGGTGTCACTAAACTAAAGTTAGTGCGTGGTAGCATCTAGATTGCGGGGAAGTGGAGGAGCATGATAAGACACCAAGATATTGTAGCTTACCCCGATCAAGATAAAAAGGTGAGTCTGCCCCTCTCACCTGATACTTGGACATTCAACTCTGGTCCGCCCTTGCATCGAGGCACTCAACATTTTATCCAAGTTTGACGAAAACGCAGAGTACTCATACTCATACTCATTATGCCGACCAAAGTAAAAGGTCCGTTCACAATCTCTCCATACCTTGGCGTCAAGTGCTCCCCTCACTCATCTGACAGGCTGTCGCAATTGTTCACGCCGTCGTATCAACTGTGATAGAACATTACCGCACTGCCTGAAATGCGTTAGAGATAACCTGGAATGCTATGGCCTTGATGGGACGTTTCGGTGGATGGCCGAGCCGATCAATAGGCGAAAGCGGACTGATCGGTCCCGACGAGCGAGCCTGAACACCATCACAAACACGGAGGTAAGGAGCCGCATTTCTTGTGTCATCGAGAATCTTGCTGACCTTTTCTGACCAGAATCAACTGGTTTGCGGAAATGACGACAGTTCTCCCGCTCCGCCTGGCCCTTGTCCCCAACAGCCACTCCACCAGCCCGAGCACTGGGTAACAAACTTCTGTGAGTCCTCATCCTGAATCACGAACAGTGACTAATGCGCGATGCTAGTCGCTGAGCAAATTGCCCCGTGGATGTGTCCAGTCCTCCAGGCCGATAACGAATGCAAGATGCATCTCCTCCCACTGGCAATGTCATCTCCCCTCGTCTTTGATGCCGTCGCCGCAGCTGCGTATCATCGCCTCGCATACTACGGCAATCCTCAATTCGCCGCAAAGGCTGAACGCTACAAGGCCTCGGCCATCAGGGGTCTCATAACCAGCGCCCGTAGCGTGTGCACCCTGTCGGCTTCGTCGTCGGATCAGCTGTTTGCCGCTGCTACATTGCTCATACTCATGTATGACGAGATGATAGCGGCGCAGGATACGTTCATCACACTGGCCCGTATTATCGGTAATATGCGCAAGTTTGTAAACTTTTCCAGTCTGGGTGGCAGTGAGAAGCTTCAGAGGTATCTGACAGAGCAGTTTGGCTTGTATGTCTGGCTTTGATCCGTTGGAGCTGAGACTAACTTGGGCACAGCTTGACAATATTTTCTCTTCCTCACACAGATGACGATACAGCCACAGAGCAATTTAAAGAAGCCTTTGACTTTGTCGAAGAATTCGCCGAGTCATGTGCGCGCGACAAGCACAATCCACCGTTTCTGGCAGAGTGTTTCAGAACGATCCTGACAGTCTGGCATGGACAGAAGCATAACCCTGGCCTTAACGTCAATCTTGTCATGGAAGACTTCAAGTCCGAGATCGAATCAACAACCGACATTAGTGTCTTTGATCACTATCTCACCTGGGTGTACTTCATGTCTTCGGCAGCCTCTCCAAACGCATCGCTACGTAATTTCTTCAGAGACAGGCTACATAAACATACTACTACTTTTGGATGGAAGAATGTCGCTATGATGCATGCGTTTTTGGGGGAGTTGGAGGGTGCGGGGGTTACGTGGCCAGAACGTTTACAGTCGCATAAGAAGTACATTTGCGCGTAGTAGTACAAGCTTATCAATAATATTGATAGGCCAACTTAGCAACTCTGATAATGGTGCTCTAGAACTCGTGCAGTACACTGTGCGGAGCACGAGCCGTTGCGTCGGGAATGCTTGACATCAGCTAGGCGATGGCACGGACAGCTTCAAGGCGAATGTATCATGCAATCAACATTTGTGATAAATCCATTTGCCCATAAAGCGGATAAACGGATCTCGAGCATGAGCGAATTTGCGTATATACCTACTTACATATCCAGAACGTACCATAATTGCGGAAGGGTACTCAGGTATTTATCCCGATATGGTTTGGCGAACCTACGCTGTTAATGGCAGTGCAATGAACCAAGGAGCAGTATTAAATGGCTGTAAATCGCAAATTAATCGGGGTTGAAAGTGAAATTGTAAAGCCATCTATCTCCACCATTTGATCTCGTACTTCAATTCACTTGTTCTCCAATCGCTATGCCTTCTGCAACTGTGAGCTCAGGCTTTGCCCGTGACATTGTTGACACGGTTCCCAACCACGCTGTCAACGGTCATGGCACTACCAAGCCCCAATGTCGCAAAGTCGATGTCGCAATCATTGGAGGTGGATTCTCAGGTTGTTATCTCCTGCACAAGCTCAGAAAACAAAACTTTAGCGCTGTCATTATAGAAGCTGCCTCAGGTCTCGGAGGTGTCTGGCAGTGGAACTGTTACCCGGGTGCCAGGGTCGATACACCAGTTCCTCTATACGAGTACTCGATAGAAGAGGTATGGAGGACTTGGAACTGGACTGAGAAGCTCCCGACTGCGACTGAGCTTCAGAAGTACTTTGAACATGTCGACAAGGTGCTTGATCTCAGCAAGGACGTCATCTACAACACCAAGGTTACAGACGCCGCCTTTGATGATGCCACAAATAAGTGGACAATCCAGACCGACAAGCATATTAGAATTGAGGCAAGCTGGTTTGTCCCAGCTGTGGGCTTCGCCGCCAAGCGATCATTCCCCGATTGGCCCGGCTTGGATGACTTCCAGGGCGTTATACACCACTCGAGCTTCTGGCCACGCGATGGCGTGGACTTGCGTGAAAAGCGTGTAGCAGTCGTTGGCACCGGAAGCACAGGTGTTCAGATTGTGCAAGAAGTCGGTCCCCAGGCCAAGTCGCTGGTTCTCTTCCAGCGCACTCCAAATCTGGCTCTCCCACTTAACCAAGCCGAGCTCACCAAAGAGGAACAAGATTTCGAAAAGAACTCGTACCCCGAGAAGTATGAGGCGAGGCTTCTCAGCAAGGGAGGCTATGACTTTAGCCCGTCTGACCTGGGTACATTCGTTCATAACGCCGAAGAAAGGAGAGCATTCTTCCAGGACAAATGGGATAAAGGCGGGTTTCACTTCTGGACCGGTGCGTATGGGGATCTCTTGACGAATCTTGATGCCAATCGCGAGGCCTATAGTTTCTGGTCCAACAAGATCCGAAGCGTGATTAGAGACCCCACCAAGAGGGAGATGCTTGCACCCTTGAAAGCGCCTCATCCCTTCGGCACTAAGCGTCCAGCCCTCTTTCGCAACTTTTACCAAGTCTGCGATCAAGACAACTTCAGCATTGTCGATGTGAACAAGACCCCGGTGACAAAGATCCTTCCCAATGGCGTCGTCACAGCAGATGGAACAACCTACGAGATTGACGCCCTTATTCTCGCCACTGGCTTCGACGCTATCACAGGAGGCCTCAAAGCTATAAACATCCTTAACAGCGCCGGCAAGACTCTTTCAGAGAACTGGTCAAATGGAACATGGACGAACCTCGGTCTGATGACAGCCGATTTTCCCAACATGTTCTTCATGTACGGGCCCCAAGGTCCAACAGCTTTGTCCAACGGTCCAACCTGTGTTGAAATCCAGGGGGATTGGATCGTTCAGGCGGTCGCTAGTGCTAGGAAGGCTGGAAAGCAGCGTATGCGTGCGACGGTACAGGGACAGGAGAGGTATAGAGAGTTGGTGAACGAAATGACGGCGGAAACACTCTTCCCGATGGCGAATTCGTATTATATGGGCGCGAATATTGATGGGAAGCCGAGAGAGGCGCTGAACTTTCCGGGTGGTATTCCGCTGTATAGAGAGTTGCTTGACAAGTCTTCTGAGAATGGTTACGAGGGATTTGTATTTGAGTAGACTGCCCTGTTAGCTTGGTCAGAAACTTCCTTCCATGTCTTGTCATCCATGATGCCCACTTGCGTGCATGGTGATCAATGTTTGTGTGGTGGCTTGGTGAGGACGAGGATGCTGACCCGATGACGGGCTCCGTATGAAACACTTGGGAATAGCCATGCAATGAAACAAGTACCATTGGGCGAGTTGATAGACGCGCTTCGAATATAGAGAGCCTGGATTCGAGGAAATTGAATGCAACCCTGTTGGTGGTTTCGTCATTCTGACAGGAAACAAGTTCTGGCTTCCAACCCTGTTAATGTTTACTTTTTCCATGCTGTGCTTGCAGAGCACACTAAATTGATCATCATTCCCATGTTTCGGTGGTCTAAGCGGGCTCGTTCCAATACGTGTCAAATGTGTTCTACTACACCCTGTTTGGCCCCAAAACTCTTCACCACTTTAAAAATGTCTGTAAAAATTCCTTCGATCGACTTTTCCCTGATCTTAGGTCTTGGGGGCTGTCCTGCGCTGTGCCTCTTCGACCAATGAGATGTTGTTTCGGTGGGAGCAACATTGCAATGGATTATGATTCTTCAATTATGGATATCCTCGAAAGCCGTACGGTCCACTGCAAACATATAGGATTGTAGATGTCTCGCGGAGATTTTCAAGACATGATCAGCTACCTTCTTGATGTTGCCAAGCTTACGATATGGTACATCGACTATAACCTGGTACAAGCGACACATGCGGCAAAAACGTAGGACAACGGGGCCATGCACGCCTCGACCGCGTACACCGTTGGCACGGAGGTGCGATGGTGATGAGTCCTGCGACATTTGCTATCCCGACAAGATTGTGCCTTGTGTACCACCGTCAACTATCAAGAGAGAAGGATCGGAGAGTTCGTCGGATATTTCCAGCTCAGACTTGAATTTGTTCAATTAAAAACATAGGACGGAAAGACTTAGGATCTCTATCCTAAGTAATGAAAGGTCTTAGGTAAACTTAGTATAATTTAGTATAAGTTTAATAGACTTAGACTACTAGCAAGTATATAAAATAAAAAAACATAATAATAAAAGGTTGCTTGAAGATGATGCTTGCTTGCTTGCTTGGTAGTTGATACCGTATTCTGGCCCCACTACTTATAGTTGCCCGCTTTGCCGCGCGGTTGTCACCATAAGCTGCCGAGTTTGGTGACGTGATTATCAATCATGTTTGGTCGATTAGATATCATGGCAATATTTGCTTATATATCAAGCCTGGCAAGACTTAATACCTGCTCGTACACCCGTTTTCTACAAAAGAGTTGGCATGACACCTCAATCTTTGTGTATCTTGAGTTTCAGACCATATACGGCACATCTCCTATCAAAGCATAATATTATTCGTTCTTTCTCCTCTAGTTAATTTTCCTCTACAACCTCTTCTCTATTAAGTATTAGAAATATGGGTGACCTGGTAAGCCTTCGTGTTATCATAGCAAGAGCCTAGTGACTAACTTCATCCAAGCCGGACGAGATCAGGCTCAAGCCAAACAAGGACGGCTCTTTCATTCGGCCTGACAGTGCCTTTCGCAGCTTCGTATCACAGGAGCCAGATTCTCAGTTCCCGGCCGAGAAAGACCGCTATGCTCTTTATCTGAGCCCAGGATGTCCATGGGTAGGTCACTACTGCGGCTGAGCCCATACCATCACTGACAGATATAGTCTCATCGCGCCATGATCGTGAGAAGCCTCAAGAAACTCGAGAATATAATCGACTTGTACATCTGCTCGCTCACTATGGGTAAAGATGGTTGGTTTTTCGATGACAGCCCAGAAGCAGCCAAGTATGGTGTCCTCCCTAAGGACCCGCTTTATGGGCTCGACACGTTGAAGCAACTTTATCTCAAGGCCAACCCAAATTATGAGGGTCGATACACAGTGCCCGTCCTCTGGGATAAGAAGACCCACACCATGGTGAACAACGAGTCGAGCGACATCATTCGGATGCTCTACACAGAGTTCGACCACCTTCTTCCCGAGGAAGATCGTGAAAGTCACAAACCTGGACGAGAACTCTACCCAGAGCGCTTGAGAGATAAGATTGATGAGATCAATGAATGGGTCTACGGCACTGTCAACAACGGAGTCTACAAGACCGGCTTTGCAACGTCTCAAGCTGCATATGAAGAAAACGTCGTAAAGGTCTTCAAGTCACTCGATCGACTCGAGAAAATCCTCGACAATAGACCCTTTCTTCTCGGCAAGACCATCACTGAGGCTGACATCCGTCTGTTCCCAACCATCCTCCGTTTCGACGTTGGGTACGTCCCTATTTTCATGTGCAACCTTGGAACCATCAGGGATCACTATCCGAATTTGCATCTTTGGCTGAGGAGGCTTTACTGGGACAATAGCTTCAGAACTCATGGCGCGTTTCGAAAGACTTCGGAGCCTTGGCTTGAGAAGTACAAGACCGGTTATGCGAACGCGAGACGGAGAGTTCTTGGTATCACTGGGCCGGATATTGTTCCCAAGGGGCCTCTGGTGTTGATCCACGAGTTAGAGGAGGGGGAGAGGCTTTCGGCCTGATCACGAAGTATGGCGGTCACTGAAATATGAAACCAGCAGTGATGAACATGATATTGCTTTGTCTACATATGATGTTCAACATCTACTTGGCGATTAGGCATTAGTGAATGAGATGACTTCCTTAACCGCCGTATTCCTACACCAGTTCATGATAAGCGTCAACGTTCACTGCTGGCATCGGGCCTTGTACTTGACCAGCAATGCTCCAAGTGTGAGAGCACTCAGCCAAGCAGCCAACCAGGTAGCTCTGTTCTTCCGGAATACCAAACTTCTCGATAGACCTCGAGGCTTGTATGGATGCGTAAATCAATATGAGTGGTGCATGACGAAGCCCGTATTGCATTTTATAAACCCGAACCAGAGCAAGGATATCTTGAGCTGCCGTAGTGCAAGACAGAAGTGCAGCTTCTCGGGCCGAGGCAACGTTACTAGTGGTGGCCGACTCATAGTTCAAGGCAATACGAATACTGCTATAAAGAAGGCTTCATAATAACGATTAGTCATGTAATCCTATTTGGAGCATTGGAGGCCTACTGGAGTGTGGCCACCGCGGGAGTTATTGTCACACTCGTCGACCACTTATTCCACTTCGCAAAAGCGGGCAGTGCGTCCCTCCACTGTAGAAGCTCGAGGTTGAGATTGTCAAGCAGCGTCTGGCGCGTAAATACGTCTGTCTGCGTTCGAGGCGTCCGTGGAGAAAATACTGTCGTCATCATTTTCTCAACAATTCTGTACAGACGAATCTGCTCTTTGAGATATGGTATATTCGACAAGACCCGAAGCTCTTCTGGGTCATCTCCGAAACCAACAGGGCGCCAATACTCCATTCCGGGACCGTCACTGACTTCGTTAGTTGTTTTGAAAGATGGGAATGGAGACTGTCTTACGTTATGAACTCCAGCAGATCGACCTCAGCGCTATCGAAGGCCAGTTGTACGGGTCTCCCGAGTATCAAGCTTATTAGTTTGTCTGATATGTATGAGCCCCAATAGATTCTGCGACGGATCTCAATATCCTCGCTTGATATAATGGTCGAGTCATGTGGCAGCCAGTTCATAGGATCACTTTGAAAACCCAAGTCTTGGGCCATACGGAACGCGATACCTGTCTTTTGTTAAAACCAACCTTTTGATACGAGCATTTAGTATATCATACCTGAGAAAGCCCATCCCTTGGACACGTTCCCTCTACCAATTTCAAAAAATGCTAAGCATAAGAACGACTGGACGGTGGGGATCGAAGGACGGCTTAGGCCGGATACCATCACGATACTCTCAGCCGCCTGGAAGAACTGCTCACTCAGGTTCCGCTCCCCTTCAGTCTCTGACATAAGGAGGCCCAATGCGCATATAGACAGAAGAAGTGCAGATGACCAGTACTTGCAGCCTTTACGCTCACCAAAATGGTCTCTTAGAAACGCCTCTCGGTAAACGAACATAAAGTGGGGGTACTGCCAGCGAAAGAACTGCTGCAGTGCTTTGAAAACTGTGTCGTCCTCCAACTTGATGCCGAAGTGATCCATAACATGGTCAAAGTTGGACTCTGCGTACAGACTCTGCGTTGGGCTTGGATAGCTCTCGCTTGTGGAGAGAAGATCACTGTTGAAGATGCTGGTCGCGCCATGGTAGACTAGTGATCCTTCTGCGTCTGGTTTCAAAAGTGCTCGAGCTGTAGTATCAGTTTGGATGGCACGAGACGACCCTGCGGTTGAAATATTTGATATACTCTGTATGTAAGCCGCGGGCCCAAGCATTTCATCTCGACGAGCGGGAGAAGCTTCTCTCAACTCCTGTATAAAGGCTTCTAATGAAGCAACTCTATTTCGTAGACCAATCGTGTATTCTGAAGATGGTGGGTTTCGTCTCTTGTCGATCTTTTCATACTCGCAGCCTGCACCAGCAGTTGCACAATTGGTGCATGGGACTGTTCGTGTGCATCTCAACTAGCGCCGTCAACTTTGCACCATTTCATCCGGACATCGTGACATGAAGTTACCTTTCGGTATCGGCAACGTTTGCAACTAGGGTTTCGTGTCAGTGAAGGATATCTTTGGTGACGCGCTTGTTCAAAGTCTCACGAGAGTTCTTGCTTCCCTGTTGCGGGGTTCATATCGGCTCAGGCTAAAAAGAACTAGCTGGCAGGGTCCTATGATGCCAGGTTCAAATACCGACTAGGCACCGCCTAAGGCTGTTGCGAGATATCAGCCCAACATTGGGGAGGGGGTTGGGAGAGTCCGGAGCCGGCTGGAAGGTTAAATGCAAGTTGGATGTGTGGGTCAGGATTGTGCTCTATTGCCAACTACCAACCGTTGCCTACCCTAGAGAACTCCGTCAGCAAAATTGGTTTTGTTGAGTATTAATAAATACACATCAATTGTAACATATTTCAAATTCAAGCAACTATTTATAAAAGAAATATCAATGATCATTAGATGATCAATGGCTTTCTGATTATCATTTTATCTTATTTTCAGTGTCATATTATTTTTAAATATGAGTCAAGACGTTGACCATCACATTTCTTTTTGAAGCCTCACTTCCCAAGACCTGCATCTCACCAGAATTGGCATGCCACTCTCCTGAGTGAATACGTACTTCCACTATTGGATGTGATAACTTTGAATCATCGGTAGGAATATGCTCGTCATGCCATCGTTAGCATCGTCGTTAACCTTTCTCATTTCTCAGACTATCAAACCAATCATTAATAAAAGTTTTCTTAATCGGTTGTTCCGCGAGGAACCTCTCTGATGGAAAAGTTGGTCGTTCGGTGCTCTCTGGCGGGTAAAAGCGACTGTCATCAAAGAATACCCAAGCGCGCTGCTGACCGATCTTGTACCTGAGTTTCTCCTTGGGCTTCAAAGAGAGCTGATTGTATAAAGATGATTCGCAACCATTTTTGTATTTTTGCTTGGATACGAGTAACAGCATAAAGTGCATGTCCCACGTAGAGGAGATAGAAGGGGCTCCAAACTTCCAGACATCTTTGAGTTTCTTGTCGAGTGCTTTCCTTTCATCTGGCTTAGCCATATCGTAGCGAAGGAAATTGGTGAGACGATCGAGCCCAAGCGTTGAGAAACCGGCCCCAATATCATCGCCAAGGTCGCGAGAGAGCAAACGAAGATTAGGCGCGTAGACGTTCGCATCAAAAAAAAGGGCGTCGGGAATGGGAAAGAATAGCTGAGTTCGTAATGAAGGCGCCGCCAAAGCGGTTGGGAGATAAGCATTGTTGCATTGGGCTAGCATTGCCCCGTATAGGGAACAGACGTAGCTGTGGACACACCCGACAGCTTCGTACTCGGCGTTGCTGACTTTACGTAGCCGTAGCTTGCTGGGAATATGGGTGACGTTGCTGGTCTTGCATAGTAGATCATACACCAGAAATGCTTTGACAAACCTTTTCCGTTCTGAGGATGTGAGATTGGCGGAATTGAATCGCGGTGCTACCTTGAGGCCTTTGAACATAAGATGTCCTTCAGTTGATGGCGGCTGGATTTGTGGTAGACAAAGATATTCCTGAGGGGGAAAAGAAGCGGTAGCTTTGGTGATATAGTCCTCGGCGAAAAGAAGAATTCGACCATGTAATTTATTGAGCTGAACCACCAGGTGGTCGTCTTTACCCTTGAGAGGATCGGGCAGCTGAGAATTTGACCAAGCCCGCAAATGTGCACGAATAAGCTCTGAACGGTGCTTGTGTCGAGGACTATCACCAGAACCCCGACGACTTGGAAACGACAAAATAGCCATAGCATCTTGTATCATCTCCGAGTCAAATTCGGCGGCAAGCACTTGTCGTAAGATAGAATTCTTGTGTGCGAGATATTGTTGCAGCATGGTGGGAGAGGCTTGAATTATCCGTGATATCGACGATTTGCAGCGAGTCGATACGAGAACCTGGATACGTAGCTCCGGTGGTAGCTTGATGAAGGGATCTGTTACAGCGAGCGCCATTTCCTTTTGGTCCTCAGTGGTCGTCTGCGTTAATGAGAGACTAAGAAAAGAGAGGGGGGAGACTATGTGGGTATTTATACCCAACTCCAGTGGCAGAGTAGGAAGCCAAAGACTGTCAAATGAGTCATTTCTGGTGTTAAGGTTCAGTGGGAAGACCAACATCCAGTCATAAGCCTGAATCTTGAACAGAGAGTAGTCTTAGTTTAAGATATTGCTCGTGATAAACTTTGCCGTCAAATATAACTTTCTTTCTACATGTGGTGCGTTGATCAGTAAGTTAGAAACTGCTTCTTGATCACAAATTGTTGACAGGTGATAGAGAGAGGGCCTCATTAACGCTTCCACCAGAATTGACATGCAATGATCTGACAAAAGTGGACTCTTAAGTTCTGTATCGTGATATAAGCTCTCAGCCACAGGTCTCAACTGCAAATAACACATCTAGCCCATAACTTGGTCATTAAATCACAATGCCTGACCAATTGCTATAGCATAAATGCTAATAAGATAAGAAGCTAGATTATGACTCTTTAGCCATAACTGAGGGCAAATAAGATGGAGAAGGACCTTGCCCTCGGAGGAGTGTGCTCTTGCATCTGGTAATGAGAACCTAAATGTCGGGACATCCTTTCCATAAGGTACATAAGACAGCTTGGAGGTAACTGTAGCTGCTCGCCGTACCTAACTTAGGTAGTCTATCAAATATCCAGTAATTGAGGCAGGTACAACATAACTTGTTTTATTATTGCAATACCAGGATAGAATGTAATTCTCTTTCGTCATCATCATCATCTTATTAACATCGTGAGTTTTTGGATTTCTTTTCTTTTTGGGATTTTATTATCAAACTAATTACTTGATAATTACAAATATCCTCCTGTAGATAGCATATCGATATCATCACCATGAACGCCGCCGACCATGCCCATTTGGCTGCCATGGGACTGGCCATCCCCAGCTCTGAGGCGTCCGCCCTCCCTCTCCCTCTCACTCGCCGACAGGCGATCCGCGGCCGAGCTACGGCTCTCAGGGTCCATACCCTGCGGCGTTCTGTGACCCCGACCAGATACCTACTTCGGCATAACGGGATGAGAATTGCGGGAAGACGCAGGTTCGGGGAGGCCAGGCGTCAGCACAAGTTGATGCAGAAATGGCAGAACGACGAGGCAGAGGCATACCGGCGAAGGGTCGCGGCATTGGTTGATGGCCCCAACCCTGTTTGGACCTTTCGGGGTCATTTACAGTGGTTGCCCGGCTTCCTGGCAAATGGGGAGGTCCCATTGCAGGAGCGCAAGAGGGTGGCTAACCATGCGGAAGACGCGGCCCATTTTGCTATCGAGTAAGTACTCCAAATCTCATTTTAAGAATTTGACAGCTTACTAATCTTATTAAAGGCAAGCAGAGAAGCATCATCGCCTTCTCAAGAAGTGGGTATGGGGTTACAATACCCTTGCGTCCCGAAGGCAGCATGAGGGATACGCTCGGTTGGCACACCGTGCCGCTGTCCATTAGGTGGAGATAGCTGAGCTATGGTCCCCTTCTCTCTAGAGGCTCGACCCGACTAGTGGTGTTGGAGATACGCCGTCGCCGCGTCACCCACTAGGACACAAGTGGGTGTTGTATTATTCCTTATACGAAGGAAAACGTAAGGAACCCTTGACTCAATCGACTGGTGACCTTGTTCTTTCAAGGTCTTGAGGCCCGCCTGTGGACGGCTCCCTTTTTAGAACTCGGTTCATCACTACGATCCGGTCAAGTAAGCGAAGGAAAACGCAAGGAACCCATGGCTATTCCGACAATTTTCGATCTCTCAAGGTCTTGAGGCCCGCCGATGGACGGCTCCCTTCCGAGACGAATTTTAGAGGATGTCACGAGGCGAAGGACAACGCAAGGAACCCGAGGAAAAGATCACTCGTAACATACTGCGAAGGAAAACGTACAAAACCCACGTGACTAGGTCGCATCCAGTGTTGTTTAAAGGTCTCGAGGCCCGCTGATGGACGGCTCCCTTAACACCTGGATCGATGACAACGACCAAGTCAAACGTCGACGATGAGTTCGCACTTCTACGTAGTGTCGACGATAAACTCCTTCATTTCAAGGAGGCCAAGACGAACTCGGCCTGATATACATGGAACGGCTGATGCGATATCCCCTGAAGTGTGTTTTTGACAGTGCTATTCTGAGTTGATGGACCCGGCAGCTGATGCTTGCGTTGCGCGCCTTACCTCGATACGCTATCCATCCTTTTAACCATAAAGCAGTTTCATGCATGTCAACATCGCAAGGCGGACAGTTCAACCCTTCCGATCTCAGGTCTCAACACAAAGAAAGGCCTTGAATCTACAGAATAGTTCAACTACGCAAGATTCAAACCAGTACCATCCACTCTCTATCGGCCACAACCAGACAGCTGAGCTCCCAAATCATCGTAAAAATCCATCAAACATCAAGACCATCAACAGCATACAATATCTATCAACCAAGCTAACATATTATCACCCTATTAATCCACCGGATGCCGAGTGTCAAGTTCCGAGCGGAGGGCGTCAATATACCTCTTTCAAGAGAACCCTTCAAACAAAGCATCGCGACACATACGCCTTTTTTTCCGGCTAGCTGTTACTATCTAGTTACTTGGAATTCTGCTGGAGACTCACTACATGCCACAATATCAATCCATCTGGCAGTATCGAAACATACCAGGACAGCCCTCTCCGACAAGCGACGAACCCGCTCGTCACCAGCATACCGAAACCGCACATCGCCGAAGGCCGAAGACTACACGCCTCTGGTCGAGTACCAGTCTACAGGACCCGAGTCGTCCGTCAGTGGAAGCCTATTATCCACTCTGTTACAAGCGTTATCGTTGCTGAATTACGGTAGCGCAGTTGCAGTCCAGCAAATAACACTCAAATTCCAGAGAGTTGGATGCAACCTTTGACATAACCGTATACGCATTTGGCGCTTCCTGGTGTAAATCGATACACTTGTTGACCGTTGGAAGCTGTCTGTGCATACCCTCGGATGGAGGACGAAAGTGAGACTTAGCAGGAGCACTTAACAAGCAGCAAGCCATCTACGATGCCATGAGTCATTCTGTTGCTGCTTCCCGGTCAGTTCCCAAGTTTTCTTCCGTCCTTTGCACATTTTCTCCTAGATGAAGAGCACCTGGGATCCGCTGTGATGAAAGAATTGTCAACTTATGCAACAATAATCAACGTCTTCGGTCCAGTCAAGTGCTCAACCATCAGTATTGCAATAACCTCACATCTTAGCGAGCCATAGAGCCCTACGACAGCATTGGTACCGGTCTCACATCTTGTATATGGAACTTCAAGCTAGACAGATCTGACCTGGCACCTATTGGGGAAACAGGGGAGCTGTGACTTCTGGGCCCTAGAGGAGACCAGGGCTACACCAACGAACCCACTGAAACAACAGAGCCTCTTTTCGACGGTACCGATTGGCTTCTTCGAGGTTGTTCCAAGATCTCACATACCGAGGGCCACACCGGCCGAGTGAATCGACTTGACTAGACTGGAACCTTGTTTTTTTTTTTTACATTACAGACCAGAATTGAAACCAGAATTCTTAAGAATACGAAGATCTGGAGTCAAGTCTTGAATCTTCTTATCACCAATATTGGCCTATACTCGAACTTAACACGTCTGGGTGGCGACTCGATCGCTGCTATGCATGTGATTTCCCGTTGGCTCTCACAGAATATCTCTGTCAAAGTCGCCGACATTCATAAGGTTCCAACCATTCGTCTCATAGCTCAGACACGCAGGTTTACTGAAGCGGTGATACTTATCGATAGCTTACTGACACGAGAATAAGAAGAAAGGCTCAAGTTGTGGACACCAGTTCAGCAAATACTCGTCGACGGTAACCTTCAGGGTTTAAAGAATTACACACTCAGTTACTAACCAAGCTGGAGAGGTACACAATCAATCTAGAGCTTCCTGAGGCTCTCGAGTCTCGCAGCATGACATGGCAGGTTTCTTGATCTATTTCACAAGAATGAGGGTTCTCACAGTTGTGGCCAATACCTTGCAGCCACAAACTCCAACTCGTTTGTGTTGGAAGTTCACAAGTTTGTGGACCACCCAACATTGCAAATTAAAGTGAACAAGCGACAGGATCAATGGAGATTGTCGATGATCCTGTCTTTGCGGTAGAAGGGTTTCGGTACTCTGATGAACCACAGACGATTCTATTGGTTGCCCATCATCTAGTCATGGACGTCATCTGCTGGCGTGTGATTTGGCACGAGTTGGGTTAGCATTTTGACGGGACTCACTTCTCCCCAATACGCAACCTTTTCTTTCAGGCGTAACCTCATCTTCGGATCCAAGAAGTCAATAGACTCCAACTATAAACCGTCTTCCCTTCTCAAATAAAGTACTGAAGAATGTCACCAGACTACGTTGGTATGACTTCCGTTATTGACAGCGCGCTTCCGGTCGGCCGTTTAAGTGGCAGCATACGCTATTCATGGCTGTGGGCCTGTAATTATTGTGCCTGTTCAGCGTGTTACAGTGGGCCATGGCCGCTAAGAAACACCAGGCAATCCCCTTGAATCTTGTTAGTATCGGCACTCTTACAAAATGGGGAATAACCTTTAGTATTTTAGTAATATGAAGGAGGACACAGAGTGAATCGAAGTATCAAAGACGATAATCTTGCGTCTCAGTGGGTAGGAAGGCTGTTGGGTTGGTATCGAAGGTTCATCGAGTTCTCACTGATCCGTTCTTCCTTGTCAGCAGTAATTGCCAGCTTTTGCCCTCAACCATGACACTCACTAGTCAAGCCGAGAGTATGCCCACCACCACGGCGTGGTACTTGACAAAGAGCACCTTAAGGCTGAATATACTCACAGGATTTACTCACAACGAACAGTAAGGAAGGGAAGACGGCTTTGCTGGTATTAAGCCGCTTGCAGGGTGAGATCAGCATGCATGCTCGGGTCAAGTGCTGCCTGATCATGTTGCCCTCTTTCAAATGATCACTGATCATATTTCACATTCTTCTACCCGTAGTAAGGTCCTGGAGGTCCCAGATCCTCCCAGAAACAAAAGAAGTTCTTCAATTCAGACATATATCGTGTTGTCCTCTTAGATCAATGAGGCGTAAGGAAAGCACCTCTCAGAAACGAACTGCGGCAGAACGCCACACAGCATCTAGGCGACATTATTTAGAAGGTCGAGCGCATCTCTGTGGCTCATCGTATTTGGCAGGTCTTGGATCAGCGCATTAGGCCAGTTTTACCCTGAGGCTCAACCTGAGCGTGTGGGCACCTATGTTGTTCGTGGCGTTTTGAAGGCATGCAAGCCAAAACTTCCGTATAACGACAGGTCTATCGCCGCTCAATTTTTTACAGACGCATTGTCTGCTTTTCTGAACCGTTGTCTGACGATGGAGACAGAACTATCTGAGGTCTCGATACGCCTGTATCACTTCCCTGATCACAACATCTCAGCTGCCGCAGCACGTCAGTGGAACAGATGAGAGTAATCGGTCTCCAATTTGGAACTCATCCCTATCATTTCTATAAAGATCGATGATCCGGATTGCAACCTCACACATACCCTGTTCGAGTCTCACTACCTTTGTAAAAATGACTCTTAGCTCGAAGAAGGACAGCTACTAGATCACAAAGACAGTGGCAATATGAACACATCCCAGTATATTTCTCTCTTCCCTATTCTCCAGATGCCTTAAAGATGAATATTGGACGCGATTGTCACTATGTTCTCCGTGCACCGGTGACTTGGGAATTGATTCAGGCGCTGCCTATAACCTCTTTGCAATTGATCAATGACGCATCATGTTCTACTACTATAGTTTGAATACCCCGATGAACTATGATCCATGTCTCCGTGGCTGGTATATCGAGCCAAGAGCCCATCATTTTGTGATGAGCTAGCAAAGCTATGAATTGCATCATGAAGCCTCCGCAGTCAGGTACAAAGCTCTCGAGCGGCCATCTTTGTTAGGAATAACGTCCATATAGTTTCGAACAAGTAAGAGAAACAGCATCCAAGAACACAACTAAAAATGAGGAAACAGCTGCAACCACTGAAAGGTGATGAAAACTCCAACGGGACAATACCGCAGGCTCGCAAAAATCTCAGCGACAATGAAGGCCCTTGAGAGAACATATACGATACCTAAAACAGATAGCAAGTATATGCAATAGAACTTGGCGAGCTTTCTTATGATCCTCTTGAGAGATTCAGGTGTGTGCTGTGGGAAGACGAGAACATAAGACTCGTTGAGAAACAGACACCAAATGCTGAGCCAGATCAAGCCTGATATAGTAAAATAAAGAGGCAACGCGCCTGCGATAAACAAACAGCTTAGCTTCCATAGGAGTTCCTCAATGTATGAAGGGAACTTGAACAGAAATGTCGGTGCAAAGTGAAAACCGCCATAAAAAATAGAATAAATTGCAGCGAGGAGTGATGCCTTGCCATACCTCCAGAACTTCCATATGGGACCATATGTCTCACGAAAGCCTTGCGTCTCAAAATGTGGAGCAATATCTAGGGAGAAGATGCTTCTACCCTCCCAAAATTCCCTCTCGCGATCTAACAGCAGCTCGTGCCTGAATTCATCTAGCCGCATAAGGAGAAGGATGCGTTTCTCTCTCTCCGGGAGGTCCGGTATACCGGCTTCAACGTCACTTCTCCAGATTTGATACTGTCTCGACGTTTCAGCTAGGTTCTCTCGTTGTTCGTCGGGAAATTTGGACAGAATGGCATCCCATCGCCTAAGGAACTCAGTTGTGAGGTCGAAAGAAAAATCCGGGGATGTCGTTTTCGAGCTGATTTTGTGTTTCACCACTGTCGTAGCACCCCATATGTTCTCGAGCGGAAAGCAACCATCAGCGACATCTGTCCTGTATAGAGCGAGCCCAGACGTAAGAATATCGCCAACTTTCATTTGTGCTGGCGCTGCTTGATCGATCCATCGCATTTGTCTCCCAAAAGGTCCTAGTGGAGGTGGCTGTTCTGGGGTTTGTTGCGAAGTGAAGAGGGCTAGTCTGTATGACATCCTGCTGTAGAACTGTTTCTGCAACATAATGGCCAGTTCGGCCTCGAAACCATGCGGATGAACAACGATTGCTTCCTGGACATCTAAAGGCTTCTGTACGCTTGTCAGCTAAGTGCAATGAGATTTGGGGAGATATATGAACCTTGATCCAGAAACAATATTGGACAACAGCAAAACTAACGTGTAACATGGTATGGACTTCCAGTAGTGTAAGTGGAAATCCATATGCAAACCTCCAAGCACATTGCATAATCATCCAGAGCACTTGAATAAGAACAAGTGCTTTCTGGAATATGTTAGCTTTACTCTTGTCGTCAATCTGATTCTCCTGGATTTTGATCCAATGTCCATTTTTGGCTAGTGAAAGTATAGCAGGCGGACCTGCACGAACGGTTTTCCGGCCATTTTTGGGGTCTTTGAAAAACTTCTCAGCTGTAGGGTCGATATCCGGAATAGACAAGATATCGTTGACGTCGAAACGAAGTCCCCCCATGATGATAAAGTAGGCATACTTCAAGTTAATCTCGAACTAACTACTGTTATCAAGTGTTGTAAAGCACCACAGAAGGCGACTTACATCAGCTTCAGGACTTGATTTCGTTAACTTCTGTCGTATCTGTATCTTTTCAAGGCCCGACTTGAGAATCCAGGCATCAAGAAGCTGATTAGTAGCGGTCAGTATGGAGACTTCTGGGATTACGATAGTTAACAGGACCCATTTTGCCTTTTCGAACAGAAGCCGTTGCCATTTGGGGTTCGGAATTACGTCAAGATGAAGGGCCGTGAAGACGCAGGCGATGAGGGTAAAGATGCAACTTTCAAGTATATCGAACGTGCCTCTGACATTGGGAGTGCCGACCCATGATGGAGCAAGCTTTGACCACAAATGATCCGTTCCATTGTAATCAACGATAGAAACATTCCACGGTTGGATGAAAGTTGACGAGTTGAGGTCTCCCATATTGACTTTGTTAAGAGAGAGACAAGCCAGGGGAGTATGATGCTGCGATCTCAAAGATGTCCATGTTCTTAGTGAGAGTTCTAATACTAGTTTATAAGTTGCGAACTTCAACTTTCAGTATGCTATGGCGATGTCGAGCCAGCCAATAGGCGGGCCGTGTTTGCCGCCCTGTATGCAGTCAAGTAGTTTGACAAAACTTCAAAAGCCACCGAATTTCCCCCGCAACGTAACATATGTGAAAGTCCAAAGAGGCTCGGGGCAGAATACGAAATCTTTGTACAACAACCCCTTAGTATTTGTGTTCCTACCGAAGCTCAGAGAATGGCCTCGAATTCAACCGTTGTCGAGTCAGGTCCTGAATCCCCAACTACCCCTCACCTCGAACTCATCAACGGCCCAAGTCCCATACCGTGACGCTGTTGTGTCATGGAAAATTCCAAAGGTTGAACTTTTGGGCGAGGAACGTTACATCGACAGTTTCGAATCCGATTGCGTGACACATGTGGTGTTGCAGTGAGCCCTTTTGTCAGTACAGAGAAGAATCGTGCAACTGATCGGCTGAAAAGAGTATCAGACGCTCGACAACGACAAGTATTTTCTCAGATTGGCGTTCAGCATGACTATGGTTATCCCTTCCCTATCTGGCACTTTCTTGGCAAAATGATCTCCCAGGCGCTGTTCGAAAATGAGACTTCGCTTGAGATATTGAGTTTTACAAGGGTAAACGACCGCGAATTCGTTGGGTTCGAGAACAAGAACTATCCAAAAAGCAGTAACAGCACAGACATTAATGCTGTTGAAGTGAGTCTCAAAACACCACGGCCTAATGAGCCTATGGAGGTCTTTTGGCGGCCTGCTAGGGGCATCATCATCGAGAGGCTTCGAGAATGTAAGAATTGTGAGGGTTACACTTCGGGACTTTGAGGCTGAGATGAAACACAGGGTTACAGGAACCCCTTTCGGCCCCTTGACGGGTAGATACTGTAGCGTCTCTTGTTGCACAGAGCCTACACAGCCAACAGCTTCGAATGCTCAACGAATGCTACCATGTCTGAGCCCTGTCGATCATCTATCCTCGTGACAATCTAATGTCCGAATCATCATTCAGCCTAGCAGATACCAACATAACATTCTTGTATCTCTCATAGGCATATCAGGGTCCAATTTGTTCTCGGCGAGCGTTGGTTCTGCAACGAACTGCATTAGAACCCTCAGCTAGCATAAGTACTCTATTAGTATGTCGATCTTTTACCATATTTACAAATGAAGAAAGGTTAAATCCTGGATCTTCATCACGCCGGCCGACAACCTGTTTTCATTATTCACACGATTCAGTCCCCATCTTCATTTAGTAATTGTGGCGTCAAGCTTTCCTAGCCTCCCCGGCAGTGACATCCCAGCGACATGGGTTGTGGGCTGGAAAATAAGGCAGCGAATTGCCGCCCAATTGTAGCAGTGGCCCAATGCCTTATTGTAGAGGTGAAATGGCGAGCTAGATCAAGAGTAAGGCCTTCTCAAGGGTCTTAGCTGGATGCTATACGCGTTTATCAACTCACTGGGCATGTCCAAAGTTCAAGGCCTACATTTTGAACTGAGAACGTCTTTCCAGATGAAATAGAACTTTAATACTCCTATTGAATGCTCCTTGTATGTCTTTCGGGCATTTTCCCCTTTCAGCCTGATTTAAAGGCTCCTCAGGGAGCAAGAAACGTCGACGGTAAATCAAGGTGCCAAAATTGTTAGTCTAAAGGTCTACTATATCCATATCTAATCTACCTAAGTTTATCCAAAATTCATCAAAGTCTTTTGTCATTTAGCATAGAAGTCGGAAGCTTTCTTGCTCCCCCTAGGCTGTCTCCACCTCACTGAGAGATCTTCTACACAACGAGCTAAGAACTCGAGATTGACCAACACCAACGAAGTGATTACCGATATCTTGATAGCCCATGCGAACGAACCGGTAATGGCTGTTTCACAAAGAAGCCTAAAGTCATCCTAATCGAGCTGAAGCTTCGGTCATCAATAATTGCCAAGCATAGCCAAGGTAACCCCCGTGTCGATTATGACTCGGACCCTCTTTCATATGCCGTTAGGGGTTCGATATGCCAAGACGGCGCTAGCATTACTCGACAGCTGTTTACGTACAGCAATTTAAACTTTCGGCATTTTCCCTGGCGTACGAACTGATTACTCTTCTCGTTTCAGTTAAGGCTGCATCCCTCCTACGTAGGTCCAAGCCAAAACCCCCCCGGCAGAAAAAAGTGTGTATGTCTGAGATCTCATCAGTGGCGTACGGGAAGTCAGCATTCTATCGGATATTCCCAGCTGAAGAGATTCCCAGCAGATCAATATGCCAAGATTCTCCCCTGACGGCTCATCAAATCCACAACAAACCTTATCCGGAGGATCCCCCCTGTTTGTGTTTTTCCTTCTCTTCCAGGGTGAAGCCCCTACGCTGAGGAGTCAGGATATGACACAGGACTTGTTACGACGTCAGGAACTGGCGTATGACGAATGAGAGGTGCCGGAGGGATATCATCCTACCTGGGCACAATGTCGATCGACAAGGTTCCCCGGAGACGGTCTGTGAGATCTACAGTCTAAATACGACGTCGTCTGTTTTTAGCCCGTCTTTCTGCTGTTGGTCTTGAGTTAGTGCACTGACAGTTCGAGAAAATGAGTAGTAATGCCTTTTCCCCTGTTTCTTCGTCTTTGTAGTGCTGTAGATCCTATTTCTTAGCTTCTTCCTCATTACATCTCGTGCCTTGATTGTCTTCCCATTTTATTCTTATAGATATCAGCCCTGCGGGACTTTTTCTTTTTCGTTTATCTCTTTCTCCATTTACCAGCGACCGGGTAATTGGGCAGACCCATCGGTACTGATACATCATATGTCTTAGTATCCCTCTGCTTTATCTTCTTCTGCCACTCTTTCTTTGCATTCACTCACCGACAATGGCTACCGCAACACACTACACACCCGATGCTGGGGTGATGAGCTCTCAGATCATCACCTATTCTGTCGCCACAGCTCTCTTGGTCTGTCGTCTGATATCTCGAAGGCTTACACACGTCGCATTGTGGTGGGATGACTTTTTCGCGATGCTCTCCTGGGTGAGTTGTACTTATCCCTCTGTTGGTATCCACTTACTGATCTTTCTCTCCCAAGATCTCTGCCTCTCTCTACTTTGGCTTCACGATTTACTGTACGTATATGACCATCTTCAGACTCATCGATCTTGTCAAGTCACATCATGCTAATCTCTCTCCAGGGGCCGTGAAAATGGGTCTTGGTCATGTGAAGGCGGACGTTCCTCTACCAGCCGAGAGAGTTGAGGAGTACGCTCGATTCGGTCTATTTATTGCCGAGTTCACATACGCAATGTCCCTTGGCTTCTCCAAGCTTGCTATCCTTGGTTTCTACTGGCGCCTATTCAGTGTCTCAAACATCCGAATGGGAATCCGTATCCTTCAGGGATGCACTGTGATCTGGCTCACCATCCGAACTTTCATGACCATCTTCCACTGCATACCTGTCGAAGCCTACTGGAACCACAACATCAAGAACGCCGTGTGCAACATCGACCCTGCCAAGTTCATGTTTGGTACGACGCTGGTACATCTTATGCTCGAGATTGCTGTGTTGTCGTTGCCTGTATTTCAGGTCAAGAGCCTCAAGCTTCGCCCGGGACAGAAGATCGCTGTCGTCGCTTTGTTCATGTTTGGTATCTTGTAAGTCTTGGTCATCTTTACCTCATCATCTCTGGTTGCCTTGTGTTAGTAGGAAGCTAACTTGGTCTCCCTTATAGCGTTTGTATAGCTTCGATCATTGTGCTTATCGAAGCAATCAACCTCAATCCCAAGACGACTGAAATGGCGAGGGATATTAGGGGAGTCATTATCTGGGCAGGCACAGAAGCCTACCTCGCAATCATCTCTTGTAAGTAGCATAGCATGACCACTGACCTTGTTGCTAACCTTGACAGCTTGTCTCCCTATCATCCGACCTATCTTCCGCAAGGTCATCTCGAGCTCGATACTTTCATCGAAGTCCAACTCAACTGGTCCCAATCCTATCAGCGGCTTGACTAGCAGCCGGGGTATCAAGCTTACCAACGTTACTCGAACAAAAGAAATCGACGACAATAGTTCGCAGCGACAGCTTGCCGAGCTTGAAGACGGATCGTCTGATGATATGAATTTTCATGGCTACCCAGAGCGTGTCGCCAATCACAACACTGTCATCACTAGTTGCGCCGATGAGAGACCTAACAGCCACGCACACAATACAAGTGTACAGGGCATTCAAGTCAAGAATGAGACAAGAATATACTATGAGTAGGGGATCTTGGGGGAAGCTGGATTGGAGTTCTTTTCTGTTGGAGAATGAAGGAAGCCTCTTCAGGCTGGTATAGCGACTTTGCAATGTATGATATGAAGTATAATGATAGATACCAAACTTCGCACATATTGATACAGAATGTCTTTCTTCCAGCAAGAACAGTCAGAATTGTCATGTTAGGTCTTATAAATGGATACAGCTAGTGTATTCTCACTTATTTATCAGAAGCTTCCCGACAAGGCTCAGTGGAGAGTCAAAGCAATCATGGTGCCTTGGCATACTGCTTATGAATGAAAATCCCCAACGAGCTGTTACAAGGCACTTGTTTGCCGCAATGGACTTGAAAGCCCATTCCACACTTGAGATGGTGGAGAGCTTATCATTCTTTCATAAATAGACCAGATATTTGTGCCCAAGTCACTGACGATGACTTGATGACCCTTCCTGTATCATTTGTTCACAGTTGAACTCGGCAACAAATATTCACAAACAACTTTCACTCTGAGCAATCGTGTATTTCTAACGCTCGAGCATCTGTGAATATGAAAGCATTATTAATTGCCTTTCAAACTCTCCCCGTGAAATGAGCTTTGTCTTGCTGACCTGACATGTCTTCGTCGACCTTGAAACCCGTGACGTCAATCCATCACGTGAAACCCCATTCCCATACGAGCCCACTTACGTATCGATATCATCAGGAACCTAGACTAACCGCCAGCGATTCCCAAACTCAAAATGGATCGCCTCTCAACTGAACTCCTCTCCATGATCGCAGCGGAAGCTGCTGCGTCTGGACCACAAATTGACATCAACACAGTCTTCGATGTCTGGGACTCTGATGACACGTTGAAAATTCCCCGAACGTTATCACGAGATAATTCCCTTGCTCCATTCGCCGCCGTTTCACACAATTGGCAGCTCGCTTTTGAACCGTTCACTTTTCATACCCTTGTCATCTCGCCGAAGAGGCTGGTTGAGGCGGCACAGCACGGGTATCTCACTCAACGACGGCTGGGGTATGTTCGCTTTATCGCAGTTCTCATCGCCTTTCCGCTTCCGCGACCGTGGGATACTCCCATTGTATTCCCCCCAGAACTGGATATAAGAAAGGACCTTTTCAGAGCCAGAGGTGATACCGGAGATGTCTCATCCGAGGATGAGGTCGAAGGAGTTGAAGAAGACGACGTTGATGGCGACGGTGACTATATTACTAGCGTAATCGACTTCCCCCATCCAAGAGACAGAGGCTACGATAGAGTATTCGCCAAGATGATAAGAATTCTCTTCAGCACCCTCAAATTGGCTCCTGTCCACGAGAATCACCAACCATACATCGATATACGGCTCGGCTTCCCAGTCCCTCGGGAATACGGACTGAGCCGCATTTCCGGCCCTGAAGAGATGGAAGCAAATACCCTAGAAGGCCCTTGGCTTACAACTGTCTATCTCGGTATGAACCACGACGGTGAGGAGCTACCAGAATTGCCGTCCATAGCTTCATGCAGTTTTGAACTCGTCTCGTGGAGTTTATGCTTCGAACCTCACACGGCATGCATCATTGGAAGCAAGATGCCGTGTCTGAAGAAACTCAAACTTCATCTTAGCGATAGAGAGTTAAAAAACAAAGGTCTTAGAAATGAGCTGAGAAAGAGTAAGGTCTCCATGGGCTACACACCTGAGTCGCTGACAGTTCTGTAGAGCTCGCAAATTCGCTGTCTATCTTGCCACAGAGCATCTACGACTTCGATTTTCATTATTCACGAGGTATATCACGGGATCACTCGCACATACCCACGAGTATACTAGATCCAGAAGAAAACTCCGATCACCTTAGCCAAGCGCTCTTCAACTTCTCGCAGCGAGAGAACACAACGCGATTCTCGGCGAAGGGAAGTTTCGAACTGACTATAATGGGACCATCAGAAGAAGCTCTGTCTGGCTGTCTTGGCTGGTCGAAACTCGAATACTATGAGATCGGGTTTCTTGCGATAACCCCCGCTGGAAAGTGGCTCGCGGTACCCTATAAGGACGATCCGAACACTGACATTTTCAAAACCAAACGATGGGGTGCACCGAGTGGGCGGTCGCGAGGTTATTTCTCAAGTTTCGTCGTCAATGAATTCAGAGGTCCAATTGATCCAGACTATGCACATGAACTACTCTGCGCGGCAGGACAGGCAGCTTCTCACATGCCCCGGCTACAACGAATGGTTATCAATGTCGGTGTGATCGGGGGCTACAGGGTCTCTTACAACAGCGCCAAAGTTGAGCCTTGCATGAGAATTGTTGGGAAGAAGCTGCAGCCGCCGATGGAAGACATGCTTCGAATTTGGCGTCGCATAGCGAATGAGCATGATCACAAGTTCGTCCTTCGTTGGAAGGACACAGCCAAAATAAAAACGAGAATGGAAAATTTTGAGTAATTTGGTCATGGGATTTCTGTATTAAGATCATAGATGATATATGAGAATCAATGGGTATCAATGTTGCTGGTCGGGTCCCGTGTTTGCCCCTGGTAGATGAACTGTCCTTAATCCTGAACTCCTCCCAATGATATGCTGTATTGCAAATGAGACAATTCTGTTCAATTCGAGGTCGCTCAGCGCCTCTTTCTAGGGGGCGTCATCCTTGTAAATAAAATGGTTGGTCCCAAAACCATATTGTGTGTAGCCAGGTCGTCACTCAGTTGTGTCAGAAGACGCAATGTCAACTCCAACTCAAGCGCCGTATGACGCATGGCGAGATGAGTGAAACGACACGGCTAAAGTTATTTATTGCCGTGGTGGCTTTGTGGCGCTGTTAGCTTACGGAAGCCTCAGTGTCGGGTGATGGCTTCGGCATTTGCAGTTGGGGAACTCGTAGCAGCGGTGAGGGTCGTGCTTCAGTGGCTGTTTGAAGAGCTTACGGAGGCGTTGTAGTTATGAGCTGTCTATGTGGCGTATGAGTAATTGTTCTGCGATGCGTTAGAATTGAAGGGCGAGATAAGGGAGGGTTACTTACAGTAGTCGAGAAAGTGTAGAGGGTTGGCCTTTTGGTGACGGCCTCCCGACTGTGACGATGCGTTGGTATTGTGCTTTTGTACGTGGTTCATCTGAATTGGGGCGACGTTCATTTGAATGGGAACGTCGCTTCCTGTTCGCGTAGAGGAATTTCGTCCGATGGATTGACATTCGATGTGTGAAGGGTCTGGCGGTGGGGTTTCGGATTCACCGACGATGTGCATGCAATTGCAGTCGCTGTGCTGGACGAGTAAAAGCAATTTATTGAGCACCACGAACTCCATCTTGAGTTTTATGCTGTACACGACGGGCTTGTAGGTTGTTTGGATGTTGAAGTGGCTCATGTACTGCGTGAGGATGAGGCTGATGTCGAGGAGGATGACGAGGATGTTGACGATGATGAGGTATCGCATGATCTTGCGCTCCATTTTCTTGCGCACGGCGAAGATCGGTTTGAGGCCCCGCGACGTTTCCCAGATGTATAGGCCTGAGATGATTGTTTCTTGGATGCAGAAGCCGGCCAGTTGAATGCGCTCGTAGACGTTGAAGGCTCTGATGAAGTGGGCCGAGTGTTTGGTGTTGCTTCCGAGGAAGAGGACCGTCGTCGGAACATGTAGTATGAAGAAGTTGATGATGATCATGTATAAAACCCATCGCGTCTTCGACTTATCCTCAACGATGAGATGTAGTCGAGAATACAGCACGACAGATTGACCGGTGACCATACCATACCAGCCCACGCACGTCAAAACGCAGAGCAAAAAGTTGGGCCCCAAGCTGTAGTACCTCAATATGACCACGATACTGTGCAGTAATATCCCAAGGGTCGCTACCACCATGCTCCAGAAATAAAGACCATCGTGCCGTTTGAAGCGATTCAGTAGCGAGATGAGGATCTCGAGACAGTTGTAGCAAGCTATGGCGAAGAGGCCCGCGATGACCATGTTGACCAGCAACGACGCGACAATTGGCCCCGTCTGGCCTGTCTCCCCAGACTCAGCGGCCATGGTTTCGGCGGTTCCGACGGACGTACGACGGTCATTAAGGAAAGGTAGATTGAAGTTGGTACGGGTGCATCGTGAACAGTTGGCAGCTCTTGGCGAAAGGGAAGAAGAAGAAAGACAAAGAGCTCGGGTGCTACGTTAATATGGATGGTTCCCCGTGTCGATCTGGCGCGTCATCTTTTGTGTGGCCGCTCTTTCATTCATTAATACGAATAACCTGTTCAGTCAATCGTCATCAGCTTCCCCCCCTGCATGGGGGCATGCGAACGGACCCAAAATTGATGCTTCAAGGATGTAACCGCTAAAAGCTCAAGCGTAAGCCTGGACATGATTCAAGGCCCGCAGACGTTATTGTTAGCCCAGTCATTCATGTCTCAGCCATCAAGCATGTGCTCGTGGCTTGAACAAGGTTAGCAACGAGCAATGGTTGGGTTAAACGAAGAACGAGCACGTAAAACTCGGTCAGTCCCAAGCCTCAACTGTCCAATTGACATGGGGTGATTTGCCAATGAAACAAGACACGGACACACCCATCCGTTGGGCCGGTAAAAGTTTAACCAGGGAGGGACGAGGCATGAGGATCTATCGACGCGCCAACCGCGTTGGGTAAAAAACTCCCTCAACCCCCATGAAATATCTTTATATAACCTCTTGTCCACGGCTCTGCCGAGTATGTGAGCTGTCAAGTTGTGACATTCTGCCAGTTCCAGTCCGGAAGCTGGGAGAGGTCATCGGGAGAGGACAATGTCATCAGGAGAAATGCTGCAAGGATGAATGACAAGGGGACCAGTATTTAGAGTTTACATGCAAAACCACGAAATATCCTTGAGTGACAGTCTCAGTCTGCAAACGTCGAGACTGCTGCAACCTTACCAGTAATTCATGTCTCAAATTTCAGGCGTAGAATTTAAACAGTCAGATAAATGTCACAGTCAATCGCCTCGAGTTAGAGCAGTAAAAAGTGACTGTCATGAAGCAAGAGTCGAGGCGAATGACTCGCGATATGCATGAATTAAGCGTAGGTCACAGCGCATCGCCCGTAGCTTGGAGCCCTCGGAAAATTCCATGCCCGCCAGTGATGATTGATCGAGATGCATTGTCAATCAATGCGACGTCAATTTTATGCTCTGGTTGTTGTAGATTACTCAATGGTAAGTGCTGTCTCAATTGGGAGTTCATCACAGAACGCCTCTCAGCACTTGCAAGGGTAGGAGTACCGAGTTCCGTCTCACGGAACGGAACTACCGAGGCTAAGACTCTTTGTCTCTTCAATGCAGAATTGAGGCAATTACTTATCCCGCTTTTGCTGACAGATACGGATACAGAATGAAGAATTAAGCTTTGGGTTAGGATACACTTGTCAGATTTCACTGCCACTTTGTTCTTTAATGCCTAAACCCGCCAGCTCAGCTCCAGCCCCGCCCCCTGTTACAGTCAAAGCAGCAAAGCAGCCTACCAATTTCCAACCGCGAGCTATTGCCCTCCGCCTCAAAATTAGACCCCCCAATATACGAAATCCGCTTCAATCAAATCACCTGCCTGACAGCTCATGTGTAGCACATCTGCAAGGGACGATATCACTTTCCCCATTCAGTATCGTTCGTTTCCATGATCTCCCCGGGGCGCGAATCTCACCGGGCGATCCTTCCGGGAGGAGCCTTGGGCACCAAGTGGCCTCTGAGCTGAGGGGGGATTTAGTGGCAAACTTTAAGCATACATGTTAGATTTGCTTATGCCAAGTTGAGTAATACCGAGATTTTGCATCGTCTCTGATCGACTCGGATCCTTGCAATGACAGCTGTTTTTGGGGTTCACGATGCTTGGCGCTGCATGTTCTCTATGATATGGCCGTCGCTCTGTTCCCAGGGGTACCCTTGCTCCAATGACCGGATTAATTGTTCGTGGTGTGGTGATCTTGGCGTAATAGCGGCTTTGAACGGCTTGGGGTGGCTGATCATCCCGGGAGTAAACAGGAGTTCAGGTTGGGCACCATTCTCGTCTTTTCTGATATTCAATACAGCGAGTGACTGAGCGATGTTGAGAAACAATGCGTTATCGGCTAAGACACGCCCCGGGCATACGCGGCGCCCAAAGCCGAACGTGTACATGTGCGGATCTTGTTCAGGTTGATTGCCATCGGTAGACAAGAACCGTTCTGGGTTAAAGCGCATTGGTTCGTGGTGGACCTCAGGGTCATGGGCAAAGTACCTACGCACTGCTAAGTCAAGGCCAGATGCCGACAAGAAGTACTCACCAGATATTGGGCATAATCAGTGCGTCTTTGGGAACAAAGTATCCTTCAAACACATCATCTGCAGTGCTTGTATGAGGCAGCCCCATAGGGGCGACTGGATGCCATCGAAGAACCTCCTTGACTATCGCATTGACATAAGGAAGACTTTGCCGATCTGAACAATTAGGTAGTCTCTCGTTGCCGATTACGCCGTCAATCTCCTCTTGGGCCTTCTTCTGGACATCAGGATACAATATCATTGCTAGAAAGAAAAGAGAAATGGAAGAGACAGTCTGCCACGTCAGCCGAATGTTCCTCATGATATCCGCCCAGCAACGTACCGTATCAGCCCCGGCAGCGTACAGTGACAAGGCAGACCACTTGGTCGTGAACCTCGCTTCCTCAGTCGAATCTCCCACTTCAAGAAGCCGTGAGACAAATGAGTTGTCTTGCTTGCCCGATGCGTGCTGATGCTTGACAAAAGCATAAGGCTTTTCAGTAAGATCGTCCAGCTCTGAAGACCATTTCTTGGCAAGTCTCTTGAAGTTCGCGCCCGGAACCCAGTCTGGTACGTATCGCACTGAGAGCGTCAGTGGTTTGCACAGGCAGGGGTTGTGTTTAAGGCAGCTTACATAGGGGCAGTATATCAACTAGAAATGCACCCGGCACACCAGCTGCTGTTACATCGTCCATGGCCTGGCCCGCCATTTTGATGAGAATGTCTTCTTTGGAAGGCTCAGCTGTATATCCGTAAGCGATTTTCAGAATAACCGAGCCCGCTTCCCTTAGCAATGTTAGCGTAGTCCCCCAACTTCACTGAGAGCTGAGCAAACCGACTTCCTGATATGGTCCATGAACCTCTCTGGGTCGTCTAAGACATGCAGTAGGAAGTGAGCAACTTCAGCTTCTTGCAGCCTATCATACTTTGCCGCGGCCCTTTTCGATCCGATAATGCGGGCCATGTTCTTCCGATGCGTTCTGAAGCGATCGTTATATGGCGAGAAACCAAGTGAGTTTTCCCAACCGACCCTATATACATCAGCCGTGCTACTCTATCACAAAGTTGATCATCACTCACATTTCGCCCGCCATCATGATTTTGGGTCTGGAGGAATGTTTTGCGGATCTTTTATCCAGCAGTTGTGATGCAAGTTTCCAGTTGTTTATGATGATGATCGTCTGCCCCATTACCGTGATAGAGCTGATAGGTCCTGGTCGTTGTCAGCAGATGGCTCGCTGTGTACTCTACTTTTACTGGAGGTCGTACCATAGAGGTCCTTGAACTTCAACCAGTGATGCGCTTCAAACACGCCAGGCGGCGGAAGATGGCTCAGATTTCCTACCAAAGGAAGACCTTTCGGCCCCGGAGGAAGGGGAGGCCTCTTTGAGCCATTTCGGATCACTCCAATACTGATATAAAGAAGAAATCCAAGGGCAACCCCCGAAAAGAAGGTTGATATCTCAAACATGATCACGATACTTCAACAAACGATGAAAAGGGCACAAAGAAACCAGCAGCAGGAAATGACAGATATATGTTTCACATGCATTCCTATTCAGCCAACACACATCATATTGAGGGGCTACTCTTGAAGTCTGACAAGAATCTTATCACCGTGCATATGCAGCCCGTTTCCTGCCGAATCATCGACTTTGTATTTCGCTGGTGATTCATGCGGTTAATGTCTTCGTGTTCCAGACAAGTAATACACTCCACTGCTGAATGGAAAGTCTTGCTTTTCTCGGAAGGTACCCCTCGGAAGTTGCTTCTTTATCGTCTGATGATGTTGGTTCTGCTCGGAATCTCGGAGGGGCATTGCCAAATTAGGGATTTGCTGCGGTGGTATGTTTACATTCGCGTCGTCATACCTGCATATGGTCCAATATAGGGCTTAGGCTCGGATTTAGGCAATAGAGCAATAATAAAACAAGCTTAAATATAATAACTACATATACGCGCTGCATCATAATTTGGGCATGGTAAGCGACGAGGCTAATTTAGCATAAACATCTGCCTCAATCCGTATCTTGGCAACTTGCAACAGGGTCGCTGAGCCTTACGATAAACCAACAATCGTTGGACTAGTCAGAGAACTTCAGCCCGACTTTCTGGTAAGTATATCCAATACTCACCAAAACGCCAAGCCATGCTGCCTATGCACTTCACCACTCACGATCATGAGCGGGAGCCGGACCGGGATAGTTATCCACTTCACGAGGCAGCTCGATAAGCGCTAGGCGAAGTTGGTGAGCAAAACGACTCATTTAAACCGCGAAGAGCTGTCAAAATCAACGTGGCTTTCTGGCTAAACTTCTCTCAATTACTATGTCTTCACACCGAACACTAGATACTCTTCCCAGTGAGATCCAACTCCAGATCTTTTCGCAGATCACAGCCCATGACCTTAGCACCATTGCTCGAACCTCAAAGCGCCTCAACGAAATTGCAACACCGCTTCTTTGGACTGACATTGAACTCCACGAGGATGGCTACCATGAGTCCAGGCACGAGCTCAAAGTTCCTCCTCCAGCGCGAGATCCAGCGCGCCGGCCTTATCATTCCAAGCAGAAATGGGGAAACGGGCAAGGTGCGCGTATGAAAGCTGCTCAGTTCTTCGAGATACTGCAAATAATGCATAAAGAGAACCCGAATCGTTTGCAGCAAATCACCCAGCGTGTAAGGCATTTTTGTACCGTGATTGATCCCTCGTGGAGGCCCGTGGATAAGGATAATGACTCTGTGGATACTGAGGCCATTCAAGTCTGGCATCTTTTGCCATATTTCTCCAACTTGGAAACTTTGGAACTATACGGAGACTACTATTATTCTCAAGACGCCGAGGAGCAAGTTACTGAAATTCTTGGATCTCCTCCCAAACTTCGATTCCTCAAGCTCTCGGGTTACATGCCGCCTGAAGTGTCAGCATGGCTTCTTAAAGCAGGAGATACTCTAGAACGCCTGGAACTCGATATGTTGGACCGTCCCATCTCAACATATCTATCGAATGATCCTCATTATACTCCTCTTCCATGCGAGAAGATAAATACGGATGATGGAAGTGTTTCCGAGTCAGACTACGGAAGTCTGGCCGATGACATGATCATCCCTCGGCCCCTGGGGAACATTTTCAAAGATTATGATGACTACAAGTTGAATTTACCGAAACTAAAGCATTTGTTTCTTGGTCAGCCGGCAGAGTCATGCTACACCAACGATTTCGCAACATATAGTTGGTCAAAACGCGCCGAGTCAGCTTGCTACGACGATTGGCTTAGAATTCTAGAGGCTTCTATGAAAACACTTGAGACATTCGTTCTAGAGCAAAGACCAGCGGCTGATTATATCGAAGGTGATGGTTACAGCGAAGACATGTGGATGGACGAAAGGGCATGGTCTCATGCAAGTGAGATACTTCTTGAGATGGTGGAAACAGTTATGTCTTCTGAGACAAGCCAGCTATGCTTGAAGCGGGTATACCTATATGGTATAGTCGCTGGTTTAGAAGAAGATGGTACGCCGTTTTTGGATTTCCCTGCGGGCAAGTTTATGCAATTTCTGAAGGACCGTGGGGTCGAGTGTGAAGCGAGACGGGGGAAGTGGTGCTTCTTTGATAGACAATCTGGATCTGTGGATTGGTGCCCTTGGAATGCGGCGTATGAGGATGAAGAGGAGGAGGAGGAGGATATGGACGAGGACAAAGATGAAGATGCAGAACCAAAGGCGAAGTGGGATACTGTACTAGCCAAGGTTTGAAAACTGAGGACTTGTCACATTTAATTTGAGCTATTTTTAGTAAGGGTTGACGAAGATTGACTGAAAATCTATTTCTTTCATCAGTGGTTCACTTCCATCGGCCAGTTCTCAGCCATCCCCGAGGCATCTCGGTCTCTCCAACACAACGCCGTACCCCACATTCATAAAAGGCATTGCGTAATGATCAAGCACTTCCAACCTCCAAACAATCAACATCAATCTTCACAATGTCCTCCTTCGCCGTAGTAAAAGACATCGACCACCTCGTCCTAACATGCAATGACATCCCCGCCACCATAGAGTGGTACACCAAATATCTCGGCATGAAGTCCGAGACCTTCACATCAGCAACCGACCCATCGTCTCCACCTCGCAGCGCCTTGAAATTCGGCACTCACAAGATCAATCTTCATCAGCGCGGCAAAGAGTTTGAGCCCAAGGCTAGAACTGCCTTGCCTGGTACCGCTGATTTGTGCTTTATTATTGAGGATGGGACAGATCTGCAGGGCTTGATTGAGGGGTTTGAGAAGGAGGGTATAAAGGTTCTGGAAGGGGGAGAGGTTGTTGGGAGAACGGGGGCTATGGGAGGGATTAGGAGTATTTATGTTCGTGACCCTGACGGGAATTTGATTGAGTAAGTCTGAAATTTTGGTCGAAATGGCTATTTTGTGAAAATTTGCTGACTGTTCACAGACTTTCCCAGTACTCGACTTAAGGGCTGAGATTTGTCAACTTGTATTACCACTTTGTTCGGCTTTTTCTTTCCATACGTGGGGTTCAAGTACATAAAAGTATTCTATCGTCTTTTCTGTTTACATCCTGTGATTAGATCTCACCTCATCACGATAAGCAATAGACTTCATGTTCTTCGTCGAATAACAACCTGAAGCCACATCCTAGAGGGTGGTCTTAGCCATCTAGAAGCTCTGTGTGACTACTACTAACATCCACTCGATTGGTATTTGAATAGTCTGACTTTGCCCAAATTTACAGTAGTCCAGGAGGAACAAACTCCACATGCTAAGGACGTATCGTGGGTCATTGTGTTTTATGCAAGTCCAGGAGACTTCTAACCTCATCTCTTGAACGTGTTCACCTAGAGAATATGGTGACTTGGCCTGGCAGAATCTTCCAGTTGGAACAACATCGAATTGTTCCACCTATCGCCCCAGGATATGTTTTTGGGCCACAGATGCGTCAAGCTGTACTTTTATATAGGTATATTTAGGAGTTGTACTAAGTACCCAAAAGCTTACGTACAAGCATATCAGAAACTTGGAGACGAAGTATATATATGATTGCTATGGAGTATGCATACCTAGTTACAACAAAGTGGCTGGCTGAACCGCTGCGCTTGAGTCGGAATCAGCGGAACTCGGCCCTCACCTTAACTCACACAAGCCTCGCATGAATCCTGCCTCGGCAATCTCAGTGCCGGCATCCAGTTCCTTGGCAGCAGCCCGTAATGCAACTGTCGTCATGACCAAGACCCATTGCAACTGGGCAGTGTCCTCCTTTTCCGATTCATATCGTAAGGAAAAGTGGGAGCGGCATCTTCAGAATAAGATCAGCAGGGACTATACCCAGAGTATGGTAGAGCTTATTTCCTATTCCCCATTCCAGTCCAACCAAGCTCCCGGTCACGACCTACCAAGTGCCGATCAGCCAAGGGCACGTGGGGCCAAATCTGGCTTTCGGTAGATCACTGGGAGGCCTACTGAAGCTGCGGTCAAGAAGTGGAAAGGCATACAAAGTAGGGGTATAGGGATGCTTGGCATGATTCGCGACAACACGAGGATAGTGGTATGTTTCTGACCTGTCTCTCCAAGCAGGAATCCATGAACCATTAGCCCGGTACCAAAACGTCCTCCATTCCCAGCTCTCCCTGATCCACATACTGCTCTACCAAATCACAGCCATGAAGCAGTAAATCGCATAAGCAAAGTTGTTGAGACTGCTGCAGTAGCGGCGATTAGATCGTACAGAAAGAGTCAAAGATCCTCGATTACACTGGACCGAAATGCTGCAATTTCACCAGCACAAGTCAGTGATGCAGATCAAAACATAAAGGGAGGGGCCTGCTCTGCTCAGTGCGGCTAAGATCGACACTACCGGGCTGCGTAAGGCTAGGAACCCGGTAGGTCCAGCTCTCCACAGTTGGACTAGACAAAATTTCCGAAAAATAGGGATTGTAAGGGGGAAGTGACGTAGAGAGGTTGAGAAATGATGGCTAAGATGGTGTGTTTGAGAGGCGATGATCGCATTTTGCTATCATTTGTGCAACGTCTAGTAGCGTCTTGTGTTAATAGAAGGTCGCGTTCAGATGTGAAGATATTCGGAATTCCAAACACATACAGGAAGGATGAGGAGCTGTAAAATCATAATAATATCAAGGTTCAGGGTAACTTCTACTTCTCCATTGCGATACAAGTGTCGAAATCGCTCAGAGCCCCATAAGGCGTGGATCTTACCTGAGACTCATGATGCCGCCAGCTCCCGGTGGGCTCAACATCACACTAACTATCACGACTCCATTCTACCAGAGTGATCGACAAGACTACCGACTTCTAGTGACAACATCAATCTCTTTTTCCAGATACTCCCTTGGCAAGAAACCTCTATATAAGGACCTCTTTTCACCACGTCAAAGCTATTCTCATCATCACATCATCCCAACTCTTCTCTACACCACACTCCTTTAAAAAACATTCTTTCAGTTTTCTTCTCAACCACTTTCAAAATGAAGGCCACTTTCTTCTCCGTTTTCGCCCTCGCCATCTCGGCTATCGCCTCTCCTGTTCCTGAGGTTCAGAAGGACACCCGCTCTGTTGAGCAGGTCAACGGTGCTATTCACAGCGCTGAGAACATCGTTTCCAAGGTCGGCGTTAAGCAGATCGTCGATGAGGCTACCAAGTCTCCTGCTAAGCGTGCTGCTATCTCCAACCCTCAGGAGCTCATCACTGTTCTCAAGAGCGGTGTTAGCAACATCAACAAGAAGACCACTGGTCTGAGTAAGTTACATCTTGGAGTTTGATATTTGGGTTAGTGCTAATGGGTTTAGGCTCTATTGCTGAGAAGGTCAAGGCAGGTGATCTTACCAAGGACGCCGGTGCTACCAAGGCCATTCCTGGCTTCGAGTCCGTTCACTTCGAGCTTACTGAGATCGTCACCAAGCTTACTGGTGCTGCTGGTCTCGATGTTGCCGACTCTGATGTCGACACTGTCCTTAACCTCGTTGTCGTCCTCGTCTCTGAGGTTCTCACTGCTGTCAAGACCATCGTCACTGTTACCGGCCTCCGACCTCAGCTCATCTCCATCCTCCACTCTGTCTTCCAGATCCTCACCAAGGTTCTAGTCCTCGTCATTGGCCTCGTTTCCGCCATTGTTCCTGGTCTGGTTGCCGGTCTTACTCCTCTCCTTGCTGGTCTCGGCAACGGTGTTCTGGCTCCTGTCCTCCTTCCCATCACTGGCCTCCTTGCTAGCCTTGCTGTTTAAATGGCTTCCTCCTGGGTTCAGCTACATTAAGCACACTATTAGCACAAACTTTTCGGATAGGCCGATAGCTACATGAACTTAATTCATAATTATGATATTACGGGGGAGGCATCTTGGGTTAATGTCTATGGCCAATGGTCTTCTTTGTATATAATTACTCTTACCAACAAAAGTTCGCGATGTTACACTGTCGCACCTATCTCTTGTGAGGCATCACTAACCGATTTGCGAGTAAACACAATACACGTGTGAAGAAAATGAGTGGCTAATCTATCTACTCATCGGATGATTGTGAGATTCGAAAAGATATATGTTTACCTTTCAGATTCCTCATATCACTTAGTGCTGATTGGCGTCTGTCATCAGGGTTGAAAAATTCCTTGGTTTACGCCCTGTAGCTGACAAAACCTACGTCACATCGGGATGGGGTGAAATGAAGCCCAAACGGAAAGTCTTTCCATGATAAAACTAACTCGGTCTGTCTTGCGCCTTTCCATTGACATCAATCAAGCGGGCATAAAATCGTGAACATTTTGCAAGGCAACATCAACACAGCATTCTACGAACGACACTTGATACACCATGGCAGCATCACGATCAGTCTCAATCACTTATGTCCCTGCGGACTGTGGATCTATTATTCCAGGCAAATCCAAAGCGCCTCAAGCATTCAGAGACGTTGGTATCGTTAGCAAATTGAGAGATGCCGCTGTACCATCTGTCTCGGAGCACCACGCTTTAAAGGCGCCAGCTACTTTCTCAGGTACGACGTTCAGCGCAGGCGGTGCACGCAATGAAGACATCAATATCTCGGTCTGCGAAGACGTTGAGCGGACCATCAGCAACAACTTCAAATCCTCTAGCAAACAACCTGAATTCCAGCTCGTTCTCGGCGGGGAGTGCTGTATGTTACCAGCTATCCTCTCAGCATTCTGGAAACATGCCGACTCACAGTCTCAGTCTAAACGTGTTGGTCTTATTTACATCGACGCCGATACCGACCTTACCTCTCCTACAGATGCAAGCTCTATTGGCACTTTTGCTGGGATGAATATGGCACATCTGGTTCGGTTGCCCGGTGCGCTTCCACGCATGGGGCAGTTCTCTCGTTCATCAGGCGAACCTGTCTGTGATGCTTCGAACACTGTCTTCTTTGGCACGAACATGTCTCTTCCTGGAAACAAACCAGAGCACTTCAAGTATCTTTTCGACAATAACTTCAAAGTCGTCAGCTCAGCATCCGTGGCGAAAGATCCTGAGCAGCGTGCAAGAGAAACACTTGAGTTTCTACAAGACAAGGTCGATATCATTATGGTTCACTTGGATGTTGACTCGATTGACCCTGGGACATTTCCTTTGGCAAACGTTCCAAACTTTACTGGTGTGGAGTTTGAGAATATGATGAGAGCGCTCAAAGTGCTGCTTGGAAGTGAAAAGGTTGGAGGTCTCACTGTTGCGGAGGTTAACCCAGATCATGATCCTGGACTGAAGATGACTGAGAAATTGACTTCTCATATCGTGGAGATGTTGGCCGCACGAAAGTGAAGGTAGCTACGTAGCTGATTACTGGCCCTAAGGTTAGACTTTAGGCTGCTAACACACATAAATAGGACACGATAGAAAGTGAAGGTAGAGAAATATGCGCTGCATAAAATAGTTATCAATACATGGGAAATCAACATTCAAAAGTTACACTATGGACGCTAGACCTGTATCAGAGTGTGAGAGGCAAGGCACAGCTTGACGTTGATAGGGCCGCATCCGCAGAGCATTCGTCACCTCGACCAACGCCCCCAAGTTCGGGCACGTCACAACTATCCCCGCTCTTTCATCGACACCGCCAAGACCATTACTCGCTAACAACTATCTTTTAAGACGAATAATCGCGATGGGTAATACATATTCTTTATTCTTTCCCCCAAGTCCACAGTTTACTGAGGAGGACCTCACCGCGCAGAATGGACGCGTCTTCATTGTCACAGGCGGCTACTCCGGCGTAGGTTTCGAGTTGAGTCGTATGCTCTATCAAGCTGGCGGATCCGTTTACATCGCTGGAAGATCACAAGAGAAAGCAGAATCAGCTATCAAACAACTCAAGGAACAATATCCCGATGCAAGCGGCAGCCTGAGCTTTCTCAAGATAGCCCTCGATGACCTGGATTCCATAAAAGTAGCGGCAGAAGATTTCAAGTCGAGAGAATCAAGACTCGATGTCCTGTTCAACAATGCAGGAGTATCTAACCCTCCAGCTGGTTCTGTCTCAGCTCAGGGATATGAACTGAGTATGGCAACAAACGCCATCGGGCCTTGGTATTTCACGCAGCTTCTCGTGTCAATTCTGAAAGAAACTGCAAAGAGCCAGCCCCCAGCTTCAGTTCGGGTAGTCTGGACGGCCTCCATCGTCACAGACCTCTCCGTCCCAAAGGGCGGAGTCAAGATGGAAGAAGTCATCAATCCCTCGAAAGACCAGCAAGTCAACTACACGAATTCTAAGACAGGAAACTGGTACCTCGCCATCGTGCTCGCACATCAGATTGGATCTCATGGTGTCCTGAGTGTTTGTCATACTCCTGGAAATCTCCACAGCAACCTGCTTCGCCACATGCCGTCGATTATCGGTTATATCGTTTCGCCGCTGCTTTATCATGCAAAGTTCGGTGCTTATACCAACCTATGGTCTGGCCTTTCGCCGGGCTTACAGATTGAGGATGGAGGGAGGTTTATCTTGCCTTGGGGGCGTTTGCATCCGAACCCAAGGGCCGATTTGTTGGAGAACCTCAAGTCGAAAGAGCAAGGAGGAACGGGGACTGCTGCGGAGTTTGCGGAGTATTGTGATAAGATTATTGCGGACTATCGGTCGACACTCCTTTGTTACTGAAATTCATGCTTTATACTTCAATAGGCTTGTTTGGCATCATATGACCCAATACCCCTGAGGGAACAGATCTTATGCCAAAGAGAACAGACTCCACGAGACAAAGTTGTAATTTTATAATTCTCTATGTTATTCTGAGAGTTGAGAGGGTCCCAATACTGAGTCCATCGCTGCTATGTTGACCTCTACTGGTCCGGCGTATATCCAATAGCTTTGTTCAAATGATGCACATCCCAGTAAAACGGCATGATACTCTTTATAACCCCAGCCTCCAGGTCAACCTGGATGACCTGGCACAATGGGTACTTCAGCTGTTCTCCCGTCTTGCGAACCTTTAGGTGCAAATACCCGAGAGAGATGATGCGGTTTGAGCCCTCCTTTTCAAATATTTCCGGGTTCTGGACATGGACTTCGTCAAAGTACTCGGGCATAGACTTTGCCCATTGCAGGAAGCCATCATGTCCGGTGTATTCACCAGCGAAGGGCAGTCCAGAAGTTTCTTTGAGAATAACTTCTTTGGATAGAGTTGCTGCCATGGCGCTGAAGTCGCGTTGGTCGGGTGGTGAGGCCATGAAGGTGCGCTCGGCCTCATAGAATGCATCGAGAATTGATCGCGCAGTGTGCTTTGCAGAGGACGCCATGTTGTGATGTAGTTGAAATGATGATGAGTCTTTTGAATAAAATGCTTGATTGGGAGACGAATAATTGCTTATAGAAAGCAGAAACACAATGCGAGGTCTTGCGGTGTATTTATTTGTTTTGCGAACAGGGTGCTTACTAACTGGAACTCATCTGACTTAAGAACATTGGGTTACATGCTGGGTTGTCGTCAAATGGAGATGGCTTATTGTTATCTGAGGAGGATTCTCCAAGGAGTATTCCCCAAGGAGTTTGATGTAGTTTCCTGAATTGGTAACTGGGGGCGGGAGATTTCGGAGTAAGCGATTGCCGACTGCGATGAATTGTTGGTACCGGACGGATCAAAACTTTGCCGGTCTTATTATTTCCACGATATCGATTGAGTTTGAAGCATAAACTGTTAAGATATGTATGTCTTAGGCCCTAATCTTAGCTCCTACAGTACATATCATCACACCTATGCATTTATCATAAATAAGGCTTCTTCTTCTTCCCCTTGTTCATACCTAGTTAAATAAGACCTCTTCCCCGCAACCAGCCAGCCTGTCTCTTGGCAAAGCTTGACTCGGCAAGGAATGCATGAGTTGAACAAACAGGGAAAAGCTCAGTCGAGGCTCAGAGACCATGAGCACGTGGGACTGTAACTTTGTGGGAAAGAAAAGATGGCCGAATCACATTCGGAAATCTCTTGGTCACCGCTAATCGATCTCTAACCTTGTTGTTTTGGTGACGGTGCCTGGCGTGACCTCATTTTCGGGCCCAGGTGGAAAACACTGACCAAACAAGAAGGCGAATTCTGGATTTCTGGGGCAATGTGACTATTCTAGAATCGCCCTAGATCCCCCAGCTCACGGACCATTTCCAAGTGACGTTGGAGGCAACTATGACGCAATGCCACAGAGGGGGACCACCCAAATTTTGCGGCTACCACCTACCTCCAGTCCCTGTCCGCTCTCCAGCATCATCCCCACGAATAAACCAACCAAGACATGACATGACTTCTCATACCACGATACAATGTCAAGCTCTGCAGAGCTGCAACGCGAACGCGAGGTGCAGGGTTACTTCCAGAGCTGGCAAATAGCGCAAGGTTCCTCTCTCAAGGTCGCCAGAAGTGTCGACAGCATCAACGCGCCATCTCAGGTCAATGACGCACACGCGCCTCAGCCCTCTTCCGACAAAGCGCTCTCGGCCTTTGCGCAACTGGCTGTCTTTCGGCTTAACGTGAAGCGTTGCATGGTCTCGCTCATCGATTCTTCTCATCAATACATTCTCGCCGAAGCCACGCGAAATCTGCGATTAGGGTCGCTTGAAGAAGAATCTAGTGCAAAAAAGACCGGCGACAAGAAAGACCCCGAAATAGCCGAATATAACAGTGATTTGTGGTGTAGGTTGGACGATCTCTATAGTTGAGACATACACAGCTCGTTCCTTGTGTTCATGGCTAATTACTTGCAGTGGGAACCTCCATTCTCTCCCGCCCAGAAGCCGTTTGCGAGCACTGCCTACACAATACATGCATCGGTCGCGACCCCGATGGCAAAACATACTCGGCCTCTGGCCTTATCGTTCCCGACTGTCGCCTCGATGATCGCTTCAAATCGCGCGTATATGTCCAATCCGAACCAGGTGTGCGCTTCTACGCTGGCGTACCCATCTTCTCACGAAAAGGATACAAGGTCGGAGCGTATGCTGTTTCAGACGAACGACCGCGTGATGGACTATCGATCGAGGATGTGAAGTTTATGCAGAGTGTTGCGCAAGCTATCACTGAACACTTAGAATGGGCGCGCGACCGTGTTGACAGGTTCAAAGGCGAACGCATCGTTCGCGGATTGGCGACCTTCATCGAAGGCTGCTCAAGTGACGACCCGATACTGTCAAAGGAGGATCAGCCCCAAAGACCCTCGATTAAACGCCCCCCAGGCATGACTATCACGGCGACCAGACGTTCCTCCTTGCACAACACTATGCGCAAGGTCGATCCTGACTCCAATCAACGATCTCAAAAACCTACATCGCCGCCTCGCAAGCACAAGCCACAGACGGACGGTTTATCAAGGATGTACCACCGAGCGGCCGATAACCTACGATCTGCAATCCTCGCTGATGGAGTTGTGCTCTTCGGTGCCACAGCCTCCAACGTTCAGCACCTAACCCGAGCGGTACAGATAGAACAGGGTGGTGCCACGAACGCTGATGGACTACCGACGCAAATCGCTGCAGAGCCCGATGCCTTCAGCACAGAGAGCTCTGATTCCGAGACATCACCGCTGTCAAGGCCATGCAAACTTCTTGCTTACTCGTTAGCTGACAAGAGCAAGCCCTTGGACCTCGAGCAGGGCCCATCGTTCTCTATCGGAACTCTAGAGAGATACTTCTCCCTATTTCCAAAAGGAAAGACGTTTACGTTTACAGAAGAAGGAGCCGGTCTTTCTTCCGATGACGATAGTGCGAGTGATGGTAGCCCTGCTCCCGCTGGAGGAAAAAGCAAGCGACGTAAAGAAAAGATTGACCACAAAGAACTCCTTAAGAAGATTCCTGGGGCAAAGGCGGTTGTCTTCCTACCATTGTTCGATTACGTCGAAGACAAGCTCGTTGGTGGGTGTTTTCTTTGGACCTCAGTGCCGGGTCGCATGATGAACTTGGACGAGGACCTTTCCTATCTACGAGCCTTCGGCAACAGTATTACAAGTCAAGTCGGGCGAATAAACACACGAAAGAACGAAGCAGCAAAGACCACATTCATCGCCAGCATGAGTCACGAGTTACGAAGTCCGCTACATGGTATCTTGGGTGCCGCTGAGTTCCTCAAAGACGCAGTAACCGACTCGTATGAAGTCGGCCTTGTCAATTCGATCGCAACTTGTGGCAAGACACTCCTCGATACTTTGAACCACGTTCTTGACTTCAGCAAGATAAACAATCTCGGCAGCGGACAGTTGAGAAAGGGCGCAAAGCACAACAAGATCATTAGTCTCTCTTCTGATTCGATGGAGAGTCTAAACATGACAGCGTCAGTAGACCTGTCCGTTCTTGTCGAAGAAGTTGTCGACGCTGTGGCAACTGGTCACAACTTTAAAAAGCTCCCCAGAAAGCAACTGAGTCAAGATGATGCAGTATTGGGCGGCAAAGATAGCCAAGGAGCCCCAGAGCCAGGAACCGATCATCCTGTATCGATCCTTCTGGATATTAGCCCGAGGGCATCATGGATGGTCAAGACACAGCCTGGCGCCCTTCGAAGGATTGTCATGAATCTGTTCGGTAACGCTCTCAAGTACACAGCGCTGGGTTTCGTACTTGTCTCTGTGCGGGCGCAAGAGATCAGTGGCGATTCTAGAATAGATGTCCTGATTCGAGTCACGGATACTGGAAAGGGAATGTCGGAGGACTTTCAACAGAACCGCCTATTTGTTCCTTTCAGCCAGGAAGATTCCTTCCAACCTGGCACCGGTCTGGGCTTGAGCATTGTTAAACAGATTGTGGATTCACTTGGAGGAACGCTCGAGGTTAAGTCGGAACAGGATAAGGGTACTGAAATTGAAGTCCGCCTCCGTCTCGAGCCGGTTCCTGAAGAGAACCCTAAACCGGAAGAGCCTATGGCTTCCATGGTCGAACAACTTCGGGGAAGGTCTTTGGTGCTCTTGGAAGCGAGCGAGGACTTCCATTCGAAAACCACTACTAAACAAGTCGAGGTGCGCAACGAAACCTTGATGGAAATCTTCTCAAGTTGGTTCAACATGAAGGCTGCAAGAGAGGTAGACACGGATGTTCCCAAAGCCGATTTCTATCTCTATTGTGAACCACCATCTGCGAAAACTCTCGAAAAGCGTTTTGAGGAGACTGCGATAGACGGCCGTCGCAATAAGAAAGCACCCATCATCATCATCAGTCTGAATGAAGAGGAAGCGGCAAAAATATCGAGAGCTCAGACTAAGGCCTTGGCCAGATTATCAGATGTGGTTGAAGTTATTCCACAACCGTAAGTCATACCCGCGCGCAATTCTACACGGATACTAACGCGTTCTTAGATGTGGCCCCAGAAAACTCGCACAAGTATTCAGTCGATGCTTAAACAGGATTGTAGAAGTCAGAGATGACGATGATAACAGAAACCTGATCCAGAGTGCGCAGACAGACGGCAAAATGCCAACAGAGCAGGATACTCCAGACAGAGAGGACGCAACAGAACAGATGAACTCGAAATTGTACCAAGATAAAGGCAACAGGCCGGATTGGTCGGAAACTACCACTTCACCATTACCACAAGGAAAAGAAGAACAAGGCCGAACCAAACACGACAGTCGAAACAATGGCCAGAATAACGAAAAGAAGGAGAGTAATGAAGACTTCATGAAGGTGGTGAACAATAAGTCTTCACAAGATACACGAAAACAAAAGAAACCAGAAATACCAAGCAAGGCACACGTTCTACTCGTCGACGACAACAAGATCAACCTCAACCTTCTAACAATGTTCATGAAGAAATGCGGCTTCTCCTACGAAGAAGCCGAGAACGGAGAAGAAGCGGTCGAGACTTTTAAAAAGTCGACAATCGGCGACGCAGGACCGGGGACACCCGTCAAGAAGCACTTCGACTACATACTAATGGACATAAGCATGCCTGTCATGAACGGCGTCGAGGCTACAAAGAGGATCCGCAAGCTCGAGGCGGAGTACAAGGTTCCGCGGACGACGGTGTTTGCGCTGACGGGGCTGGCGAGCGCGGATGCGAGGCTGGATGCCATGTCGGCGGGCGTGGACCTGTTTCTGCCGAAGCCGGTCAAGTTTGCCGAGTTGAAGACGATGATTGAAAATAACTAGATGTATATACGAGATGAATTATGTGTACTTGTTTATGATAGATGTGTAATAGAAGATGTAGAATGATTGAAGTCGAGTTTGTGATGTTGATACCGCTACGCAGCTGTCAATTACGAATGCAAATACGTCGAAATGCAGTGGTGAGCAGACTGGTCACCAGAGGCATTCTGTCATTCTGCTTAGGTCTTGCAACGTCGCTGTCAACTCAGAACTGCCCAGCATAAGCGCAAAGTACCAACCCCCCCAGAACTCGATTGAACGAGCGCCTGAGCAATAGTCAGTTCACTAAATGACTCCAAGCCTTGTATACAAGGTCACACACTCATACCCGATGGTGGTAGACGTGAGTCATAACACAGCAGATGCCCTCTGTAGATCAACCAGTGTAACAGGTCGGTGGTGAATTTGTTCATTGAAAGCGCTCCAACCTTTACTTCGCCGTTCTGCAAGGAGCGTAACCTAGGCCAGACAGGCGTTTAGACAATCATATACTGCGAGATACCTTGCGGAAGAGGTTTCATGAGCTTTGGCGTGGTCTAATAGCCAGAGAAGATTCTTGAGACGGCGTTACATCAATTTGTGATAGCTCCGCAGTCTGTAAACAAGTGATTGTGTAGCTGAGTAGAGATCCCTTGTGCCTGATTACGCAACCACTTTGCCCTTTTGTATACGTTCTACGCTGGGATCATCTGTGCCCTTGTTTGGTGTTTTCACGATATTGTGTTGTTGTGGTGCTTTGTGTTTTGGTGACAACGTGAAGAAGGAACACTGCCTGGGTCATCTTCCTTTGGTTCATCAGTCTGGACAGCTCAACCATCATTTATCCGTCGGGCAGCTACAGGTAAACCTCTGGCCTTTCACGGTCTCTTGGTCGTGGGCTTGGTCTCGCTGTCATAGCCAAAAAGATGCCTCGCATGCTCAGCCCAACATGTTGCATGTCGTGCAAGTTGGCAGTCAACTCCCGATCATTCGAGGCGCTGAGACATGGCCTATGAGAAACGCAAGGCGGGCAAGAGCCCGTTTGCTAAATGTGCTGTTCCTCCCGATGCCCTTTCTGGCGATCTTCTTGCACCCTACGGCAACTGTGTCTATAGCCTCTAAGGAAGCAGCAACAACAACAACATCAGTAGAAGCAACAACAGCAATAACTGCTGCTGCTGCACCAACACTACTGCCATGCCAAAAGCTGCTGTTGATTCTGTTGCTTCAGGTGCAACAACACCAACAACAACAACAACACCAACATATGAGACATCAAGGTAGAGTCCCTGTGGGTTGATCTTGGAGATCTCACATGACAGAAATGGGAATTCGCCAGGCGAAAGCCATGGAGTTCGTCTCACTCCCTGTAAGCAGTTCCATCTCAGTCTATTGCAACACAATGGACTTAAAATTTAACTCTAGTGAACAACATGACTCTTTTCATGTTGTAGAAGAAACTTAGATAGCCTGTGAACCTTTTTCGGAAGGGGTAGGGCCGCCATGTGGCAAACGTTGAAGAAGGTTCATGATGCGCTTCAAAGGTCGCAGAACGTTGGCGGCAGTTCTGACTCTGGAGTATCTTCTCGATCAAATAGGCCTTGAGGTCTTGACTGAGATACCTAGGATTGGTCTCCTAATTCTCGTTAGACCATGGATGTGGGGGAAGTTGTCTCGAGTGCCTTGAATGAGAAGGCATTGGTGAGAGGCCATGCGAACTTCCCCTAGACCACCCCTGAAAGTCTGTATCAGGGCCGAAGCTCAGTTACGAGCGACATGTGTCTAGAAGAGCGTCTGCTGCATCGAATTCAGTGCCACCAATCGCCAATGCGATGCTCATCTCAAGAAGTACTGCTGCAGTAAGAACATCCATCCACATCTGATACTGGGTCCAATGCGGTACTCTTCTGGCTATTTGACCAAGTAGAGATGAAGCTATATACAAAAGAGCGGTAATGCCGGTCTCCTCCACTACACTACACTACACTACACTACACTACACTACACTATACCCGTGGTCTTCTCAGCCTCTCGTTGCAGGTCGAATACCCTGCGGGTTCCAGAACATATCATTCCGGTCATACGCTCTCTTAAGCTCCCTCAATCTTCCCAAGTTCAACTCATAGTACTGCTCAACCGCCTCCCGATTCTCCAACTGAGTATCCAAGTAATTCGCATACATGCCCCAATCCGAATCATCCATGGTCTTGGTGATACTCTCTCTGAATCTCTTCAGCAACGTGAAGCCGTTGTTTGCATGAGAAGCGTAGTTTCCGTGGTCGGAGAACTGGAAGAGGAGAAGTTTGTCGCGATGGGGGAATGCGCTGTTGGTGGAGCCGGCTGTTGTTATGGCGGAGTTGGGACCGCCGAAGAGATCGATGAGGATGTACCATGAGTGCCGGGCGTCGGAGTCCTTGATGTTGTCGAAGAGCGTTCTGACGAAGGACTTGACTTGAGATCGGGTGAGGGCTTTAGTCATGAGACTTGTGCTGTAGAATGTACTGTGCTATGAGACTGTTAGTGCTGAACCTGGTGAGTATAAGTGCAAATACTGACCTGGTTGTATGGACGTCTCTGATCGAGGTTCTGGCCGTTAGCATAGGCCTTCAATCCCTCAATCCAGCCCCCAGTGCTCGAGGCAGAAATCTGTGCTTTTATATCTCCAAGAAAAGGCTTAAGCGCAGTATTCAAAGCCGCCCTAGTTTCATAGTAAACACCCTGAATAGTCTGCCCTGATGGTCCAATGTAGATCTGCATATTCAGCTGCTTTGGTGCGGTCACAGCAAACTTCTGGAACGCAATCAGTCCCTCGACAGCTTGATTCTCATTCCAGTCCAGTTCGATACTGAACGGCGTAACTGTGTCAGGTGCTTTGATCGTTTGGAAATCGAGTTCAACCACGATCCCGTAAGAAGATCCCGCGCCGCGAAGAGCCCACATGAGTTGGTTATCTCCCCCTTCACCATCTGCAGCATATGTTCGTGTTCCGTTGGCAAGTATCACGGTTGCGCCGATAAACGTGTCGAGTGTGAGACCGTAGGTTCGTGAGGCGAATCCATAGCCTCCGTGAAGGGCATGACCTGCAATACCAACACTATCTCTGTTAGTCTGTGGACGTGCTTGATGAAGGTGCGTTTCGTACCCTGGGCAGCTTCCATGGGGTATAGCTCTCTGACCAAGCTTATACAACTCCGAAGCAACATGTCCAAGCCGAGCACCAGCCTGGATGTTACAAGTCATGTACTTGTTCAACGTAACCTGGTCCATAGAATCCAGCACGATAACTAGGTGGCCATTCTCGCCTCCGTAGCCGAAAGAGCCATAGCTATGGCCGCCACTCTTGGCGCTGACTCGCACCTGGTACTGATTACCGCACTTGACGGCATCTTGGACATGATCAACAGTAGTAGGGAGGGCAATTGCAGCAGGAGTGTAGGCCAGACGAAGGTTGTAAGGTCTGACTTCTTGGGTCCATTGGGGTGAGTTAGGGCGGATGTAAGGAACTTTCTTGGAGGCGAGACAGTTGTTCAGAGCAGTCGATGTGTTGGCCGGTGAAGTGGAGGCTGCAATAGCAAGAGCTGCCTGGAGGCAGATGAGGAGGAAGGACACCATCATGGCGAGAAGATGAAGCTGATGAGCTCTGCCATTGAGACATCTTCCATAGGGAGGTCGAGGGCCTTATAAGCTCGGAGGTTTAGCTGTTGACCGTTGTTGAGAACCCGAGATGTCTCATTCTCGGCCGTTTCGCATGGCCTGAGCATATTGAGGCTGCTTCTTTACGAGGTGGAAACGGAAATGATCCATGCATAACGGGATGCGATTGCAAGGAGTTCAAGAGCTGAACTCAGCTCTGCGCCGGGGTTAAGCATGTTTCAAGTACACGATTTTCCCCAACGGCTCGAAAGGGTCTTCAGGACCTCACCACTGCAGTATTCAGATTGGGATCCAATATCGCCATTGGCATAGATGGCAATCACCCCTCAAAAGCATACAAACAAACCTCACCGTCGACAACATACTCTGTCAACTCTAGACTTGAATTGCGTGAATCACACTGTGATAGCATATCTCGAGCTCTCTGTTTCCGTGAAACAAACCACGCGTATCGCGATGCTCCGATCGTCCCCTGAGGCCCTCCAACACAGCGACACCAACCCCAGTTTCGTGTAGCACAACCACGCATGTCAGCAATTGTACCACCAACACTTCCCGTCTTCGCTCCTGAGACAACTCAGACCACGTTCTCTCCCTACTTCTCACTCTATGGCATTTAGAAGACAATAGAGAACTCAAAATTCCAGGGCTCATTAGAAGGAATATTTGTTTAATCATTGCAGGTTCGTTTATGAGTGCATTCTCACCCTCAACGTAGAGATTTAGAGCCTTCTGGCACTTCCAAGCATTCACAGTTGTGTCACTGGGTTGTCTATTCTCGTTTCACGCATATATACTCAGCTCGAGTCCATTTGCATCCCGTTTTCGTGGTTAAATAACTTCCTTGTTTCTCTGATCCGATTAGCTGAGTTTAGCTGAGCGAGCAAGCAGTAGTGTTACACAGCTTTCTTGTGCGAGGATCTAATGCCAGGGACCGACGCCCAATTTAGAGTATCCCGCCGACAAGGGGAAGCTCTACGAGATGTGTGAATACAATAATAGAAAGCGTGGCAAGCCATGAGCTATTGTTATATCAGTTTCCCCAGTATCTCAAAATGAGAAGTCAAGGAGTGTGCTTTTACAAGGATCTGGAACATCTCAACACACACACTACCCCGAACAAGCCGTCGATCGTTCCCACGTTCCCTCGGGTCTTTTCGAGTGACCCTTTTCTCCCTCTGTCAGACAATATCAAGTCCTTTCTCGCACCACATTTCAATCCGCAAATAAGGCTCGAACAACTTTCCAAGTCCCTTTGTTCAACGCAGCACCGCGACTGCAATCACCAACAATAAGCTCTGATGTCTCTGGCAGAGTATATGCTGTGGAGGTCGCGCCAGAAGTCGGAGGCATTGTGGTCATCACCTGGAGCTACTGCTCGCTTCGTATAATGTCTTCGTCGATGAGTGTTGCTGTCACCTGTCCGCACGTCAATCGTGTCGTATTCTTCGCGGTGAAGTTGAATAAGGGAGTCTTACCTACCACCACTACATCCAAGTGGCCTTTTGATGTATAGCAGTGTAGCTAGGAACTCGGATCGGGACTTGGTGGCAGAAGAGGGATTGGACCAATCGTCTGATGGCGAAAGATAGCTTTTGGAGCATTGAGAAGTTTGTATGTACTCTGCTTCATGAATCCAAAGCTCTATTCAATGTGCACTGCAATTTCTCTGTCCATAATACGAAGTGGTTCAGCCTCCAGTCTGAGAAACACAGCTAGAGTAGCATCACTCTCACAAACATCAGCATCACAACATCGCCACTCCAAAGCCAACTCACATTACAGCACTCTTATCCCCATTCACAAATCCCAAACCCCGATCATCTTCTTTCCTCTCCATCCCCTCTTCATCACAAACCTCCCCACACGTCAAAGTCAACACCGTAGCACAGCATCACATTGACGCATCCCCACAACCACAATGTGAAACACTTCCCCAGAAACTCACAATCCAATTACACGCATAACTCCCTCCGTAGACTAAATCTGCTGCAGTGAATCACTGCCAGTTGTTCGAATGAACCACCGCGCGCTGCGGTATGTGAAGAAATTGCTATTGTTCCTCTACCAACACAATAGAGAGGGGAGGGCAGTGAATCACTGTCTCTCCACCAAATCTCCAACTATATAAGACCTCTCTCATTCCTCTGCTGACTTTCCCTTCTCCCTCATCATCAACAACTTCCACTCCTTCAAGCACATTACATTCCCTCAGCACACATCACACTCTCTACACTACAACAAACCACAAGCTCAACACTCTTTTCAAGATGTTCTCCAAGCTCTTCCTCTTCGCTCTTCCCCTCGTCTTCGCAGCTCCAGCTGTCAAGCGCACCGAGGGCGACATCACCTTCTACACCCCCGGCAAGGGCGCCTGCGCTGGAACCCACGGCGTCGACGACATGGTCGCTGCCGTTGGTGCCAACCTCTACGACACTCAGGATGTCTGCGGCAAGACCATCACCCTCCAGGGCGATGCTGGTACCGTGACCCTCACTGTCGTCGAGTAATTTTCTCCCCCCAATTCCCTCTTCAAGAACTCTACTGACATGTGTGGTACAGCCGCTGCGAGGCCTGCAAGGACACCGACCTCGACGTCTCACCTGCTGCCTTTGAGCAGGCTATCGGACCCAAGGACATTGGACGCAGCAAGGGAACTTGGGTTTTCGCTTAAGTACCAACACTCTTTTCATGAGATCACGACCTTTGGGACGACTCAAAGACTTTCTCTTCTCGTACACAAGTTTTACCACGGCCGAACATAAGGGAGGCATTTTGACGGAGACACGAATGATGAACTGCTAGCATTAGCAAGGCGAAACGGAACGAACCCAATACAGTTCGGTTAACTCACTCTTTGCTCCTCATAACATGTGACATGCGCCGCCTTCATTGAATGTGTGAATTGATTCTGTCAATCTATGCTAAACTCGCTTTGATGCTCCCAAGCTATCATGATTTAGCTAATGCCGAAATACGCCCCTTATCCATCGCCTGAGCAACCCAATCCATCCGCCAAAGAAAACAAACCGCAGTGCCCATGTTACGAGAAAGAAAATACAACGCCTGGTTGTGTTGTGCCTGTGATACTCCATACCAACACTCGGCTGTGGTGCGTGTGAGCATTCTGACGCCCCGCTAAGAAATCCAGTGTATGCAAATTGAATGCCATGATAAATCCAAATCTCCTAGCCTTGTTTATTTTTAAGACCGAACCACCTTCTCTTGCCTCCCGCTCTTGGGCTATCTACTTGCTCTGAAGTATCCCTGTCCATCCTTGGTGTGCCTGGGGTACCTGGCTCCTGGCTCATGATCGAGTCGTCACCCACGTCGACCGATGTATGTCGACCATGGCGAGAGCTCCGCATGATTGGTGGTGGTGTCGCACTGTCGCGATCCTCATCTGCCACGCCTGTCCGGCTGATCCATGGTGGAAGTCCTGATGCGCCATTAACGCTTGAGGAGAGTCCATTGCTTGGTGGTTCAGTAGGTCCAGTCTCCGACGTTGGAGTAGGGGATGGGGCAGTAGTTGACGATCGGCGGAAGAACTTTGCGAATTTGTTCTGAGCTGGCTGGCCTGAAATGGGTGGATAATGGTTCTTTTTCTGTTCCCCGGCAGGCGGTGCTTGAGCCTGCATTTCCGCTCTCATCTGGATGTCGTCGCTGTTCCTCCTCTGATGTCCCTTCTTACGGCCTGACTTAGAAGCTTTCGGATTGGCAGGTGGACGACTCGGGTTCGAGATCTTAAGCTGTGCTACTGTCTGAGCATTCAGACTCGATCGCCTATTGGGAGGTGGTGGAGGTAGTGAGGCCGAGAAGAGTTCCTGCTGGACAGGGAACAGATTTCTAATCATTTCAGAATCGGTGCCTATGCTTGCACCTCCAGCGCCGTACATGGCTTCCATCGACCAGCCGCCCTTAGTCGCGCTTGAAGGAAAGCTGAACAGATCAGGCGAGGTTCGTCCACCGTTCTTGTTAGGCTTGGCGCTTTCGCGCATCCAGATATCGAGGCTCGAATCTAGGGAATCCACGTCTGAATCGTCGGTGTCGGTATCCCAATCATTTCCTCGTCGGTTCGATATGGTAGTTTCGTCAGCGGACCGGGGACGCTGGATAGACCTTCCCCGGTTCTCGGCGTAAGCTCTGTTGTTCAGATCGATGATATGAGCCGAAGCCTTGACTGCACGCATGGGTTCCTGTAGTTGAACACCCGAGTGCATTCCCATACTTCCTTCATTTTCAGATGTCTCCGAAAGAGCACCGTGGCTCCGTTGCATTGTGGGATGCTTGGACAATGTGTCGCTAGAATTCTGGAACCGTCGCAAGGTAGACGTAGAAATGGTGTCTGGCGTTGGTGGCAGATTTTGATCATGTAGCCTGACACCACCAGGAGCATCCGTGATGACTCTTCGAAGCGATTCACGCTTCTCCTCCTTCGTGCGTCGATGGTTAACAGGCATGGCAGAACGGCCAGTGAACACATCGGCTCCATCCTTATCCCGACCTTGAGGTCGTTCTTCCATCTTCTTCGAAGCGTAGCTTCGGTCACTCTTTCGCGCAGGAGAGTTGTACTCGATTACGTTATTGATCGAATCATACTGCGCTTGACGAGTCGAGAGAGAGTTCGATCGAGTTGATCTGTTAGGTGAGGCATGCGATTTGACAAAGGCCGTCTTTGGCCTATTGATAGCACTAGCTTTAGCTGGAAGACTATCAGCACCATCAAGAGCAAGAGGCTCGTCCACATCTTGCATGCCGCTGCTATCGTGTTCTTTGGATCCATACACGCTGACAAAAGAGCTCTCGCTCAAAACGCTCAGGCTTGGACTGCCCAGGGCTGTGTTCCGGCCGTTATCAGCTTCATTAGAGCCTTCAGGGACTTGCGCAAGACTGAGAATGCTACCCCTGGTGCCAAGATAGACATTTCGCAGGTTCTCGGTTGTCTCACTGTGGTCGGAGAGGAAACTCGGCATGCGATTAATGGCCTTGCCACTTCCCATTTGCTTCATCATATCCGGCGAGTGAGTAGCGGGTCTGGGATCTTCGTAGCATGGGTCGAAAGTGGGTGCGGCGTATTGGCCTTCGGCTTCGATCTGCTCGATGATGGAACGTTCTTTGGCGTATTGCTCAAGTCTGGCTTCAAGAGTCACAATCATAGCGACCGCCTCCTCAATTGCCTTATCGCGCTTCTCTAACTCTTGCGAAAGGTGGTCGTTCATCTCTTCAGCTCGTGACTTTTCCACTTCAAGGGCTTCGACCTTGTCTTCTAATGCCGTCTGTCGTTCCCGGCGGTGGTACAGTTCTAGTTTGAGGTCAAAGTTCTTCTTGTGAAGTGATGATATGACCTGCTTCATGTTAGCCAGCTCCAACAGTATGCCATATTGATTATCCTACCTGTTCCATATCCTTTACCCCCAGTCCCTTCTTTTTATTGGATTCACTACCAGCGGCAGAATTTGGTCGATGTCCATCAGCCTCCAAATTCTTAATGGGAGAGCCGAGACTACGACTAAATTCGCCTGAAGAGTTCACATCAGTGCTGCGCGACCATGTCGTCGATCGGTCGCTCTCGGCCATGCGCGACTGCTGAAGCTTCTCTTGAAGGAATGATGATATGACGGTTTGTCGTGTTGACTCGCTGCTAGCTTCTCGAGTCAAGCGCGGCGTCCGTGTTGTTGTTCGGGGAATGGTACTGGTTGGTCTTTGACAAGTCGCATGGTACAGTCGATGTGAGTGTTGTGATTGAGATAGATTGGGGGATCCAGGAGCTTGAGACGAAGACAAAGCGCTATGGGCGGTATGCATTGTAGCTCTGGTATTGGTAGTGCTTGTTGAGGATCGAGAAGCGGTTCTCCCATAAGAAGACCGCGAAGGAGGTCGTTCCATCGTGGGACGATGTGAGGGTATTAGGTACTAATCAAAAGGGATTGGGTATCGAAGTCGTAGGGAGCGTAGCCAAACGCTGAGGAACACTCCAGCTTGAACCTCAAAGGGCAAGCTCAGTATCGCAAACAGATATTAGATATACAAAGGGTGATCGGGCACAGTTCGAGACGTCTATGGCATATCGAATTGATCGCGTGTCTTGGGTTTAGATCACGATGAGCAAGCTTGATTCACTTCATCGCGGATTGTGCCCAACAGCTTTCGGGTATTGTCGCAGGAAGCGAATTAGATACGTAAGATGCTGGTTTAACGATGATTGGCGTAGTTTGTCTCGAGTTTGTGGTCGGTCGGTTGCAGATGACCTATAGAGTACGTTCAGGCTCTGCTTTCAATGCCTTTCCAACAAAGACAATTGTCGCAAAGGAGTATGTACAATATCGGTTCGTTTACATTAGGAGGTATGACAACCGAAGACGATAGAGAGCGTCTTAGGTGACGTGATGGTGGACAAACAGATTCGAGGTCGATGATCAGAGAGTAAAGATGTAAAGAGGGAGAAAATGGCAATCGTTGGGATCTTGTTGATTCGGATTTCCCGTGCTCTTGGTGGGGAGTAAGGAACAGGAGGTTGTCGATGCAAGGGAGAAAGGCACGTCGGGTACGTAATGCGTAAGGGTCAAAGATAACGCACGGAGTATATGTCGATCCAATCTCGCGATTTCTAGGTTTACAAGCAAGGGCGGAAAAAAAGACAAGACGTGGATGTGTGAAGATCACGAAGAGGAGCAAACAGGAGAGAAATTGGTTTGTATAAGGGTATGTCTGAGAATGGCCTTATTTGGCACCCTCAACTTTTTGCTTCTGCTCAGCCAAATCGATTCATTCATTCCAGGCAATGCCACAGTGGACACCACCTGCTGAGAGAGTTGGGTCTAAGGGTACCCCCCGCATTAGCGCCATAGCAAAAAGTCAGGCACCAGAATTAGCGTGTTAGTGCCAGGAAGTCTTGGGTGGTATTGCGAGCTAGCCCTTGACATAAAACGCTAGATTCACTTCTGCCGAGTTGAGTTACAGTGGCAGTGAAAGGGCGCGTCTTGATTACAGATCCTTGGACGTGTCTTTTACGTGTCGACGTGTGTTGTAAGAGAGTTAACGCGATGGTCAGGGATCGTTTACGGTATTACCGGCTGAAGAGTGGGGGACTGAAATGCTTACGAGCCTTGTTTTTAATCGACATTGCATTCTTCACAGCGTGAACCAATCTAAAGCCCGATTCTGGCCTGTGCTGTTTATTTACAAGATGGTTACCAGAGCAAACATGTCATCTAATCTCGACTTTCATCTCTCTCTCATGCCATTGAATCAATCGTCTTTGTTAACCTTCAATGTCAGATTCTCTCTCAATCTTATTCAGAACCAACCACTTCAGGACTCTCACGCCACTAACAACCTCTCCATCCCCGCCCGTCACCTCCCTCACTTCCTCTGTCACCAATCATAAACAGTTCCACCGGCCTGGGGAGCATGGACCCCCGGGTCCCGGCGGGCGGGCCGTGCTCCGAGCAGGGGAGAAACTCGCCCATGTCGTCACTTTTCTTCTTTTCTCTTCAGGCGCTTCCTTCGTCTATTGTGATTGTGATTGAGAAACTCATGTGACCAATTGCTTTGCTTTTGTGGGAGGACGTTTTTCCTTAAATGATCAAGGTTATCGGATGTGGCTTGATAAGAGGGAACAAACATGCAGCAGGGAGCAAACGGTTCACTCATTAATCCCTCCAATGTGTTTGTTTCATGTTGTCCTAGACATCAGCCATTGAACCAGCATCAACTGAACCCCCTCAAGGGTTATTAGTCTTACCCGCATCAATTATCACTCACAAGAACTATATCACACAATTGTTAAGGTCCATCTCGTATTGACTCTTGCGAGAACCCACCAGAGGAGAAATCTTGCACCATGTAACAAGCCGTCTTGAAGCCGTCTTCGATCCGTATGCATCGGTCCGCTTAGAGTGTTTGCTAGCTTCAGGCTATAAAGGGGGAAAATCCGTCCCGTCGCGACCCAAGCCCCTCCAAACTCAAAGTTGTGGACTGGATTTAAACCTTGGACGGAATTAGTTCAGGATCTAGACAAGTTTCTTGCTCCGATTGCCGCAGGCCGTCTCACTCAAGCCATTCCCGCTGTTGCCGTCCATTGACGTGAGACTTAAGACGCTCAGACTCTAGAGTATCAACCGCATTCAACAGACGGAAACTCTTGGATCTCAAGAGAGTTCTTCTACACCGTGTCTTCTCGTTTATATCTGCGCCAAGTGGAACCCTGGCTTACCGGCTGAGGTCTGCATACCGCCTGTTGGCTGGCCGCAACTCAATCGTACAATCTTGAACGACGAGTGGTGCAATTAAGAGCAAACATTTTCAAGCGGTCAATCGCGGCTAAGATATTCCTGGTCTGGCCGATCGTGTCTCGCCCTGTACCTTACATCAGATCTAGACCGCAAACTACGCCCAAGGTGTTCAGCCATGAACCAAATAACTGACCATCTACGCACTGCTCTTTGTTCAACGGCATGGCGCCAGACTTATATGACTACTTTGGCATTCCACATCCCTTGCCACGCAATTGTGTGTCCGGCTTACTGCAAATACCCGGCCGCAAGCATCGTCGTCACCATGACAATTCTTTTGACTTCGGCAACTTGCCGTGTCTTGTGGGTAGAACGAATTGCCAGCGATCATGTACTTTTCACCTTGGGACGTGATCGTATCGTACCCAACCTCCATCGCAATAAAGAATGAGGGGACAGAGAGGCCTCTGATTACTTTGTCTAGGACTACCGAGACATTGTCCCACGCTTCTCGTTTATCTCAAACACGGTAGTTCACTCTTGGGGGCTGAGCGGGGGATCATCACACTTATCACATTCACTCAAAGGACTTGACGCAGACATTTGGGTCTTTACTTTGCCACAGAGGGCGCATGGGAAATTGAGGGTGTGAAGACAATCGAATGTGATAGATTCTCAATCACAGCATAGCAGTCCAGGTACTCAAAATCAATGGGCGCGAATGCGCTTGCCGAAGGTCGTAGTTCATGACGGTATGCCTCGATGTAGATGTAGCTCTCAGATCATCCTGGCACACCATCACTTACCAAGTATGCTTTCCCGGGTATCTCAACGGATGCGAGCGAGGAGAGCATAGCGACCTTCAAGATTTAAGAGTCTCTCTTCCAAGAGCCGTCTTGAAGCAGTATTTGTAATTGAGGAGCATGCCAAAGCAAAGTATTTTTTCATGAAGAGAAGAGGTTATTTTCGCGTAGCATACGGTAACGGGGGGGATTCCTTTCCTCACTCTTGTCTTTCACTTCCTTTATTTATAACCGTGAGCCAAAATGATACTGATTCGAGTATTCGGTTCTTGGTACTGGCTGAATGAAGTTGACTTGGACGTCAAGGGAGTGCGTAAAGTTGCAGATGATTAATGATCCGTCTCTGGCATGGAACATGCCATAAAGGCAATAGATGGTGATCAACTACCTTCAAATATCCGTTTTTGTCTTGAGAGTAGCTCTCAACTCCTCCATCAAGGTAGAAAACGGTAGTGAATCCCAAGAGAAGATATAGGGTTAATAGAGTCACCACAGCGAACCCAAGATGGATCACTCAACCAGCTTTGGACGTTAGGTGATTGCAGGTGCCATTCGATGCAGCAAAATCCCAAGACCAGATCAACGCTGTCTTGGTCAGATTTACTAGACACGATTTAGGGTAGTCTTTATCTCAACTCTTAGAGGAGATGCATTTTTCTTTATTCGAATCACAATCTTCTCAGCAGCTACCCCGAAATAGCAATGTCCATCTTCAGCATAATCATGGATGTTGTCCCAATAGATATCAGTCAAGTCAGGCACCTTTATCACATAACTGCCACGTTTCACATGACAGGTAGCATTCAAAGGGTTGGCCAGACATCTCTAAATCGAAAGCATCAACTGTCCAGCAAGAACATCACATCAAACTCCAGTCAGAAATAGATGAAGCAAAGCTTGTAACGCTTATAGATTCTCGAGACAACAAATCATCTCCCAAAACGCCGTGTATCTTTCTAATCATCATCTTACAGTTCATCTTTCTTCTTAAAGAACTCCTCCTGACTCCCCTCCGTCTCCTCCTCACCCTCCTTTTCAGCCTTCTTCTTCTCCGCCTTGGCCTTATCCAGCGCTTCTTTCTCCTTCTTCAACTTGGCCTTGTTCTTCGCAAGCTCATCCTCATCTGCATCGATATACCCCCTCAACTCCTTCTCACCACCAGGAAGCTCCACGAGCTCGAGTTTCCATCCGTACTTCCCTGCGAGTTTCTTCATGCGCTCTGTCATGTCCTTCACTGTGGAGGGCTTGAGGTCGAGGCGTTCTAGTTCTTCGGTGCTGAGGAGCTTTACTTCGGCGCCGTCTTCTTTGCTCTTACCAGAGGCGACGACTTCGATAAAGCGCTCGCCGTCGGTGTCGGTGTTGGAGAAGTAGCTTCGTGGAGGAGAGAGCTTGGCGGGTGGTTTGCCTGCTTCGTCGGCACCAGAGAGGACATTACGGGCGCCTACGATAACACCACCGATATTGACAGGCTCCTTTGCTGCATCTTGCGGCTTGGCCTCTTCGGGTTTGGCCTCTTCGCCCTCTTGCTTCAGGGGCTCCTGCGCCTCAGCTTCCTTCACAGGTATCGTCTGGTCCAGTAAAGGAGTCTGGTCATTCTCGCCGACAATGAGCTTGCACGAAATGGGGTTCGCTCTAGTCTCCTCAGGAGGCAAGAAAGCAACGTCATTGCAGAGACGTGGTGTGTTGACCACCATGAGATATGCACAGATGGTGACCTCCTTGATCCATCCGATCCTGTCAGTCTTCATGCCAGGCACACAATGATACTGAACCTCGATTGTCCGTTCCCTACCGGTCAAATCGCAGATCGTTCCGCCTTCTAGCCTCTGTACCAGATATCGTTGATCTCCCTTGACCTGCAGCTCCGCCGGTGGTGGGTTTTCGATACCGTTCAACTTTGCCTGATGCGCAGCGTTGGCGGGAATCGCGGGGACTTTACCAAGCGTAAAGTCCATGGTGTTGGGGTCGCGCTTGGGAGGCTGGCCATTTGGTATAGATGGGAGGGCGTGGAACTGGACGATCTCGCGGTTGTTGCAGAAACTGTAGCTCCACCATCCTGACATAAAGTATAGGCAAGAATCTTCAAGTTGTGAGAGGAGTTCCCATCCGCTTGCTGTCGCGCGAGTAAGCTCGCGCGCTTCTTCGGCCTTGGCCAGCTCATTTGCAGTCTTGTTCTCGGGTTCGGGGGGTTGTATAATAGGAATAGAGCAGAGGTATTCGTGGGGAGGTAGTTTCATAAGTTCGTATGTATGCGACGGACCATTTTGGCCCTGGTTGTCGCCTTCATTGTCGCGCTCGTCAGCTTCCCGAGCTTGATCAAGTGTTGATTGCGCAAAGTCGGCAGAGTATGTAGGATGTTGGCTATCGAGCAGAGAATGTGCGTCTTTTTCGGAAATGTATTGACTGTCAAAAACTACTTCAAACTGCAAAACGTTGAGCTTCAATACAAGGTAGTCGACGAGGGGTAGGTAGCTTACCTGAGGGTACGTCAACAAGTCCTCGTGGATGCTGAAACCCGGTGAACGAGCTCCAGCAAGCTGGACAGTCGCCAGCAAGAATAAATTGAAGCGGCGCATTATGCCGTGATAAGCCGGCGATAGCTCACATAGAGCTCAAAAGGTGCCAGCGCAGAAATGAAGCGTCAAAGCAGTAACAGCAATGCCGCTCTACTGGTTGCCAAGCGTTAGTGGGAGAGGTGTCATGATGAGCCGAGCTGTGGAGTTTAGCCCAGGTCTGTCATGACTAAGCCGATATTTTACCGGTATCAGATAAAGGTGAGAGACCGCGGACGGGGAGGATCCAGTTGTTCTCCGACAACTGTCTTCCGGATACGGTGAAGCAGGGACATTTTCACGGTCTGAAAACTCCGGAGCTCAGGAGACGAAGAGGGGCCGCGTATCGGTGACGCCGCGAGAATGAGTTCAGTGCTTGTTTGTGTTTTGGAACTATTACTAATATCTCCGTTGATGACAGCGGCTGACAATTACATCACAGCTCATTTCTCTTCGTCTCCTGAGAATTACATTACAAAATTACTGTCAGTGAGACGGTGAGATGATGAGGTTCAATTTTCAATCTGTGCAGAAGCACAAGCATAAGCATAAATCGAGGTTCATTGTTACGTTACAGCAATGATCAACGCCATCCTATAGAGTCTTCATCAGACTCTGTTGATATGGACGAAGCAGCAGAGTTTGGTCTAGCTACAGGCTAACAATTCCTCGAAATTCGAATTACAATCTAACCTTATCCAAGATACAATCTTGAGCCTTACAAATTCTCAAGGATGGCATCGCAATGCCATCAATGATCAACACCACAGACTCGTCAACACGTGCCTCTCCTAGGAACATCCTCGCTTCGGAGCAGAACCGGCGTTCAGGAGAAACTCCCGTGACCTGAACACGTGTCGAGTGGAAATTCTTTCCTCCATGGCCTGCTAGCTCAAACGGTGGGAATCTACTCAAGGGTCTTGCTTCTCCACGAGATTCACGAGATTCATCTCTCGATCTGTGAGTTGTCGGACCGCTAGAGCACCGCTTTGACAGCGAATACCCAGCGAGGAGAAATTGCCGCTCCCCATACTTAGTCTCTTCTGACGTAGGTTTTCACTGTGGGATAGCGCTAAATGTTCATCATGGCATGATATTGAGCTTTGGTCTGTTGAAGATCCCAGTTTTATGTCTCGCTTGAGTGCCGAGTTGAGTTGGCTCACAAACTGACGACTACCGGCAGGAGTTTGCGTAGTAGTATGGAGAACGGTTCGTCGCAATGCATCAGCCCTAGTATACGCTTGTTTAGTGTTTGTTGACGGACTTATTCATGCGCCTAGGGACGGGTTTGATGTTGAATGAATGTCTCAAGCATGGGAACTCCTGGTTATAATGCCATTGGCCTAGTACTTTGGGTTAGTATCAACGCTTTGGCATCAGGTACGCGCAATACGCGGGCTATGAATTTGTATGTGATGATGCAGGGTAGTTGAAACAAAAGATCCAACGCCAGTCGGGATTTGAGTACAATCACAATATAGACTCGGGAATGAAGTTCTTATCACACGCTATTGAACTCTCTATAACCGTTAGACCGGGGAAATTGAGTTTAGCATGGTCATTAACCAGGTTTGGTGCTGCTGTTAGCGAAGTGCTTGTAATGGCAGTTGAAGTTTCTGTATCTATCTAAACTGCATTTTCAGCCTCTTCATCTCGCACATTGACTGAAATAACGTGAGATTGCACATGAACTCGCACGTGCACAGTGCATGCGTGTCAGATCAACAAGAAGTGACAACGCATCAAATGAGTCTGCGATGGGGACATTGTTTTGCACGTGCGCCCTCGCTCGCACGGTCATGAAGCTATCAATGGAACGTTTCCATCAATGATCTACGAAATTTCAAGTTGAGACGGGGGTTGAGCCTGCATGATCAACGCAAGGAAAACAACTGAGCAAAGACATTTTAGTTAGTGGAAACTTGAGGGTTCTGAAGGTATCTCGGACAATATGCTACGAAGGTTGAGACTATGGCATGGAGCTATTGAAGCCGGAAGACGGTTCCGTGCAGATACAAATTTCGTGATGGGTTGCAAACTATAGCACGGAACTTATGGACGAGCACCAATTGCTACGGTTCCCTTTTTGTTTTTGTTAGAGCACGGCAGCATGTAGATGACGCCAAGCTTTTGAGGTTCGAGTCAGAAGAATCAGAATGCCTGCATGACACACAATGCTCGGGCGATTCCCCGACCAAACGGAGACAGCTGCTAACTTCTCAGATGCTGGGTGATGAAGATCATTAGGTCTAGACTGCGGTGGTGTTAGCATCCGAAGAAGATCATCATCATCGCTGGAGCAAGGGCACCTGGTATGTTGCATTGAGGTTATTTCGTAGTCAGAGACAGAAACAGAGACGCAAAACCGCACCAAACCCAAAGAGATGGTGTCCTTGATCTGGCTCTGGTTACTGCGAAAAAGGATTATCTCTAACCCGTACGGTCCAACGTTAGCAAACCGATGGGTGGCGCCGTCCGCCTCACTCTGTGCGACCGCGGGAGCCAATCGAGATGGGTAGTGGGTGTGCCTGACCACGCTCGACAGCCAATCGATGAGTGCCCCGTCTCAGCGATTGATTGCCTCGTTTTGCGTAAAGTGGTGGGTTGCGAAAGGAGATGGAGTGTGGGCTTATTTCTACAGGGATTCTACCCGTTGGAGAATGAAACCAAGCCCGTTTGGAACATTGCTGGTGATGGCATCCTTTTTGTGAGAGCTCAGTTGTAGAAAGATGAAAATAAATCATATCAGGAATATCGTCGTCACGATTGAAGGGACCCCTGAGGACCCGAAGAAATCGATAACATTTTCTATCTTCAACCCCATGTTTTTGCCAGATCAAGGGTTTTTCTCCTCAGCTGAGTTTTTGTTAACACGTACGTCGGCGGCACATTATTGTTTCCTGGTGGAACGCCCAGTTTGAGAAGCAGGGAAAATTGGTGATCAGCGTCCCGCCGCTGCCAGCCGGCTCTTGGAATTAGCTTCTGCGCAATACCGTAGAAATCGAGATGATGATCTCGCCTACGAGATAATCTCATTAATCTCCCGTCTGTGTGTTCTGATGTCTCGAACAGGGCTGAAAATAGCAACTTCATTTCATGTATGTACCGTGGGCATCACGTTTCGTGTAATGTTCATCAAACTTACATTACCTCCCTCGTCGGGAATATCTTCAAACGAGCTAAAACAGAACAAGAGCCGACACAAACTTTGATTCTGTCCGTGTCCTCTCCGGGAATTGACAGCAGAAGCGTGCAGCCGGTCAGCGAATCTAGCGGGTTAGCGCTTGACATGTTTTTCACACCGCGCTTGTTGTGCTGTAACTTTGAGTGTTGAGTGAGTGAAAAGATAGACGAATTGAGTTGCCCGGTTTGGAATTCTTTTGCGCTTCTCGTGTCGGATCAGATCCGCCCTCCCCATGGTGCCCGCTCGGTATGAACGTTGTCAATGTCGTTTTTCTGGAGGATGCGCCATGACATCTCAGTAGGCACTTTGGTCATATTTTTGCTTTTTCCTATATTCGTTGTGCGTACCCTGTAGCCAGCCAGGATTGAAGGGATGCCGTCATGGCGTTGAAGCTTGAAGTTGGGTTCTTGTATCACGTTGCTTCTTCTTTTCTCCTTGCTCGCGAGATTTGAATTCTTTTTCTTTCTGTTTTCTCACTGTCATGATGATGCTGTGCCGCTGATTACGTAGACTTCTTGAGAAACGGCGGCCGGAAACTGAAAAATAGAGGTGAGATGTCAGAAGATATGCGGCTTGCCGTCTGTCTGACTTGTAGGTGGAAAAGTCCTAGATTATTGGAATCAAGCACAGATCCAAGTACCGTACGTAAATGCCCGAGTAAACAACATAGACACAGCCCACCACTTTTGATGCAGCTGAGCCTCTTGCTTGCGATAAAAGATGCCTCGTTTCAACGCATCTCGTGGACGGCATAGCATAGCATGGCATGGCATAGATGAGTTGTACGCGCAACCAGAAACGCCGCTGGTAGTGGTCGCAGCAAGCCAGACCTGGGCAGAGAGTGTTCTGAGCTGCCAATCGCAGCGATTCTAACAACGTTCACATCCACCGGGCGTGTCAGCGACAGGGATCATCGAGTCGACTTGGCTTCTTTTGACTCTCTTCTTTTTTTGGCATAAGACGCTACGCCGGGGGTTGTTTTATTAGCACCATCCATGGACCAAGGAGATCCGATGGGGGGCGCGGGCTCTTCTTCAGCGGCCACCGAGCATTCCGTTAGTGGGTGGTTTGTCGTTCTGCAGTGACCGTTGGTGACTGGCCAGTGGGGGCCGCCGCTGTAAGGAGATGCCCACGCGCTGGAGCTGGGAGGTGTCAGTGTCGTCACGCGTGCCTTTGTGCCTTCCACCATTCCCTTCTGATACTGGCTTGGTCCACATCGTATCCCGTCTCATCCCATTTTCATGTTTGTTTCAATCTCAACAACAACGACGGCATCTGTTGAAGAAGCACCCATCATAGTCATCTCCACAATCTTCTTTTCTGCGACAAGTCTAATATCATCTGAATGACATTGATATTGAATATTGTCTCTTTTCATCCCCTCATCTCGATGTCTGATCAGACCACTCGGGCACAATCACACATACTTGATAGAGGTCTGCCTAACACAACCCATATTGTCTTGGTTGATTGATTGATTAACTGTTGAAACACACCACCAAAGACGCACGCTACATCATCATCATCACACACCCATGCATGCCGGTGTATGCACTGCACTGCATTTTCAGCCAGAGCCAGGCCAAGCCTAATTAGACCATCCACCCACAGACAGAGGGACAGGACAGATGGATTTCTTCCTTAACCTTACACACACCGCAGCGCAACACCCTTGAATATCCTTCCAAGATCCCTGTTAAGATCCCTGTCCAGTCTGAGTGGGGATTGGAAGCCTCATCCTGAACGACTGGCCGCCTCTTCCCTCGATCCTGGCTCACTATTAATCCTCCATCCCATCCGCATCTCATTCACCTTCTTTTCTTCGTCTCGTCGTCTGTCCTCGACTACTCGATACTATCCCACTTTTTTAATCTTTCGCCTGTGGCAAGCCGTTTTCACTTGTCCTCCCTCAACCATTCAATAAGCTCGCCTCGCTCCAGTTCTATTCTCCAACGTCCAAAACCCGCCCGCCTTACTTACACCAGAACATCTCATCGTATCAAGGCTATTACGTCTTCGAATATCTCGCCTCGCCTCGCCAGAAACCAAAAAAAAAAAAAAACACTATCGCAACATCTACTATTCAGTTCAGAAGAATGAATTTAGAAAACGCCAATACTGTTCAGGAGCTACAACGTCAGCTAGAAGCCGCCAACGCGCGGAATTCACAGCTCGAGCAGTTCGTGCAAAGTCAGTTCAGAGGAGATCCTACAGTCTTAAATCAAGTCGCACAAAATTTGTCTCTGGCTCAGCCCGGTTTCCAAATCCCTAGCCATGGCCTCTCAAGTGCACGAAGTAGTGGTCTCTCTCGTAGCAAGTCTACAATTACATATCCCACCCAAGTAAAGTCCGCCATCACGGTAATACATCCTAAGCCTTGTGCCATCTCCATCTTTCTGATAATCTCAATAGGAACGACATAATGGCCTTCAGGCTCATAAGCGTGAGAGGAGAGCTTTCTCTCAACAGTCTGGCTCCGCTCTCCCCATGAGCCGCAGTGTCTCAAATCGTTCTGAATCTCACATGCCTTTCTCACAGACCGGCAACAGGATAGCTCCATTAAGCGCTTCCATGGATCGATTCAACTCTCCTCAAAATGAATCAAACAATCTCCCTCTCGAGGGTGTTTCGGATCGACTGCCCAGCGTCCAGGAGAACCAGCCTCTACTCAACATCGGCATGGACCCCGATGAGTTTCTAAAACAGTGGCCAGAGACAGCTCAAGTCCCTCAACACTACGACGCATCATACTCTGGACTTCCATATAACATGGTGCCCGACAACTCATTCAACAACCTCTCGTCAAATATCCCGTCCAGCTATCCCATGTCCTCCGCTTGCCCGTCAATGATTTCTGGTCCCTCTGCTGCCGAGGCTGCTAGCCCTTTGACCCGCCAGAATAGCTCTTTCGACAGCTATGGCGTCGGTATGGAGCGCCTAGAATCATCCCAGTCCCAAGCCGATGCCCTCTTTGCTCCTGATCTGTCTCCCAGCTCTGTCAACATGTACCCCACTGGCAAGCAGTACAACTCTGAACAAGACCTCTTCGGTCTCGGCGCCAACCTCTCCGCTGTCAACATGCAGTACACCGACTCCAACGGCAACAGCTTGATGACATCGCCAGAGTCCACCGACATGGAGCGATCTTGCTCCAACACCAGCATGTCTAGTGTTCGATCAAATGCTTCCAACCTCGAGCGACGCGCTAAGGAAGCTCGTGAGCGTGTTCTTCACTCAGGCAAGACTATCCAACTTGCCCCGAAGCCCAAGGAGGAGGTAGCCAAGGCTGAAGCTGTTGCCGCTGCCAACAAGGAGGCCAAGCTTCCTGTCAACAAGAGCAACTACCAGCGACCTAAGCATCCCAAGGTCTACTGCACCCAGTGCACTGAGCATCCCGATGGCTTCCGAGGTGATCATGAGCTTCGCCGACACGTCAACGCCAAGCATGAGGGCACTGTCAAGAAGTTTGTCTGCCGTGACCCTGCTACTGTCGGCATTGAGAGCAACGTCAAAGCCGTCAACCCGTTGTCCAAGTGCAAGGCATGCGTCTCTGGCAAGGAGTATGGTGCTTACTACAACGCCGCTGCTCATCTTCGACGCACCCATTTCAAGCCCAAGACTCCCCGTGGCAAGAAGGGTGCTAACGGTGATGAGAAGCGAGGCGGTAAGGGCGGTGGTGACTGGCCTCCCATGAATGATCTCAAGGCTTGGTTCGTCGAGAAGAAGGTCAAAGTTGACCTGAATGACTCTCCCATGCCTGAGCAGGACGATGTTGATGAGATGGGCGACGACAACATGGACGGTTCTGGCATGCCTCCTCAGATGGACATGTTCCAGGGCATTGGTAGCAGCATGGCACCCTTCAACATGGAGACTGGCTATGATCTTGCCGTCGACGGCGCTGCTGACCCTGCCATGATGGCTAGTGTCAATGGCGAACTTGGCATTCCCGCTCCCATCTCATCTGCCTCTGGTAACTTTGGTTACTCCCCCTTCAACGGGTCTCCCATTGGCCTTACTGACAACTATGCCTTCTCCGAGCATGCCACTTCGGCCTACGGCTCCAATCTCTCATCTACCAACACCATCACCCCTGCCAACTTTCAGGACATGTCTCACATGAGTATGACTGACAATGCCCTCTGGGCAGCTTGAATCTTTGGAGCATGAGCAACGATGATGAAGGTCGACTTCTTGCATCGCTGTTGTCCCTGCTCCACCGGTTGACGTGCTCTACCGATATCGATCTCAAAGTCGAGTCGTTTCTTAGCACCTCGCGCCACAAGGGATGAGGGTTGCATAAAGAAGAACCCCCCCCCCAAAAAAAAAAAATCCACGCGTCCGAGCCCGAGCCCAAGATGAGTCGATACGATAATGGCTCATCAGACTCTTACCTCCACTCGGTGTGCTGTTCTGGTGAACACGCACAAATATTTCCATAGCAAGGATCCTCTTGCTTATGTTTCGACTTGCCTTCTCACACATAATGATTTTCAGGAGAGCCCACTTTATGATTGCTGTTTCTTTTCTTTTTTTTCTTTCGACTTTTTACTCTTTTCTTCAACTTCCTTTTTCTTTACCGTCACGGCGTCGATGTTTACAACCTTTTCTCTGGTTTATTTTCAGCGAGTCCCTTGGCAGACTAAACTGGTGGATACGTTTCAAACTTGGCTGTGTCCCTAGATGGGCGGCCAAACGAGGTTCGACCGCTTGAGCGGTGCGACACCTATACGTTTATTCTCGACGCGATCGAAAGTGCTTCGTCGCGTGGCTACGATACATACTGGACCGGGTACGGTAACTGGTGGGGGATTTTCCCAGGAGAGGAAAAAGAGGAGTCGGTTGCATTTTTATCACTTTTTCTATCCTGTACATGACAAAGGATGGGGAGCTTCCGAGCATGGCGTTTTCATCGGGAATTGCTAGCGCTCAGCGTTGCGTTCTTGGGTTCTTAGAAGGGTTGGGAAATGGTGTTCAGGGAGATAACTATAGCTATTATTGGGGTTTTTGTAGAATCTAAAGGGCACGCTGGGAAATGCCGGGCTTGTCGTTCCGTTCGGTTGGAACATTACTGAGCGGTTGGATGGATTAGTACCGTTTGCCTACGGATAGGAGAACCTCGGCTGGCTTCAAGGCGTAGGAGTCGGAGTCAGTAATAGACCGTGCTGGAAATGCACGCTTTTATCCCTGAATATTCTCTCAACTGCGAAGCCTCTTGTGACTTGACTGAAGCACATGGTTCATGCCTTTGTATTTGTGTTCGTAGACGCGTAGTGCCTCACGGCATCTCATGGGTATCTTAAATCCTCCAACTCATGTCTTCTTAACCTTATCAGTCCACTCCTTCGCTCCCTTGACACCCTCATGTCCTCTCCTAAACAACCCCCTCTCCCACTCCTCCAGTCCCCTCAAAAACTCCTCCCCATTCCCCCCCACCGCCTCATCCGCCTTTCTCGCATGAAGACCAACCTCACCCGCCCTCACAACAAACGTCTTTCTCAAAACCTCCGCTATCTCCTTCTCATCGAATAACTCTAGCATTTTAACGCCGACACCGTAGAAGTGAGGACTTTGGTCGCGGAGGGGAACGGCGCGGGGATCTGCTTTTAGAGCGGCGAGAACGGTTGTTGAGAGGCATGGTGGGAGATTGAGGGTCAGGGGCGCGGAGGAGTTGGGTGTTGAGGCGAGGGCGAGCATTTCGGCGAGCCAGAGGGGGAGGGTTAGGGGTGTTTGGGCTTTGAGGCCGTGGGGGGAGTTGTCGAGATGGCCGAGGTCACGAACGTCGATTTCGAAGTGGCATGGGACTTTCTGCAGATTGTTAGCTCTGCTTCATGGTTCTTGTGTACATGATTTAGAAGTAATACCTCTGCATCCGTGAGGATGGCGTCAATGTCGTAGTACGACATCTTTACTATGTCTAAACTTTTGGTGTATGCTTGAGGGAGACGCGTAGAGTGGATTGGTGATAATTACATCGACGCGCCGATGACATAATCGTCAACTTGACTACCCTGCACCAGAGGGAATAGCATCTTCACCAAGAACAAATAACCAACGGCTTCTCATCCATTGGTCTAGAATAGAAATATCACGATTGATTCCATACTTAGCCGACGTTGCATGCATAGCCCGCTAACTCACGAGGTCCTCTTTTGCGTCATTCGCATCTCAGAGCTCGGGAGTCCGAGATCGGCGATCTCGGAGAAATGGGAGATTGACAGTGGAATACTCGGGATATTGCTTTGAGGAAGGATGGAATCAAATTTTTGGTTGTTGATGTCGCTGTTCGGTGTTTGGCGAAGACCGAGCTGGGTAACCTGAAGTTCATGATTATGATGGTCATGTTAGTCGAGCTACACGGGCTGCATACAGCAAAAGATATCATTTGGAGCATGAAAATGAAAAGAAACAAGAACCCAAGTAATAGATCAGATCATTCCATGAGATTGAAAAGGAAATATTCAGAAGCATACAGATGTAACCCAACATCTTCCATCTTGATCTCTCTATAAAGCCACAGCACTAGCCACTGAAGCCAAGCCTCAGATCAAGTCAAGCTCTCCCAAGTATGACGACAGATTGATCCAAGCTCCCATTCGGCAGACCCGACATTGCCGTCCCGATCAGCTCTTTAACCAACCCCTCCCTCCGCTCAACTCTCCTCGACTTTTTTTGACATCATCGTCAATTGCACTATCACAAGCTTGCCTACAATCCTGTAAGTTCCTTATTAATGGCTTCACTATCTATCAAGCACTTTCCAAGAAAACCACTTTGTTCTCGTTGTTCAACTCTTATCTCCAATTCAATCAATTGATTCATTGCTAACATCAACAGCTTCAAAATGGCTTCCGCTCTCCTCCGTTCAACTCCCGCTCTCCGCGCCGGTCTGCGCGCCCGCTCAACTCCCCTCGCCGCCATGGCCACAACCAGCTTCGTCCGCAACAAGGCCACCCTTCCCGACCTTCCCTGTACAACCCCCCATTCTCACAATCATCAATCCTCGCAACTAACAAAGCCTAGACGACTATGGCGCTCTTGAGCCTTACATCTCCGGTCAGATCATGGAGCTTCACCACTCCAAGCACCACCAGACCTACGTCACCGGCTTCAACAACGCTACCGACGCCCTCGCCGAGGCTCAGCACAAGAACGACGCCAAGGCCGCTGCTGCCCAAGCTCCTCTGATCAACTTCCACGGCGGTGGTCATGTTAACCACTCTCTTTTCTGGGAGAACCTTGCTCCCAATGGCAAGGGCGGTGGTGGTGAGCCCGAGGGCAAGCTTCTGAATGCTATCAAGGAGGACTTTGGCTCCTTCGACTCTTTCAAGAAGCAGACCAACGCTACCCTCGCTGGCATCCAGGGCTCCGGCTGGGCCTGGCTCGTCAAGGACAAGAACTCTGGCACTCTGTCCATTGTCACCCGACCCAACCAGGACCCCGTCACTGGCACTCTTGAGCCTCTCCTTGGTATTGATGCTTGGGAGCACGCTTATTACCTCCAGTACCAGAACCGCAAGGCTGAGTACTTCAGCGCCATCTGGGAGGTCATTAACTGGGGCACTGTTTCCAAGCGATTCGAGAAGTAAATATGTTCGTGTTAGCGAAATTGTAAAGCTCGAAAGAGTTGAAGGGAAAAAATAGCGATAACGTGTACGCAACCAAGGCCGACGTTTCGTGACCATGCGTCATCTGTTTGTTTGTCAAGATACCGGGTGTATAGTACCTTGAGGTCTAATAAGAGAACTTGAAAAGAGTAGACATGCGCAGTCTCCAGGAGGCAAGGAAACTTGAGACCTATATTCTTAGTAATGAAGCCTCAGGTAAGCTTAGTATAACTAAGGAAGACTTCAGGCCGGTTATCTTTCAACACTTTTATTAAATGTCAGAAGCTTCCTAGCTCCCTGATGAGCCTTCAACCAAGGCTTACAACATCCGATACTGCTATCTATGATCCTGTGTTTCCACCATCGCATCCCATAGGGATTCTCCAAACCAGGAGTCGTGACTCTTTCCGATAACCCTGATCAATCAGCCCGTGCATCTTCAAGATATAAAACTTTGCCATTTGCTGGAAGCTACACCGATTCCTTCTGAGTTCGGCCGCGTGTTGCGTCCACCCGACGCCAGTGAGACACAAAATGTTGCCTCAGCTTGCGCAAACAAAATCGCCATGTCACAAGTCTCAAGATCAGGGCTGCTGACATCTCGCAATTCCCTGGTAGGCCGCCAACTCAGCCGGGAACTCCTCTTCAAAGATCTCAGCTGCGTAACTATACCAGTCACTGTTCGCCTCGGTAGTTCTCGCCTCGAAGAACCGCGCGTACTCCCACCAAACTGGATACTGTCCTGCGCAGTCCCAGCCAAGGATCCAGCTGATGGTGTTGTTGGAGACAACAATGTTCTTGGGGCACAAGGCCCCATGGGTGAGAACCGAAGGATAATCATTGCGAAATTGAGTGATCAAGGCCTTGGCCACAGCTTTCGGCACCGACTCATACAAAGTTGACATGAGAAGTGCCATGAACTGCTTCTGGCTGGGGCTTGGACGAATTGCATAGTAGGTATGGTCAGGATGCTTGTCTTGAAGCAAACTGTATGTTCCTGACTCGATAGACCCTAGGGGATAATTTGGTCCCTGCTTGCTCTCATTCCGCATCTTGTGGAGGAGGTTGCGGAGTTGCCTGGCGTACGAATACTTGTCACTCTTTGTGAGTCTAGGCCAGACATCTTCGAGCAACTCGCCAATCACGGTGCGGGTGATGGCACCGTCTGAAGAAGAAATGTCCTGATCATGAAGGGATAGAGGGAGAGCTCGAGTATGGCCCAGCATGGACAGCTTCTCATGCTGGACCATTCCAGCATTGGAGATGAGAAAGGTATATGTCTTGGGTTTGCCAGGCGCATCATTCTTCTTGTTGGGAGCGGCCTGCAAGCAGAGGTTCAAGTTGCGGTTTCGCAAGAGTGAAGTAAGGTAATGGGTGGAGTCGTCTGGTAGAGGAGCTGCGCATTCAATCAGTGCTCTTGAACGTGCAACCACTTGCATTCTTGCTTACCACGACCAAGGGGCTGAATATCGGTGTAGTACTTTTTGACGGGAGCGATTTTTGGCTTCTTCTCCTGCTGCGCACGTTTCTCCTTGGCCTCCATCATGAGCTCGCTGATGGACCGCTTGATGGAGCCTCCATCAGATTTCTGAGAGCCCCGGGAGGAACGGTTAGACCAGTCACCCAAGGCATCTCTATTAGCGCCTGTGACCCTGAAAGGAACTAAAGACTCCTCTCTCTTGACCACAGGTGCCGGCTTGGGAGATTTCTCTCGAGGAGCCTCAGAGAGCATCCGAACCCGCTCAGGATTCATCGCAGTCACATCAGGCGTGGGGGGAACGGAAGGACCCGAACCTGGGGCAGACATGGTCAGTCAAGTTAGTTGAAGAGATTTCCAGACTGCAGAAAGATCTGTAAGGAGTAATTGGTTCCAGAAGCAGAGAGAGATGGCCAAAGACCATCAAGAGCTGATTTCAATCGTGGCACAGGATTGTATTTGTGCATGACAAACGGGGAAAACAAAGGGAAAAGAAACTCGAGAATGATGAGAGGTAAACAAAAGAAAACATTTCAGGTTAGTATCGTCATCTGAAGGCCCCTTCCTTTGAGGTGAGTCGCAAACGCAACTGCCTCGCACCTGCCTGGCACTGGCACTGGCACTGGCACTGGCGACTGAATAACTGCGCCAGTGTCCCCAGTTCCTGAGGCACCCAAGCAAACACAGGAAAGCCCATAATTTAAATTCAAGTGAATGAATTGCTTCTGAATCATTGTAATAAGGATTCGTGGTTAGGTAATGAAAGCCAAAGGGTATGTATGGCTGTGATTACCTACCAAGTACCGACCTTGTGTGATGTTGGTTGAATATGATAGAAAAGACCACGCCAACGCATGAAACTGTAGCATAGATTGGGCATCAATCTCCTATATGACCATCCAGGAATTAATGGAAATAATGGAATGGTGTGTGATGCTGTGCAGACTGTCACAGTCAGCAGACCGTCAAAGGGTTGGCAAGAGTTCACATCTTAAAGGTATATAGGCCTTCGCACTCACCATAAAGTCAAGAGATAACGGCACCGGTCAATGCTTATACACATAAGATAATGGTATTTCATAAGCTCAACATAAATCTGATACTGAATATAAGTAGAATTCGTTCCCGACCATGTGGTCCGACATTTCATACATAAGCCCGTCGTAGTCATGAACAACATTTCTAACAATCCTTTGACCTCAAACACATAAGCGTCTATCCTCGTTCTTTTTTCTTACCCCAGAATTTTTGGATAAAATGGAATCTAACACAAGAAGCAACGGTGCTTAGAACATTACTCGCCGTTTTCCTGGACCGTCTCCTCTTCCTTTCGCTGCGTGTAGTGGCGAGGAAGACGATTCTCGCCCTCAGTGTAAGGAAAACCAGCCTCTTCACGAGCCATATCGTTTACCCACTTCTCATCGCCTTTGAGACCAGGGTTGCAACCCAGCTCCTGGCACTTAGCAGCTAAGTAGAACCAGCCAAGGGCGTTTCCGACAGTGCCGACCTCGTCACTGACACCGTTCTTAGCCTCACGAGACATCCTGGAATGGAGCTCATGATCGGTGTACAGGTCCATGAGATGTCCAGCAACGGTCTTGTAGTCGCCAGGGGTAACGAGGTAGCCATTGACCTTGTCCTTGACCTGAAGAGGGATACCGCCTTCATTGGAGACAATCACAGGAACTCCGGCATGAAGAGCCTCAGAGACCTTGATTTCGAATCCCTCACGAGTGGACAGCTGGAGAATAACGTGGGCATTGGCGATGACCATGTTGAGAAGCTGGTCATTGGCGTCCAGGCGCATGACGCTGACATCGTCAAGGAGGTGAGGGTAATGATCTTCAAGTTGGGCCATAGTCTGATCAAAGATGATTGCACCATCTGGGTCATCAATGGATCCGTTACCGCAGCTGCAGAAGTTAGCAACTATCCTTGAATTGACATCATTGACTTACACGACGAGCTGGGGAACATCAGAAATGTTGGCCTCGTCACAACGGCGACGGAACTCAGCATATGAGTCGATGACAGTGGGAATACCCTTGGCAGGGTCGAATCGAGCAACTTGAGCAATGTATTTGCCTGTAGATCGGCGTTAGTTGTTTGCTACTAACTGATGAGAGGTTATCTTACGGTTGGGCCAATCGAGCTCGGTCATTCGCTGGTTTCGGCACTGTTGGTTATAGATATGAGCGTAGTAGCCAGTATCCCACTTGTTCATGTGCTTGTTGAGGCCGTCAATCCAGTCGGTAGTAGCGGGCAGGTAAACAACCTTCTCCTTGGGAACCGTGTGAGGAACAAATTTGGGGATAGGGTGGCTGATGAACAGATCGGAATCTTTGATGTTGCTCCAGAGATAGTTCCAGATGTCATTTTGGGGAGAACCCTCGTTGGCCACGAGGTCGCTTCGGATCTGGATGTGAGACCGGTAAAGAACAGGGCGATCAGGTGTGAGTCTCTTGATCATGGGGACGAGGCCGGGCATCTGAGGGTCATCGATCTACACCAGTTGTTAACTTGCATGATCCCAACCATATGGAACAATTGACCTACAATGATGACATCGGCACCACCCTCCTCCGGGGGACGGAGAGGACCACCCTCAGAGAGCCAGTATCGCTTGGCATTGTCCTCAATCCAGTCGCTGATAGCAGCCTTCTCCGCGTCCGAAATGCGCTGGTCAGGGTGACTGACGCCCTGGAGAATGTTGTGCTGATTCTTCGTGATTCGGAAAACGCCAGGTCGTGGCTTGGGGACTAGAATCGAGTTAGAATTGTGTAGTAGCTGCCGTTTTTGGAGTGTCGTAACATACCATACCAGGTCACATCAACACCCAAGAGACGGCTGAGACGGACAAGAGCGTGACGCATGAGAGCAACACCACCACCCTGGGGAGTAGCACTGAAGAATGCAATCTTCGTCTTCTTCTCGCGGAGCTTGTTGGCATAGAACTGCATGGCACCCCATGTCGCACTGGAGCAGGTGTCCTTGTGGTTTTGGAGGTTGGTGAGATGAACACGGAAACCGGCGTCTGTCTGAACAATGCCGCGGTAGCCGACCTGCAGATGAGGGACGAGAGAGGGTCCAAAGTTACTGAAGTAAATTCGTCAGTCGCGATTCATGCGAATATTCGTTTTCACCTTCACCTACAGAATACACTTTCGGGCCATGGAATCTGCTTGCTCATCGACGCGCTTGACATCCCAGAAGTTCTTCTCCTTGGCTTCGTGGTCGGGTCGGAGCACAACAGGTACAATATCGAGGTCAAGCCAAAGGCGGGAGCACAGAGAAGGACTCATGTACTTGAGCGTGACGGGGAGACCAGCTCCAATGAACTTGACAAAGTTCTCATGCTCATAAGTCTCAACCTCGTTGATGATGTGATCAGCAATGAGATCCTGGCCCTCACGCATATCCTCATCGAGGGAGATGTGCTTGATGGAGAAATCATTGAGATAGACGGTGTCGTGGATAGCAAGTGCAATCACGGCGGTATGGTCATCGGCGAAAACGGCAGAGATTCCAAGGTACAGAGTCTACGATTGAGCTGTGTTAGTCGCTTCATGTGCTAAAGACGAGATTGACCTCGGTCTCCATAATGCAGGGGTCCTAAGAGCTCCAATTGCTATGACGCAAGTTGTCATGAGGGATACATGATACGATGAAAACGGGAAGCACGGGAGATTAAGAGCAAACTTACCTGGAGAGGAGCATTGACGTGACCATCCTTCTCGACGAGAAGGCTCATCTGCCTCTTGCGGTGCGACGTAGCGCCCGTGGAAAACTTGCGGGTAGGCTTGTTGGAACTCATGATGGCAGCAATTGCAGCAATTGGCGGGGTATTGGTTGTAAAGGCGGGGTAGCAATGTGATGCTGAATAAAAAAGAATAAGCTCTCTCTGTGACGTGAAGAGAAAGAGAGCTCAAGTGAAACAACTACGGATGAATGTGAAGGAAGTGAGGAGGATGAACAAGACTGCGGCTGGGCGGCAAGATATAGTCTTGGTACACCTCCTTGATCAGGTCAGACAGGCAGACAGAAAGGCGGTCGTGAGTAGGAGGTCGGGATCGAAAGAGTAGTGGAGCTATAGCAACAGCTTAAACGTGGACACCCCGGGTGAGACGGTAGAGTATGAGGGATCGAGGGCCCTGAGAGATTCGTGTTGGCAGGCAACCTGCAGAATGGAAGACAAGGTCAAGCTTGGTTGAGGTACCTGGACAATGGAGGAGGCCCCGTCAGCGCGGGTCTCTGCAGGAGGTTGACGAGGGTGGTGATGTATGTACTGTACTTGACGGCCTCATGTGAGACAAACAGACAAGGAAGCCGACTGGGGGCGGGGAAGGGTTATGAGACTGGGCGTGGGGTGAAGAGCCAGTTACGTTTGAGGAAACAAGGTGAGCAACTCGAGCAGGTGATGATTCTTCAAGGTGAGGAGACGAGTGGTGTCAGGGAATGGAAGACGAGGAAAAGCTTGGACAATGCCTCGTGATATCACGTTGACTCGTGTTTGGTTGAGGAGGCAAGAGAAGAAAAATTGAATGAGGCCTTGCCCTCGCCGCCTTTGTGAGTTGCGAAGCCACGGGATGGATGGAAGTAGGAGCGGGCGTAGGAAGACTGCAGGTGGCCCCTACTCTTCTGCGATGGCCCGTCTGCGTGTCAGTTGACAACGGGTTTTGCCCAGTATCTTATCTTGGAAGCTCAAACTCAAGGCAACGATTTTCTCGTTACCAACTATAAACACGAAATCGAAACAAATTATCAAAGCCGAAGAGCCGGGGATCACAGAAAGGGGGGGTCAGGAGAACGAGAGCTGCAGGGCCAAGTGAGGTAATGAGGACGTGGTCTGATATGCGCTATGAGATCACCGGATTGGATGAATTGGATCGTGGACCTTGATTCTGGTGCTGAATGGTAGAAGAAAAAGTCGTTATGAATCACGACTTTCTTAGAGACACAAAATTGAAAATATTCAAATCTAAGCGCCGCCAACGTGCTTGCTGCAGGTACGGCGTCGCATTCAGATGCTGTTGGTAAGTTTGGATGAAGGGGACAAAGTGAGGAGAAGAGGAAAGTGTGGGAAGATGAGATGCGACGAGTGACATTCTGAGCACCGCAGAAAGAAGGAAGAGAGGGACTCGGTGAGGTTTGTGAGCCCCCCAAGGGTGCAGCCACAGCATCACTCATCCTTGTTACTGTCCATTGAGTTGCTGTTGTGTAATGAGCTTCAAAGTGTAATGCTGTCCCGCTCCAGGCTAGCCAGTTACTGGTTAGACAGGCGGGCTTGGTGATAAACATCGCACAGGAAGGAATATTGTTGCAGGACTCTCAGAGCATTGCTTGTTACGGTAGCTCTCAAAATCACCAAAGGCAGTGAGATATGAAAGATCATTCTCTAAGTTTCTGCATATATTACCCGAATTACATCGGAGAGTTGCAATACAGTAACGCAGGTGACCTCCGAATGGTATCTATTCTATTCTGTGGGGTTTTATTGTAGCCCACCAAGAATGCTGCACCTTGGCACTCGGCTGGCATCAGATCAACTCTATATCTTCTTTTGGAAATCTAGGGTAAGTTTATTGGTCTGTTGCTTCAGCTGTCAACTGCTGGGCCGTCACCTAGAAAGTACACTACTGTACGTGTTAACGGGCCCTAAAACGAAGTAGCGCTGCCAAACCCCGCGCTGTCGGTGGGGTCCGTCAATTGCGTGAGCTGCCAGGCCTGGGCTGCGCATCGTTCCACAAGGCAAGTGTCCGGGGACGTGTTCCACAGGAGGTGCGGGCGGAAACAAGCCCCCCGACCCTCCGGTGAATCCCCCGCCAGCCAGGCCAGTCTTCAGGGCCCGGGGAAGCTATCCTCCAGGGCACCCATTCGACCTTAATAATGGATCCTCAACCATCTCGATGCATCATAGAACAATGGACCTCTCAGGCGATTATGCAAGGGACTTGTCTCTTCCTTGTTATCTCTATCCCTATCTACCTTAACTTCAGCCTGAATACCAACATATGTAGGTCAGTTCCAAGCATGCGGGTGCTGCTTGAACTTGGCGTGGTTCAAAGTCAATCTAGCGTCTCTGGCCGCTTCAATTAATGAGCATACAGTTTGAATCAACATGTTTGACAAAGATTTCACAAATGTTCCAAACACATGTTGCAGGGTCTCCGACTCGTAACTCAGCCTCAACATCCCTCCAAGACAACTCCCACTCAAGTTGACACCGAGCGCTGACTTCCTTGAAGAACGACACCAGAACGAGTTACCTCGCCGAATACGTACTGCATTTCGTACGACCTTATTACAGATCGTGGCTTGCTCATTTGTTCACCGTCTCAATTTTCGGTCACCTGCCCTCCCAATCGTATAATGACCTTCCAGGCATCTTGAGCCTATGGCTGAACCCTTACCGAGATATCAATTGTTCAATGCAAAGCTTCATGATAGAAACTATCACTATCGAGCCTTAACATCCTTGATCGCTGACCGGCGGTGAGCTTAATGGGTTGTAGAGGTGCCAATCATCCCACTACCGGCAGTACGCATGTGCCTCAGCAACATCTTCATTGGATCTACTTTTGTCCTGGATGTGTCGGACAAGGTCCCCCAACAGATCCAAAGCGGACGGGTGAGCTTCCGGGCGCCGTGCAGAGATTACATGTGCTTCAATTCTCGAGTTTCACAGAAAAGGCGGCAGAACATAGAGCGGTGGAACCCACGATGCAAGTACTGCATGTACCTGTACCGTCAAGCTCAGTGCAACCCTTGCTCAATGAGTGTGGTAACACATAACCCCATGCCCTCATGCTTCAAGGTCATCATGGATGAAGACGGCCCGTGGTTCTTGAAGTCCCTAATAAAATTTATCAATGGCATGAGCACACGCGGCCAAGAACTATGGTATGGAACCGGGTAACCTCATGGACGTTTCATCACCATCACAACATACGCAATTATTCCAAAGTCACAATGACCAACGAAACGAGCTCGATTCCTACGATGCGTCAACTTTTGCATTTGAGACTTTTCTTCACAAGCATGCGTTTTGCCTATAAAAGCTGACAATCACCTACGGTGCTATCATGTGAGTAGTCATGAAGAGAAACGGGATCATTCAAGTGGCCAAAGAATGCTAACATGGGTCATTTTGTCAGCCAAAATGCTTTCCACCATCACTTAGTCAATCGCGGGCCTATTTCTCCGATGCAAGCCGTTTCTTATCAATCTGGTGATGTTGCAACTATCTCCACACAGATAAGATCGGTCTCCGACCATTGATCGCAGGAATGGGTTAGCAGCAACCGGCTAATCGGGATCTGCGATGTGACTGGCCGCGCGGCTGAAGACGTGTTCCCGACGTTTTCTAATGTTAGCTGATGTGAGGCATCCTGACATTGGAGTCATGTAATACTCATTTTACAGCAAACAATATTCAGGATTTCAGCGCTTTAGAATGGTTCCAAAGGCTTCGTTTGGTGTTTTGGGCGTTTTAGCGCTCGCTCTTGGTGTCGCGAATGGCCATGAACGAATCCAGCCAGGACACGAGTATGCCAAAGAGAGGGCGCATATGGTTTTCAATGCAATCCACTCCGCAGGTCGAGAATGGGGTTCTGCCCTGTACCATAATGGCTTTGGCTTCTTTCCGGCTACTGTGCCCGAAGGCACCATGTTTTACCACGGCTCTCGACAAAACGTAACACCGACTGGGCCCGAGTGGTTGGCTTTTGATATCGAACACGCCGAAAACTTCGCACGATCTTTCAAGTATAGGCCTGGTGGAAGACGCCCTGTAGCCCCAATACCTCCTCCTGGCAAAAAGAAGCCAGGTGAGGATAAGGGACAGACTGGAGAGAAAGAAGACCGCCAGGAACTACGACGCCGCAGCGAGTACATAAAAACCGGCAATGGCAATGATCCGTTGGATAAGGTTGCTGACCCAAAAGGGGATGATGATCCTGTTGTCATGAGGGGTTACTTTCACACGTACCAGACAAATCGTGACCTCAAAGTTCTGTTGATTGATGGTATGAGTGCTGGAAAAACCGACATGGGCACACTCGATTCCCAAGATCTGGTCCTTCGCGAGAACAACACCGATAGGGGAAGTATGGACGAATGGCACCGAGCTCGTGATTTGTGCAAACTGGCGTCTGAATGGGGCTTCGATGGCTTTGTTCGAATTGAGATTGGTATCGAAATTATCAAGTGCGACTTTGCGGACAGCTTAGATCTGGTCAGCATGATGCGTACAGAGCTGATGGACCGTATCATGGGGAAAGCCGGCTTGGCAACGTTCCAATTTGTGAGAGCGGTTGGCGAGCGATACGATGGCGTCGGAGCTAATCGACTTCGGATCGATTTCTCGTCAATGGTGTCCGGCCTCTTCTTTCCCATCAACATCTCCAGTACTGTCGTAGGGCGCCCAGATCTGAAGAGACTTGGTTCGGCGACGCTGGAGGAGCTCAAAGATGTCAAGGCGTACTTGACCAACGTGTTGCGTCAGCCTCGGAGGTTCATCGTGGATTGGCAAGGCGTGGCGGACCTTGTCATCGCTCGTTACAGTAAGAGACTGGCACTTATGGTGCACGAACCGTTGCAGTCGCACTATTTCATCGATGAGGTCGAGGCTGCTACATTGACCTGGTACAACGCACCGCCATCACCCGATGATAATTTCATGGTAGACCAAAGAGAGGTCAACAAGACTTCCGATGCTATTGAGCAATGCCGGCTACACTACCTCCGGCCAGCCCTCAAAGCCAGGCAACAATGGAGTTTCGAAGATGAGTTGATCTACACATCTCTCGATATAGTATTGGGCACTATCTGTCAAACATTATTTTTGGTCCGCAATCGCTTGCTCGAAGCATCCGGCTCGGATTTGGACGATTATAGGATCAGACTTGACAACGAAAACGATACTGAAATGGAAAAGGCGATCAGTAGTGGTCGAGCAGTGATTCGGGCACTGATGAGCGATCTCGGTTGGTCAACCTGGAAGAAGCCACAGCCCTGTCAACCAGACGAGGTCAACACGATTGCTATGTGGCCGTTTGGAACCGAAGAAGACCATTGGCACCCGGGATGCCGTTCAATCGAGACAGTACAACATCCCGCTGATAGTTATTGGAGGAACCGCAGACCTCGCAAGGTATAACCTCGTTTCAAAGCCATTCGGCCGCGATGACGGGATCTCGTCGTTTTTTTACGTTAGTTACAGCGTTCCCATCGGTTGCAAAAGAGAAGAATGGCCGACGCTCCGGCCTTCACGGAGGATGTTTGCCGGCTAGCAGTGAATTGAGCGATTAGACAACTCTGACAATAATACCCGACGCATTCATTAGCGAATCCAAGAAGGCAGTGATGTTCAGGGCTAATGCAAGAAGCCAACATTGAAAATTGGCCAAAAATGTGAAATTGATCAGATCATACGACCACGCCAGGAGTCGAACCTTTTGGAGATGTTAGTGCCTGGATGCGGAGAAGCTCGTTTGAATGAGAACCTACCTGGAATCTCTAGAGAGTTCGGGAGATCTGGAACCGAAATCTAGCGCCTTAGCCATTAGGCCACGCGGCCGATGGGAATTTTCGTGAGAAAAAGATTTATGAGCCCTGCTTGGAATCATGGTGGAGTTGTTGCAGTAGAGCCGACATGTTTGTGGGTTGTGCCGTTGCAGTGGGTATCATGAGTGAGGGATGAATTGAGGCGATCCATTGACCAACGAGAGACGAGCAATTGTCAAGCAGGGCGGAATTGTTCCTTTGCCTGAAGAACCCTTTTTCAGCTTTCATGCCAAGATATGCATCAAGGTCATGACGTGGGATGGAATAGACAGACCTGACATGCCTTACAAGTCACAAGGAGACACAAATTGAGGAAGCTCTACGTGTTACTCCACCAAGATCCAGCTGTCAAGGCAGTATTCCCGGGTAGTGCTTATCAATCTTGCAGCAATGATTCGCGCGGTGGTATTCCGCCCCCTGCGAGTGCGACTCTGGATTGACGACAAAAGTCAGATGTTTTGTTGATGCTAGGAATTTACAGTCTCGACCCGTTGCAGCCGCAAGAGCCGTTCCGATCTATCTTCGAGAACCCGGGGTGATCCGAAGCTTATTTACAGGTGTCAGCCCACTCTTTGTCACAGGTTTCAATATTCCAAGCTCGTGGCATCAAAAATTTAAGGTCAAGAGCTGGGTATTTCCGCATCTCCGTGAAGTGCAAGAGTTTTCGCTGAGCAACTGAGGCCTTTCAGCACGAAATAACTGACCCGTTTGAGCCATTGACTGTCAGACAACTCAATGCAGCGTATGCAAAACCATGACACAAGGGTATTTGGTCGTCTCTGCTCTACCCTGCCTCTCCCAAACTTACACGCAAGACGGGCGGGGCATTTGCATGAAGGAACGTCAAGCCTGGGGATATAGTTGGGCCCTGCATTTCCATCAGTCTGGATCCGACGAAACATACTAACAAATGTAGTAACTAACATAAAAAACGGGATCCAAAAAAAGAAGCTCCAGCGCCAATCCCGGTGACGTGCCGCTCACCCCGCGGAGATGCTCTAACCAAAACCATCAGACCACTATCAAGATCGGTCGGTGATCCAGGAACCCACACGGCGAACGGCGCTGTATTCGGGTCCATGAGCTATTCTTTTCGCATGGCATGATGCTTGGACTTGAGAGTCATGGAGAGCGTAATGTTCTTTCTCCGCGCCATGACTGGTTCTCCGGCCTGGTATATAAAGAGTCTAAAGGTTGGCCAGTTTGACGACATTATTCTCGGCATCATCTAGTATATCAACACCACAACAACCTCTCAACTCCTCCTCGCATCTCTTCAACACCAAACAAACAGTACACAATGGCTCTCACCGCAGCACAAGTAGCAATTGTGAAGTCAACTGCTCCCATCCTGAAGGAGCATGGCAAGACTATCACCACCACTTTCTACCGCAACATGCTCGGCGCTCATCCTGAGCTCAAGAACTACTTCTCTCTGCGAAACCAGCAGACCGGAGCTCAACAAGCTGCTCTCGCCAACTCTGTCCTCGCCTACGCCACATATATCGACGACCTTGGCAAGCTTTCCCACGCCGTTGAGCGCATCGCTCACAAGCACGTTTCTCTCTTCATCAAGCCAGAGCACTACCCCATCGTTGGCACACATCTCATCGGTGCCATTGGCGAGGTTCTCGGTTCTGCTTTGACGACTGAGATCAAGGACGCTTGGGTTGCTGCTTATGGCCAGCTCGCTGATATCTTCATCCAACGCGAGGGTCAGATGTACGAGGCTGCTGGCGACTGGAACTCGTGGCGCAAGTTCAAGATTGTCAAGAAGGAGGCTGAGAACGACTCTGTTACTAGCTTCTACCTTGAGCCTACTGATGGCAAGCCTCTGCCCAAGTTCCTTCCCGGACAATACGTCAGCGTGCAGATTCCCATCCCTGAGCTTGATGGTCTTCTTCAGAGCCGGCAGTTCAGTCTGAGCGAGGCCCCTGGCACCAACCACTACCGCATCAGTGTCAAGCTTCAGGGTCCCACTGAGGAGCCCGCTGTTGAGGATCTCGCTGCTGGCAAGATTGCTGGTCTTCTCTCCACAAGACTTCACAACCGTTACAACGTCGGTGACGAGCTTGAGCTGAGCCCTCCTGCTGGAGAGTTCTCCCTCGACCCTGCCGACACTTCTGCTGCCAAGAAACCTCTTGTTCTTCTCTCCGCTGGTGTTGGCGCCACTCCTCTTGTTTCCATTCTCGACTCAGTTCTCCAATCCCCAACCGCCTCGCGGCCCATCACCTGGATCCACGGTGCTCGCTACTCTGGCTCTACCTGCTTCGTTCCCCATGTTCTCGACTCTGCTAAGAAGCACGAGAACATCACCGCCAAGATCTTCCTTGAGGATGTCAAGGAGGGTGACCAATACGACTTTAAGGGCGAGATCGACCTTGCCAAGCTCCAGAAGGAACAGCTTCTCCAGCTCGACAACGCTGATGCTGAGTACTACATCTGCGGACCTGAGGACTGGATGGTCAATGTCAGGGCATTCCTCGAGGAGAACGGTGTTCCTCGTGAGCGCCAGCACCTTGAGCTCTTCAAGACTGGTGATATTTAAAAAGTGATGCGCTGCAAATGATGGATTTCCTTCTATTTAATCGGTTTATTGTCTGGCATGTCGAGGGCGTTGAGGATCTGCTGTCGTCTTTTTGCAGCGGGATGTTTTGTTTGCTCAGATCGAAGAAAGAGTGCATATACTAGATACTAGATACCACCCTCAAAAACAAAAAGAATCATTCAACCCATCTTCGCTTCTATCTCAATACCATCAGGTGTAAAGATCGTGAGCGTGTGTCTTGGTAAATAGCCGACGTATCAATATCACATGTAGTACAGTAAAACGAACCACGAGTAAAAGTAACGAGAGACAATAGCAACAGCGTGTGTGTGAGTGTTTTATCTTCCCAGGCAAGGCTTGAGTTACGACTGGACGCCACCATCCAATGTCTCGCCTGTCTGTGGACGACGTTGTATGCAGTCACTTTAAACGATGATGGGGGAGAAAAAAGTAAGTATTGATACCCTTGTCTGTGGGGATGAGATCGGATGATTAACCGATCGAGATTGAGTTGGGGGAGGTATTACGTATTAGTTATGGGTGGAGAATGGGGATGATCTGAGGTGATATGATGGGAGATGTCATGAGAGGTGATCATGAGAAGTGGTGTGGTTGTATGCAGTTTGATACTAGAGAGTAGAGGACCATACAGCATAGAACTTATACGAATGCATCAGCCAAAGCAGACTACTGTTGCCGTTCAAACCAGTGACTGGCCACAATTGCAATAATTGACTCAACTCAATAACAAATCGCTTTCGTCTTCCTCGCCTCCACGCAACTGCAGCTCGCCGAACGACCCTCCAATGAAGAACACTGTCGAATCGATATATTAATCAAGCCTCTTTCTCGAATCTGCGGTGAAGAAAAAGAAAGACCCAAACGAGGATTTCTGTAAGGACAGGGCTAGCAGGGAAAGGCGTGCCTCGTGTTACACCACACGGTCGAGGAGCACAAGACGTGCTGTTGTGATACATTGGAGAGAAGGGAAGAGACGCCACCGCTTGTTGAGATTGATGAGAGACTTGAATGATCACGGGGAATGCAATTGATTCTGAGTTGATATGGCAGCTTGAATCATAGTAATGAATTCAGTATCTGACACTTGATGATACTCAAGATATGGCGTCGAGACATACATAGCAGATTCTCATATGCTTCATCTTGCTCATCGACGCCGATCCATTGGATCGGATACCCCTGACAAGGTCTCACGACGAGGATACCGACAGCATCGGAACCGCCTCACTGGCAAAAGATACAGGATCCTCGATGCAGCACGACACGCTCCGTAGGCGAGTCCATGCATGAGCCTCTTTTCCTCCCATCTCCTCCTCCTAGTTCACAAAGTGTGAGAGAAGCTGTTACTGTGCCACCAAAAAACAAAATACAGCATCACTCAATTCTTCTCTCCCTTCTTTCTATAAACCGCCCATCTTTGTTCCCCTTATTTCTTTTATGTCCTTTCGAAAAGAAAAGTTGATGTCATGGCAGAGACGGTCCATCGGAAGGCTTGTGATCGCTGTCACGCGCAGAAACTCAGCTGCAAACGATATAACGACGAAGCGTGCGAGCGGTGCGTCAGACTCAAGACGGAGTGCAAGTCTAGTCCGTCGCTACGGTATAGGAAGAACCACCACCAGCAGCAGCAGCAGCAGCAGCAGCAGCAACAGCAACAGTTTGTTAATAACGGGGCGACTTCTTCTCTTACTGCTACTTCGAGTGGACGCCGCTCGCCGAAACGACGACGGACAGATAGTCAGGAGGATCCGAGTCTTGTCTCACCCGACACGGGTACGTGCCCTCCCTCCTGCTGCTTTATCACCCTCTTATTTCTTCTGTCTTGGATGCAACCGACTCACAGCCGAGTCAAGGAGAAGCAACGGTGTCAATAATACCCAATAACAATACCAATACCCATGCCCATACACACACGGACACAGACAACAGCCTCAGCCTGACGTCTAAGAGTCATATCCTCCCCGTCTCCGTCCCTGTCCCTGTCTCACCCGATCCCGTAGTCGACAGCACCGACTTTGCCTTCACATTCGACCAGCAGCTCGCCTTCTTCACAAATCCTCAGTATTTATCTCACTCTGAGTTCCCCGGAACTCGTCCTGTGTTCTGGGAACCTGCACCTCTCTACCAGCACCAGCACCAGCAGCCACCTGAACACACTTATCACCAGCCGCCGGGTGAAGTTGCACCAGAGCGTGACGCCCTTCACCAGCAGCACGTCGTGCCCCTGAGCTGTGCACCTGAGCACAGCAGCACCTCTGACAAGCGCGCGTCACGCACGCAGTCGAAGCAGCAGCAGAGGAGTAATAGACCTAGGCCCAGACAGATCACGCTCCGCCACGACGCTGACTTGTCGCCGCTGCAGCAGCACGAGGTTCCCCCGATTCACTGGATGGCGCAGTTGTCTGACATAAACGCCCGGCTGCTGGACCTAGCGTCCGCTTTGCCTTCTCCCCAGGATGGACCGCTCATGGGTCGCCCTGTTGATGAGAGGTTTAGAAGTCAGGGGTTTCCCATCGAGGATATGTTCAAGCTCACGCGACGTGTTGCTGATATTCTTGAAAAACCACCATCCAACAATGATGGGAGTAAGATACATCACTCTACCATTGATGGAAGTGATCCCGGAAATGCCATGTTCATCTTGTCAACATATGTGCGTCTGCTCGACATGTATCAACGAGTCTTCAGCCTCGTACACACAGAGCTAGCAACACAGACAGACACAGGTACGACCTTCAGCTTCTGGAAACTACCCGCCGTGACGGTAGGATCCTTCGCTGTAGAGTCGTCTCCATTTCTGCAGATGTCTCTCACGATCCAGCTAGCAGAGGAGTTCTTATCTCGTCTGAGAGGTTCGACGGCGCGGTGGTCAGGGGCTGGGAACGCAGCGTCTGTGTTTGCGGGAGTTGTGGATGTGTCTTTTCAGGCGTTTCGGGATCGGGAGGAGGCTTTGGCGAAGCATCTGGTTGAGTTGCGGAGTGAGATAGAGCCTTTGATAGATTCATAGGGGGCAGTGACCTGAGGAGAGAGCACGAGTTGGATAGGGAACTGGGCTGGGGATGGATGCAGTGTCGGTATAGGGGCTTCAACTGTTCTGTCTGAAGATGGAGGAGGCCTCAAGAAGCAATTCACTAATACATACCATCGTTTTCACTGAGACAAGCTCACATCACCAAGCGTCGAGAGTCCGTAAGGAGGCTTACGAGCATACCAAGCTTCAAGTCTACGAATTCAGGGGCAATAACACAGAAACTTCACAAGCACATTCACAAAACATCAAGCTTTCATCGTCTCCCATCAAAATCCCCTATTCTACCCAACAATTCCCATTTTCTCAAGGTGGCAATCTTTTCATCGTCGAACCTGAAGCCCAATTCATGCCCAACTGACCCAGAGATCTGGAACAGCGTAAATCATATGCCGCTCATCGTCGGATTTCCCAGACAGGAATTTGATCCTCAGGGCCCTGAAAATCCCTAGCTACTAGCCTCTATTCCCACGCGGCGTGGCCTCCGAAGTCTTCCATTGGCGATCCGCATCGCGACGAGAAAAGAGACAACAAGAGGGACTGACTCTCATCAAAGCCTCGCATATGACCGAACCTCGCAATTGCAACCCTCCCCACGTCTCGTTTAACTAGAGTAACTGTAACTGCAACTATCGCAAGGCCTGGCAGGGCAAGGCCAGGGCAGCTGGCTACTGTACCCAGTGGAACACACGAGGTCCTCGAGTCTGCCGGCATCAAACGCGCCCGCTAGGGGAAGCCAACGATGCATCCGACACAAGGCCACAGAGGTCCTCAGCGGAATATGATTGGAACCGAAGCTCTAGAAGGCTCCTCGGAGACAGGTGTTTGGGTGAGGGATGTGCCGACGCTACGCCCAGTACTCCGTAGTATCGCCAGTAATACCCGTTTGAGTGTCCCCTGCAAACTCTAACAGTACACACCCTGTCTATTTTGAGTTTACGACTCGACTCTCTCCCTCTCAACCCGTGTCTTGGTGACGCCTCCAATTAACGAGCGATGAAACAGGCCTTGTTCTGTGGTCGATAATCGACATCGCTATGACAGTGTGTGCATATAACAAAGCAAATGGTTGAGATGGAATAGGAATGCCGTTACCATCCTTGGAAGGGTTGATCGCCAGCCTGCACGATGTGACAGGGGTACAAGTACGAGAAGGCCGTCTATGAATCTGAACTCAACTCACCTCACCTCACCTCACCTCACGCCAGTGAAAGAGCGCTATGACTTTAACGCGTTATTGGCCCAGAGACTTACCGTTCACGACGGTTATCCCACTCCAAAAGAGGTATGATTCTCGCGGCACTACCCAAGCCATCTTCGGAACGTCTGACCCGAGATGCACTTATCAAGACGTGCATTCATTTCCATGCACGTAAGTAGTATAACTTAACCTAAAACCTCCTACTCCTGGCTTTCCGTCCCTATCGAATCTGACAAGTGGACAGACGGCGAATGAATGAATGAATCCTTCCGCCGGCAAATAATAGACTGACCTGAGCTGTAACAGATACACGCCCCCCACTGAGTCGTCATCACGGGATATTTCTCCACTGCAGGTCTACTCTGTTACCTGCGTAGCTGTGCATCCATCCGTTGGCCATACCCTCGATTTCAAACCCCATTGGAAGTCTTCATAAGCAAGGGACGCATTTTCGCTACACGGAACGTTCCTAGACCCCGACGCCGAGAACGGCACAGCCGCGAGCCATCCCACATCACGTCGGCTCTCTCTCTCTCTTAGTGACTTAGTCAAGCGACTCAAGCCAAGCCGAGCAGCAAATCTCGTGAAACGCAAGGGTAAAGAAATAATTAATAACATCACGGTAATAGAACGAATGAAATTAAGCTTTCACCCAACGGCTTGGTAACGGGTAAACTCTTTTCGATCCAGGCCAAGTCCCACAGATGTCCATTGCCTCGGGATTTAGCAGTGGATATACCTCTGAAGATCTTGATGCCCAACTCAGCTCAATCCCTCTTCCAAAGTGAAAATATCTCACAGCATTCTGGACCCTTCTTTTCCTGAAGAGGCATGTGCGACAGAAATGTCAGGATCCCCATCCTGTCCTCCCTTTTTGCGTTCAACACACCCCTGTCATGTTTTGAGCATAGGCCCTGAAAGAGAGCACGTTTTTTGTCTCACAGGGAGAAGAATCTAGGTGTCTCTTGATGGCAAAGACCACGATCAGGACCATGCGGTTTTACATTCTGCGTCATCTCGCCAATTTCCAGCAGGACGGTTCCGCAGACTTGGTGCGAAACAAGGATTCCATCATGACATGGGGGACAATCAATCTACGATAGGCCAACTTGTGTCCATCTGTGTTGCTTTTTATCCTCCCTCGGCCGAGATGTATACTTTTGTGCCTCTGATGAGGAATTTGCCGAGCGACATGGGTGGAGGAACTGTTCAAGATGCCCTGAAACAGTCTCTGGTACATAGACACTCTGTTCACTTCTCTCTATTGCCTATGTTGCATCGCAAATATCGCTTCCTTCGCGATCATCCTTGAGGAGTCATGATTAACCAGGTTACTGGTAACTGTACCTTGCTGTAATGCATGGATGCTCACGCCAGAATCATCATGACGAGTTCCTGGGCGAGATCTGCTTATCATGATATGTTGATATGTTGTAGGCCGATCATATAGGGCGTGAACGGTAAAGGCGTCGGTCTCATCGGAAGGAAGTCATAGCATGGTCAATTCCCTGTCCTTCGCAAGGCGCCGGAGTCACTTCATCAAAGAATAATCCTAGTGACTCTTCCATGTATGTATCCGATGTAGGGTATTCGCAGTTCCGGCTCTTCCATATCTCCTAAGCTCTCTCTAAACTCACCCCGAATACGATCATCAAATACCGATGAGAAACAAAACCTTCAATAAAGAATCGCATGATGCCTAGATTCTTTATCACCCGGCACGGTCCAGAAGCCGCCCGCAAAGCAACCATCATGAAGCACTTCTGCAACTCATGTGCACTTGGCGGCGACTAGTAAAACCGGTGAGTTTAGCGACCAAGTTCACCTCTTGGTAGTTCCGCCAGTGTAGCGGGGACGATTCCGCAGAGAACAGAAAAGCCACGGACTCCTTGCTAAGTAACGTGCCAAGTCTGGGGTTGACAGGTTGTGCCTTGCATTTCTACCCGTCAGCGCTTGAAGCGGCCCTGGCGGTTTCCGCGTAGAGATTTTTCTTCTTCTTCATCGAGTTCGAGATGTCGAAGTTTTCGTGATGCGAAAAGGCCTCCAAGTTCGAGACTGTCAAGACCTGCATTGTCCCCATATGCATAATGCATGCGTTGTTGACATCGTACAGCTGCCAAAGAGCGGTCTGCATCATTTACATTAGTGTTTGCTGAGTAACAAATCCACACACCTCTTCTGTGAAGTGTTGTTGAAGCAAGATTCGCCTTCGTATCTGGTTATTGCATGAGCAATTATCCAGGCACTAGCAAGTTACGAGTGTCTCGTTGTGTCTGGCCGGGGCAAAACCGGCTGAGACAAATCTCCCCTTTTTTTCTGTCGCTGATGGAATGACTGATGTTCTCTCGTTTGTTGTCTCATCGTCCGTACCCAGGCGCTCGGTAACCAGTCAGTCGGTTTGACTCAGGGCGAACGAGTTCCACTCTGTGTGTGATTTCCCGGCAGAGGCGGGATTACATGATCTGCCCGGAGGAATGGAAAGGGAAGGGAAAACCTTTCTCTTGGTAACCAGCTCAGACCAGCAACAGGACAGGTGATGACGAAGAACGAGAGATCCGCACGATCCTGGTCTGACAAGAGTGGATTTGAAGCCCTGTTCATCTCCAGGCTGAAGGATCAGGATTGAACGTGGCGGACTTCACCTGAAGGACCTCGTTAAAGAGATAGCTCCGAGACATGACCGCAGAGGTCCTCGGAGGGTTACAGAAGGACGGACATGGCTTCTGTAACTATGCTACGGTACAGTTCTCCCCACAGAGGCTGCAGCGCTCCGTGAGTTTGATCTTCAAGATGGCGTCCTGCAGGCCCATGCCCAGCCTGATAGGTGTCAGTAAACTCTGTCTCGTTTAAGCTTTACATTTCTCAACGGCTGTTTTGTTTGTCAGACTTTAGCAGTTCATGTAAGAAGTGAGACAGACATGTCAAAGTGTTTCTGTAGCTCGGGTAAGTTGACAGCTGAAGTGAATACCGACTGTCGTCACCCTTGCATGAGAAACATTCGCATTGACGAAGGGGAGTCTCTCACAGCAGTGAGAGAGTCAGAAGAGCCGGCTTCTTGCCCTGGAACTTGGCTGGGATTGGGGCTGTCACACCCACCAGAAGCAGAACATCCCGAGGCCCGAGCCCGCGTCCTGGGAACGCCAAAGAAGAAAGCTGGGACCGGCCTGATTGGACAAACCCCTGTGAAGAGGGGCATTATGGCTTGGCAGAGTTGACGGCTGCAACAGAGGCCAGGCTCTCTAGGCTAGGGTGAACTTGGCGTCAGAGGCAGGGGAGTTCACTGACCAAATAGCGAGCCCGAGTGCGAAGAAAATTTGGCGATAGTATGAATAGTATCGTCTAGATAAGATTGAATGCGTTTGAGCAAGGAGGAGCTTTTTCTTCTCACGGAGTAGACGATGATAGTCTCGGGGCACTAGAAACACAAGCTACAGCTGGACATGGCCATGTGTGGAGAGACCACAGAAACTAGCATGACATGTCTGGCTTGCTCGGGGGGCATTTCCTAGGTCCCGGGCGAAGTCGTCCAGCCAGTCGGTAGAGGCTAAGAGGACTCACCCGTCAGTCCCCCTTGGCAGATAATTTGCCATGGAGAGCACGAAAATCTGGATTTGCAGGGCTGATTGGATAGCGGTGTGGTATCAACCAAGAGACGGCGCCGGATCGACTGTGGAGATTGTGGAAATTATGTATTCCAGAAGACGCCTTTCAGAAGCGGAAGGCTTTTCGCTAAGTTAGTCTTGACCATGACGCATCGCAAGAGTGTGTATGTGCTTTGTTTCTCCTTTTGAAACCTGGCCTGGTCTGGGTTTGGGTGTGTCATGAATCAAGAAAAACTCATATGAAGAGAATCGAGATAAATAGTAAGATGAGCGTTGACATAAACAGAACAGAACCAAAACACCCCCTGTAGAAGGTCGCAAGGATGAGTGCTCGTTTAGCGACAATTGGTGGGATTCTCATGCTTGACAGCGTAGGCCTGCAGCGAGGCCTGGCTCAAACTTGTGCATAGCCATGTCGAAACCTGTTGACCGGTTCCTCTTTAGGAAAGTAGAAAAACTCACGTGGAGGCAGCGTGTGAAAGGCTTAAAGATTGTGCAGTAGTTGAATGAGTTGGCGATGACAAGATATCGGTACTCGTGAATGTGCGTGCGAACGTGAATGTGTACCTAGGCTGAGGTGCGCCTAGATAACAGCATCACAAGCTTATAGGGGTCTTGCACCACTACGAGCCCTGTAAATGCTATGGAATCTCTCATCAAACTCTCGGTAGCGGATACGTTTCGGCTGGGTGACAAGCCGACAGCAGCACAGGACAGGATAATACAGGACATACCGCTACCGGCATTGCGCCCACGTGTGCAGTGGAGCAGAGCGCCAAAATATGCGTGCTAAAATGCTAATTCCATGCACGATGCTGTCGTGTATGGGGTCATATGTAGGTAGGAATCTAAGCTCAGTCCAAATGACCCAGACAGCCTTGTTTTTCTGTCGTTTTGGGCAACGAAACGAGGTCATTCTCCGAATGGTGATACCCGGCAGTGGACATGTGTGTCAATCAAGACGGTACTTGAGCCCTTCTAAAATTCGCCAGGGGCCATACGAAAGCCCAGCCCAGACCAGCCCAGCAGAGAATGGCGTCAACGTCCAAGCGTCCAGTGTCCCTCATGGATATGAATCTCAAGCCCAATGGAACTTTACGGACAGGGCACGTCTAGAAGGGACTGAGACGTCGGTAGTGGGTCAGACAGGTTTATTACTCTCGCTCTGCTGTCATCCATATTTGCTGTAATTAATTAATCAATTCCCCTCGCTCAGTAGCATAGACAGCGATTACACAAAACATGGCCGTGCACCGTACCGCACCAGACCAGACTAACCTGACCTGCAAGCAATGCAGCACAAGAAAATCCTTTCTACGTTGATGTGATGTGCATTGACGCAGACAGGCGGGCAGGCAGGCCCTTTATCAGATAGACCTTGTTTCTATTATTGATTCAGCCAGACCAGCATTGTTGCAGCCAGTCAAAACAGCATCCTACCTACCTACCTTGATGACTGGTCAATCAAGGGATGTCCGAATAATGACGAGTCTCCTTAATTGGCATGTCATGACCAGTAAAAGTCGACTTGGTCTCTCGAAAGAAGCAATATCAGAGAGGTCTCGACCCCTCAAAACGGTCGTGTTGCATCCCGCTATAGGCAGTACAACATGCTGATCACACGAAGGGGTTGGCTCATGGAGGGAGGCTTCCACGTGCCCGACGGCCCGTGTCTGCTCGGGTGATGCAACTCCCAATCAGATAAAACGGTGAGAGTCGATTAAATGTAGTTGCTTCGGCTCTTGGAGGCGGTCATCGTTGCTGAGGTGCTCCCCTCGCGGTGGAGTAGAAAAAAAATGCAAGGCGGGACGTTCGTTTTCCTTTCAAGGGTCCAAGACCTTTTGTTCTGCTCACCGTCACGAAATATTTCGAGCAGCAGAGCAGAGGGCGCGGTCTGGCGGGCAGAGAGAGACAGCTCTGATTCAAATTGTGGATCGCAGCACCCTGAAGGCTAGACGGCGGCTCCGCCTTGGAGACAGTGACTCTAGAGAAATGCTGTGCTGTGGCAGAGTATTGCGGTGAGTACCCAATCCATGAGGTAAGGCATAGCGAGCAAGCATCTTGACTTATGTGAGGTTGTATGTGCTGTTACCTGATACAAAATGGATATGTATGGATGGACGTACTGTAACATCATCGTGAGGGGAAGGGGATTGCCGGCGGTATTGGTGGTTCTGGAATATTATGGTGGAGTTTAATGGAAGGGTCCAAGTTTAGATCCCCCAGTCAGTGCTGTTTCGGCATGTGCGACAATGATTTCTACTCCATCGTTTATTCATTTGTAACGAGAAATGTCATTTGGGAATAGCATCGACCGTTGTCTTGCCTGTGCCTCGGCCAACCCTCGGTGAGTCATCCCCATCCAACATTCATCCTCAGGGTCTTCCTTTTTTTTTTCCTCCGTAAAATAAATTGCAAAACAAAACTCATCCTCACTTCGCCGACGCCGAAGACGTGAGGGCTCGCAGATTGGTCTGTGTGTTTCACCCATACGTACTAACATTAGACAGACAGTGGCCTTTATTCTTGGGGGGACTTTTTTACCAGGTGGAGGATAGCTTCGCCTTAGATTAAAACAGTTGATCCCAGTAAACGGGTCACTCTCGATATATGCATACACATGCGCAAATCATTGCAACTCTATCCGCACACACCCTTTTTCACTCCCTCCCGCTCTTCAGCTCGCAAAAAAAAACCCAGACACCTACCCCCCCTTCCCTTGTTTTCGGAGAGAGATGGAAGTGCCACCATCAAAACTTTTAGCAGGAGAACACGCCCCCTTCTGTGTACGTACAGAGAGGGTGTGCTCGCTCTGCTGCTTGCTCTGCTATGGCAGGGGTTACCTATGGAAGGGCCCTTTTCTCTTGTCGAAGTTATAATAAACAACCTTTTTCCTTTTGAGCCCCGTCCGTAGGGATTCTTTAGCCTCTGTATCGTCGCTTTGGGTCCATCTTGTCTCTGTCTTTAAATACTTCTTTGTTCCCCTCGAGGCCATTCCAATTCGACCAAAACGTTGCAGCGTGTTATCGTACCGTAGTCCGTCTCAGCAGGAACCTTGTCGCCCGTCATTGCTACCCAACATCAACAGCATCCTTGAACGCTACCTACTACCTGCCCTCACTTGTTGATATAGAGTTCGGCGGGTTTACTACTATTGTCCTTGTATATATAACGACGGGGCCTGGCCATCTTCATCTTGGACCGATCGACTCACATACTTGTTATACCTTGGTCCACGATTTTTTAGAGTCGATACAACTTGGTCGGGTTTGTCACAATGTGCAACTACATCTATGTAAGTCAGAACATACAACATCATATCATCACATCACCATGATGGTGAATGGTCATATGGAAGATAAATACTAATCCATCTTATAGAAGGAACTTAGCTGCCAACACCACTACCATTTGGTAGAATCATGGTGTCCCAAGTATATCGAGACAGAACGTCGGTGTCCGCCCACCATCGTGAGCAAGCAGTACTGGTGAGTCAACATAACCATATCCACAACATACATGGACATTCACTAACATATCTCCACAGGGGTGACGACATTTGTGGTATGTCTTTCTATGCTCTCCACCGACGGCCAACTTTTTGATGCATGAACACGTACTAATTAATTCTCTAGCTGCCTGCCGCGAACGACAACAACCCAGTAATCACCCATGGGCGAAACTGATTCAACGTCCCGAGTCACGCTTGTCCTACTCTCCTCAAGTTCGTGCGCAATGAAAACGAGCGATCCGTCTCGCAGGTCGAGTCCTCGATATGTCGCCAACCGATCTGCCGCTCCAACGTCCAATAAGGCGGCACTCTTCACCTATCTATCCATCCCCGCATACGCATACACACATTCATACACATACGAAACCCGACCTCCCGGATGAGTTGAAACAACAGGATACAACCTCATTCGTCTCTCTCTTGCCGGCGGTGCCGAGATATCCCTCCATCGAAGCGAATAGTCGACGTCTGCAGGTTCATCAAGCCAAGCGATGTGCTTTACCAGGTGGTCGACTCAAGTGAGACATGACACCCCCCACTTGGGAACCGTGGACTTGGAGGTGGACATATGAATCAACGAAATACAGCATCGAACAACCAAAAAACACAGAAAAAAGTACAGTTTATCGATACCTTGGAAAGGCGCAGGAAAGCATTTGGTTCATCATTTTTATTATCATTTTATTATCTGGAAGGAAAAGAATTCGGCTCTTTGGGTGCAAACCTGTTCTTTTGGCCGATGTGGGATGGGGGATACTTTCTCCCTCTCTTGACTCGCAAGAGGCGTTTACAAGCATGGAGAAGCTTTGGTACCTTTTTGGGGGGGATGGCGTCCGATCGACAGCCCGGGACCAGCTCTCGAGGAGAGAAAGCTGGGGGATGGGGGCCACTGAGGAAAGTGCTCAGACACCTGCAATGTGCATCTTTTCGCCACCGACAGGGGAGAGCTCAGGCCATCAGAGCTCTACAGTCGATGCCATGCACAAGCACTTTCACCCATCAAGTCGGACCTCATCTCGACATTGGACGCCACACCACCAGCCTCGGGCGCTACTCCAATGATTATCTGCATGAAAGGTCTTATGACTGTTATCAGAGCAGCCTATTATGAAGCAACACCTCTTGGACTGATTCCTCGAGAGAAGAACGCCCAACCACATCTGGCACGAGAAGGAGTCTTGACTACTATTTTTTATTTTTGGCGCGCTTATTTTTTTTCAAAACTCAACTACAACTACCTTGTTGGACTAACTGGTGCATGCATGGAAATGGGCATTTATGGGAATCAAAGATATCACTTGGGAGGGGTTTTAAGGGATTGGATTGGAAACCATTTTCTACTACACCTTCTTTCTCTATACTCGATGGCATGGGCGTTTTTTTATTATTGTTTAGTCCTTCCCGACATTGCCGCGCATGGCATGGCATGGGGGGCTTTCGTTGCTTTACCAAACCTATCTTTACTACTGATCACAGCTGAGACTACCCAAGATAGTTGCATATTGTTAGGCGCAGGAAATGAAATACTAGAATATTGCTTGTTACTAAACTTGTTGGACTCGTATAACTTGATTATTTTGATCTACCGAAGACGATGAAGCATTACCAGTCGGGCAGTGGATACCAAACAATACCGTTTCGTAGATCAGCCATTTTGGCATTGGAATGCGCTAGATTAATTGATTGGAACGAGAAAAAGCAAACAGCAGAAAAACTAGGAAGTTCTATACTGAATCAGGGAAAAAATTACAAAGGCACAAGAGATTACGGTATTAGTTTGGACCCATCCCGCTACGGGCCGCTCTCTGTTCACGATACGATATGCCGAGTGACATTCTGAATCATGCGGCTGACGATACCCGCGCTGATACGCCTTCGATATATCTCTAGAATTCCTCTGTGATGATGAGTGTGGCATGTCTCTATTGTAATGAGATAGGCATCTGTGATGGGGGATGACAAAAGCAGTGGGATAGGATAGGATGGGATGGGAATGTTTGGTTTCGGTCAGAGGAGATAACTTAGTGCGATTTCGTGATTTGCGCACCGTTGGATACATCTACCGAACGGGGGATCCATCCATCAGCGTGTGTGCGACAGCGACATCTAGCCAAGCAGATCCATATAAATGAGATACTCTCAGGATACAAAAGTGCTGTGATGCTGAATAATCAGCTATCACATTGCATTGGATCTGTATCACTTTTCTCTTTTCTCTCTCTCTCTCTGTCTCTCAATCCCCACGTTTTACGCTTCTTGCCTCCCACCATCTCTTTTCCCCTGGACCTTACCTTTCGTCCGCTAGTTTGATGCCGTTGGCTTCTTGACGCGTTGGCGCTACCGCATCGTGCCGACGGGAGTCTCAATTTGGTCTGCTGAGTCAAGCCCATTCTACCTGCTTTATGTACTCTGCCTTGGCAGCCATTTTCCAGAAGCCTCACAGCCAAAGTCATCGTGCAACTATTCGTCAAAACATCACATTTTGCTGAGATGTTTGCACGGTCTTCACGCTTTGTTTTTTAGTGTCTCTTAGCGCAAGTTACGCCATTGAGACGTTAGTTGTCTCTTTTCTCAACGGGAATCAGTTTTATGGTTCCCGTAGTGGAGGGAATGTTGGTTTTCGCTTCTGCACGAGGCGTCACCGGCCGTTGGTATCAGAGTTCAGACTAGCAGCCCGCCTATGTTTAGTGGTTTCCACACGAAATACTCTAAACGGTTCCTCGGCGAACTTGACTAGAGGGCGTGTACATGTCATGCCGTCATGTGTCCTCGACATCGTGGGTTGAAGTCGCAGAGCAAGGCTGTAAACATGATATCTATCCCTAAACGATGACGAGGAACAGCATCGTAGGCCAAAGCGTACGAAGCGAGAGGGACGAGGTTGTTTCCTCTACGCAAAGCGCGGTTAGTTTGCCATTCACCGCTTGCAGGAGCTTCAAACGTGCAGCCAACGTACTCGTCACCAACATCTACCGATATCTCTTGTGCATTTTAGACCTTGGACCTCCCTGCATGTACGGGCAAGGCAGTTGAATCCTGCGAAGCCTGGAGAACGGGATATGGCAAAACAGCCGCACGTGTTGCTCGCCCCGATTTTTTCATTCTCTTTTCATTCGAGAAGCCTCAGCCAATCCGAGTCTCGCACTCAATCCCCGAGCTTCGGTTTGTCTGCCACGTCGCGTTCGCTTCGCGCAAGTAAACACCACGTACGAAGGACCCTGTCAAGGTCATGAGAATGTCCAAAAACGGAGACCGATCTTTGACAGATCCGCGACGTGGGGTACGTGGGAGATCCCTTGAGACAGACCGTCACGGCATGGGGGTTCGTTATCACGACTTTTGATAAGATGAGGCTGAAGCTGAGTTTGGGAAACAAGAATCTTGTAAACCGGAGATGTGGCTGTCATTCACGGGTTTCTGGATCATCGCTATCAAGCTTTTTCTTACTCACCTACCTAGACCGGATAGCTGGGACGGGCACCCATGATAACAGCGCTGCACTGTAAATCATCACGCAAACCTTGGCCCTTGTCTATCGTCGCATGATTCACCCTGCACTACCTACTACCTACGTACATGAGAGAATTAAAGGTGCTCGCAAGGACCCCACATGGCCAATCTAATTCTTATCAATCATAAGGGTCGTCAATTCCGAACGGTCCCCTTCTTCCGACCTTCTCAACTCTCGCGCGCCTCTTATCACCCACCCACCGTTTCACAATCCATGACTCAACGGTCGGTACATACAAATTACGGAAGAAAGAGAGAAAGAAAAAAAAAGGTCCCTTCCTAAAAAGGGTTGCGCGAGATTAAAACAAGAAAGAAGAACGAGTTGGGATGAAACTTGGCATTGAAAAAAGTGACTGTATTCGGAGGACTCGATGCATGTCATGCAGCGTCATTTCTTCACATGCGGCCAGGATCCAAACCGGTCAGTGTGATGAGCTAGGGATGCCCTTCTCACCGATCAAATGGTGATTTCTTCAGGTCTTGGTCTTTTTGTCTTTTCTCGTTTGGCCCTGGCTGAAAAGAGCATTTAACAGCCGCCGATGCTTGTGATCCGAACCCGAATCCCGCATTCGGTGGGTGTCATCACGTCAAAATCTCTACAGTGAGCAAGGATGGCGGGGTATCGGGAACGGAGGACGGAGATTGACACCAACATCATGATACGCATCGGGTCAAGACAAGGTAAGGCCATCATGGTTGCTATTACACTCTGAAACCATCTCGGATGCTATCTCGTCATGTTATCACCCTAATCATTATGTTGATAGCCTTTGTCTGGGCGATAGAGGTCAACTCAATCTTCCCACGTGCTCTGGACCCCACGACATGTGATGATTCCAACCTTGGCTCAGGCGTGGGATGATCTTCCGAGAAGAGGCATTACGTTCCGAATAGACGGTATCTAGCTGCCTTGAAGGACTTCGAGGGGGGGACATTTCAGCATGCAGATTGATTTGTGGTTGTGACTGCGACCACTTCAACACCAACACCATCATACGTTGGCTTTGAGGGGCTGCAGGGTCGACGGGAATACCTGGGCCAATTGTGAATGCCCCAGGATCGTACATACATACAAAAGCCGCCGAGATTGAAAGTGAAGTTGCTGCGCCTGAAAGCCCCGAAAGTACCGCCATGAGGCCATCTACCCCACAACAAGGCTCACCGGTATGGAGTATGGAGAGTCCAATTGCGACGCAGTGCCAACATGCAGCATGCAGCGTGGCAGGGCTGCTGGCACACCTGCTCTATTGGAGCCGTGGTGATGCATCCATGTATCGACAGACAGCACCCGCATCCGATGAACCGAGGTGCAGGTAATGCCTTGGTCCCCTCAATTGTGTGTCTGTCTGTACATATGTGACGGTCATTGATTTGCAATTGTTGGAGGGAGGCAAAATATGATCACCTTGGCCAGGAGGGGTCTGAGGCCCGTTTATCCAGGGGATTTCCTTGTTGGTATGAGCCTGGACCGAGATATTAACTTTTAGTAAAGCGTCTCGTCTGAAGTTGTTAGTAGGGGGTGCATAATGGTGATGACTCTTGTTGATGTCAACTGTGGCAAAAGGGCGTAGCGTTCGTGCCTGAGCAGGATCAAAGCGTCTGGAGTCGTCCTCATCGCGAGCGCAAGCCAGCATTGCAAGAGGAAGTTCTGAACACTGGAGAGTAGCCGATCTCTGGTGAATTGCATCATTGATATCGCATCACAATTATAACACGGGGATTTGCCAATTGACAGGTTTCTTTCTTCTTTTAGGTTGGCAGCCACAGTCCATTTTCTCCACGTCTGACGCTGACGCCAGAGGGATCGTAGCCAGGGGCCAGGGAAAAAGCCAAGTGCCGGATAGATGCATTAGCGCTGCACATGACACGTGCATACAGGCTCCGTAAGTGCATACCTTCTCTAGTTTCATACTTTCAAACGGTCGCTCCATCACCTATTTCCTAAACCGTCGACTTGCAGTTCTTGATACACCTCACCCGTTCTACATTTACACACTCTTTTTCTTTAATTATTCAAGGTACATGGGCTCTCTCTGCTCCGCTCCACACCCTGTTGCTTTTCGAGCAAGCTCCGAGATTTCATGCTTCCCAAAGAGTGAAAAGACGTACATGATCACAGACCGGTCAAGCCCGCAAAGACCATGACCATGATACCACAAAATGCGGCATTATGTGCATTCTCTGCACTGCACGGGCAAGTGTCACACCCTCTCGGATATTCTGTCATCAATCTCCCGGTCGCAACGGAGAATTAAAATGACGGGTGTTATTGACGTTGGGCCAAAAAGAGTTATGCAAAACGTGATCGTGCTATCGTGCGAGTCTTACCAACATGCAAGCACTTGAGACCTTTTTTTTTCTCCACGATGGGATGGAGATTCGGCACACCCTGGCCCCTTATTGTCATGTCATGATGCTTGCACCCGCACAAGCTAGTGAGCATGTGACTTGACCATATGGTGTCCCTCTAACATTGACGTAGAGTTACGTCTATTGGTGCAATGAGTGCATTGAGCGTTTCTGCGACAAGGCTGGCATTCAGAGATCAGATGTCTAGAGGATGTCTTGGATCGGAATATCGATCTTGACAAACAGTCTTGTCTTGACGAATCACTTACTCTGTTTTTAGACATCGGAAATGCTCGAGTGCAAACTTCTTTACGGAGTACGGAGGTACGGCAAACATAGATTACGGAGTCTTGATGCGCCGAGACACGGATACTTGATACCACGTTGATTGCGATCTCGTGCCATGTGCACGCTGAATATTGGCGACTTCTCTTTCGTTACCGATATGTTGGATTGCCTTGCGATTGGTGTATCGCAAACTCGGTGAGTTTTCTTTGCTAGAAAACTGGTCATCGCGAGACAAGTGTTCACCGAGTTTGCTTCTCTTGCAGCTCTGCTATTGGTGTGTTGGTCGACACAACTGTTGGTTCTACATCCAATCCCAGCTCCAGCTCACCTCAACCTCAGCCCCGTTCTCAATGTCAGCGTAACATGTGGATCTTGAATAATGAACTGGAGATATAGACATGCTTTACATTGTCTCGAGGTCAGGTGATGAGCAAACAAGTAGTTGCTTTTTTCTTTATTCATGTGTTTCTAGGTTGGACCTGGTTGTTAGACGAGGCTTACACCGTTGGAGCTATCACATCTCAAAAAAAAAAGCCACCGTTCAGGTCTTCAGGCACGACCCCCGTCACGCTAAAGGAAAGGCTGCATAGGGCGCACATCACGTTGCGTTCAACCGCTATGACTTGAGGAGGAGAATAAGATCTTGTGGAGAGCTAAGCTCGATTGACGCGATATGATCTCAGCTAAGGCGGCTGAGAGATGCTTCCGTCATTCTCTTATTGGTTAATGACCCTGTTGAATCTATCATAATGGAGGAGATATTCCCGGTACCCGGATCTGATGTTGCAATGTGAGCGGCTGTCACAAGTGATACCGCGCGTGAGATGCGCCTTGTGGCGGGGATTGGAGGTACTTGATCGCGTCGCGAGGTGAAAGCGAGGGATTGGCCTTGAGCTTACGATGAACATCGCTAATTGCGAGTAATCCTTGGTATATTTGGCAAATCACAATTTATACAAGATGTCAAGGAATTCTTCGATGCTGCTTTGGCGAAGTCATCTGAAACCAGATATGTCATTACTCACTTCTGTCTTGTTGCCCCCTCAGCCGGTGGCTTACCGTTTCCGTGACGGGATGCCTCACTAATCAACTTACATTGCACAGCCAGCCATTAGTTTGTGAGGCTTCCAGGGTGTTGTCCAACCAAACAGCTCATCGGTCATACCGCTTTGATACTTCGCCTCGCCTTCTACTGTTGCTTCTTCTCGGTCTCAGCCTCAAGTCGTCCGTCTACCAGACTTCCATCAGGCAAGACTTTCTCCCTGGTTCGAACGTAGGCCAGCAGAAATGGGTACGCCAGATCACAAATGACTGAGGTGCCAGTGATGAAGGCACCAAGAGGATGGAAAACGAAGCCGTGCGCCTCGGGCCAGTACCACCACATCAGACCGCAAGAGACGGGCAGACCCATGACGGTGCCAACGAAGCGACAGAACCTAGAAGTGACATGTCAGCATGGCTGAGTTTTGAATGCAGTGTTTGTTCTGAGATTGCTTTTTCGGGTTGTCCTCACGAGACAACAAGTGGATGTCAATCCTACCGGTAACCAGTTTGTCGGTATTGCTTGCGCGGTCTCATCTAGCAGACCGCCCTCACCTGAGACACGGTTCACAGTAATCTTACGTGTTCTCTGGATCCGAGAGCATGAATATGATAGATGAGATGACGAGACAACATGCATCGAGACACGCCCTCTGCAAGAACCAACAATTGCATATAGGAAATGAAGACTCACCAAATTGCATAGCTCTGTCCACCAGAGTGACCTCTCTGAAGAAGCATAGCCAGCGCCGAAACGCTGAAGATCATCTGCGCCACACCAGCCGACCAATATGCCAACTCAGTAGTATCTCTCGCCTCAAGCCCCTTCCAATTCTTGCCCCATTTGATACCATAGCCTCTATGCGGCTCCTTGAGCCACCACCACACAAACAACCCATTACCCACGACACCCGCCACAAAAACCAGGAACAGCAACAACGCGACATTGTTCGCTATGAGTGGACTTGAGGCAAACGACCTAGGCGCTGTTTTAAGCGTAGCGTAGAGAACAACGATGTCAAGAAGCAGCCAGAGCATGAAACCGTATGTCTCAATGGGTGCTTCGCATACACCAAAGGCGTAGACTACTTCCCATCCTAGATTGAGACCCAGTGCGACGAGTGGTGCGGGCGTCGCGTGGGTTGCTAGCGAGCGGCGGATCATGAGGATGTAGGCGACTAGCCAGAATGTTATGCCGAGGGAGAGGCAGGCTGTTGATGCAGGGACGAGCCATGGTGGTGCTGAGGGGGGTGGGATGTCTGATGAGCCCATTTTGTGGTGTTTTCTTGAGCGCGGGAGTGTTTGAAAGGTTGTGAAGAGATTGAGGGTGGTTGGGTGGTAGTTGGGGCGATCAAGGTATTGACTTTCCGGTTGTGCCGGATGATACTCTGTTGAATGTTGAGATGTGAGTTGTTGACATGGGCGGACGAGGCTGCGGTGAGAGGTGGATTACCCTATATGTCAGCCTGGGGTTGAGATGACACAACATCTCGCGGCGGTTTCCAGTCATGCACTCTGAGCCTGGATATTGTGGTTCATCTGATCATTCCCGATTCTAATATGCATTTTGGTGTCCTCAAGAGTTGAGCTGTGGACGATTCACTGCGATAAATGTGTCCTTCTTTTGGCTCAAAGTTATGCAGTCACCTCTCCTCCTCAGTACGACCGACGTGACTAGCAAAAGCAGAAAGGCCAGAGACCAAATACTTATGAGATAAATATTATAGTGCACTCTGAGGCTTCTCCATTTGCCACGCAGACCATTTGTAGACACACGTCAGGTTGGCTCTGAGGTCCCATGCAGGTGAGAGATATACGAAATCCTATCTCATGACTGATCCAGGTTGACCTTTACCACATGTATTACCGGTATAGTAATCTTGGAGAAGGTACAGAAAAGGGCGGAGTTTATTTAACTGAAAACCCCGGAGATGCTTCTTGAGCCCGATACTGGGCAAACTCCCTCGACCAGTGCTCCTGCAAACCTACAAGACAGGCATATACTCTCGACTTGTTCTTGACGTATAGGTACGAACTGCTATGCGCCACTGAATTTTTAGTCTCAACCTCATTTTTGGAATGATGGGGTTGCGGATTGGACCTGTATTGAGGATAAAGTTGCTCTAAAAGGGGAGATATTTTGCTGTGTGATCAGACGTAGAGGCTCGAGGGACTCAACAGTAGAGCCGAACCTGAGCATGTGAGTTCATTTCAGGCTAAGCTACTCGGTCTCCTCGCATACAGGTACATAGCATATGAGCTTCTGAGAAAACTATCGCCAAATATCGACCGTAATCTGGTGCCTGAGATGAGACAGTTAATGGTGGGCTTGGCTTACCGGACACAACTGGTTGTAAAGTCGCAGCAGTTCTGCGAATAAAAATTGCAAGAAGAAGTAATATGAAAGTGCTTACTGGTTCAGTTTATATTTCGTAAAGATATTTAATGTACACCACAGAGACAGTTTGTAGTCTGGCTGAGCAAGGGAACTCCCCGTCTGCCTATGAGAACCGATACTTGTACAAATACTACATCACGGCAGTTGCAAGAAGAAATTGTGTGCGAGTAGATCAGATTAGTAGCTATATACAGGAATTCAGCCTAGAAGACAGTAAAGAAAGGGATATCAACTTCAGTTTCCTCTCGCGAAGGTCAGCCTTGTGCATCACCTATCACTCTAGTAACTGAGAAGCACTCCGGACACGAGAAACTACCAGAGCGGAGAGTATTGACTCCAAAGAGAATTTAATACCAATGAGTTAGGTTCAGATGACTCTTGTTATGAACGAAAAACACACGATGGGCTCTTCGATTGCCTTGACCTGCTTGTACTTGCGAAGGGCACGAGATGGACACTTGCGCTTGACATGAGGCCAATCAAAGAAATGGCGATAGCTGGTTATAAAGAAGCATCCTTTTCCTATAGCTTGGAACCATAAAGGACAATAAAGTGAGTAAAGAGTCGGATCAAAGAGACAGTCAAGTCTTTTGTGGGCTGGCAGACAGTCTCTGAGCCTGACTTTACCATAACTCAATATGAGACTTCATAGATGGTACAATGGCCGAGGAACCATTGCTAAATATATTCCTATGCAATTTGGTGCGTCCACTGTATATTTAGATGGCATATGGTGAGCGATGGGGATGGCAGTGTCCAGTGCGTTTCAGTGATGCTAAGCTTGGCGAGAAAGACTCTTAGCAACTTTCAGGGATTCGTCGAGTTAATTCCGTCTCTTCGCCTAAGGGGATATCGAAACCGTTCAGAATCTTCTGTAGAATCTCATAGAATAGTCTAGAAGCCGATGGTTTGGCACCGGATGGGACTAAGCCTCTGTGATCATCGGCCCAGGCGTTGTGTAGGGAAGCTTTCGAGCATCACCTCCAGGTCCAGCTCACCATAGAGACCTGTATCATCTGTGTGAGATAAAAAGAAGAGGAGACTAACAAAACCAGGTAATTGATGACAGAAAGTAGGCTAGATAGCTTCTGAGACTGGCAGAGGTTGAGTCCATCAACCTGATGCACGAAGCTAAATGAAGTCTCGAGAACTTGAGAGAAACTCGGGACCTTCTCCTGGCTCAACATTCTTGACGTATGAACTAATTACTGATGCCCAAATATGATGAGATGATCTTTCAACCCGATCAAGAGGCTCCTTTGATTCGATGACAAAGTCAAAGCTAGAAACATTCCACCGTCCGAGTCAAAGAGTGTCCACATTCTGGTCCAAGATGTGATTTAAGGCTTCACTTAACAAGGATACTTCAGGTCGGAGATATCATTTAGAGTCCGAAAATCATTCTCAGAACTTCGCATGAGGAACGAATAAAGCCTCAATGTTTCATCCCACGTTTTAACTGTCCACAATCGTGAATATCTCCACCATGTTGACGATATTGATGCCAAAGCTCGACTTTCCTTTCAGATAACGTAAAGAGTTGAAGGAGTCATATGATCAAGTCATGAGATTGATACACGTTATCTCAGGGGGCATCAAGATCTCCATCAACGCAATGGGAAACATGTCCCTGCTTCCACTTCGGAACGACCTTCTTCATCACTTCCCCGGCGCGGAATGAATCAAAACCCTTGACGTCCCGAGCCTCGATACCAAGTAACCGATAAGACCCCATACGTAATTAAAGCATCGTGGCAAAGCATAACTTGTGCAAGAGGATATCGCCGGCTTTGAAGCCGGTCCTGAATGGAGAACATTCGGGCCATATACACATCGGTGAGGATATCAGCACGGACAAAAACACCCACCAGCCAAGCTTATTGGACATGAAGCCCTCAGCACTCCTTTAGAAGCGGAGAAAGCGATGGCGAGAAACACCGACTCTTTCCGCTGAAGCTATGGAGACGTGAATTATGCTCAGACCCTCATGAGGCCCAACGCTGTGATGCGATGTGATAGGCATCCAGATTATCGCTGTTTATTACTTACAAGAGTTATTATCATGATGCTGATACGGGCTTTGATGGTCTTTTGTAAGCATGAGGATTCAGGATCTGCGGTGAGTTTGGGGAGGCCGGATGTTTTACCGGCCAAGACTTTGGGAGATTGACGGATGCTTGGGGAGATGATACTTGCCATGTTGAGAAGCCAAGCTTCGGTACGAGGCGGCTTGATGCATAACGATTCAGAGTGTCGATGAAGAGATGGTATCACTGTTTTTACTCTGTAGTTCATGATAGGCTGAGAAGGTGTCTGTCACGTTTGCTTTTGAACCGACGATAGTCGAACCGTTATTCATCGATTCCTTCCAGAAACACTGACGATCTTGGTGTATTCCTCTGTGCCCAAGTGACGAACTCGCATCGAATGATGCATTAGCACAGTTCACCCCTGTAAGCCGCAGAATTACCAGATCTACAGGGTCAAATAAGAACCGGCAGCGACACGGAAGACGCCCATCTAGCTGCCGGCGGCAGAGCCTGTAGTGTGCCATTTAGGAAATAGCATGATTCAGGACATCGGCATTACCTCCACGCACAGGTCACGTCTGTCGATAATATTTCGGTTTGGATAGAACATTCTTCAAACACACTACGTTCCAATAGCCAAGAGACAAAAGCTGGAGTGCCCCGGATATCCCGAGGTGAAATTGCTGGGGGAACATGGAGATGTCCCATGGGGACAATGGACAGGTCTTGTTTATTGTACGTAAAAGCCGAGTGACTCGTAATATACCATCTCACTCTTGATTGCCAAGGCCAAAAGACTTCAAGTAATAGGTTCACGACAGTAGAAAGTTCAAGCCGTGTTCTCTTGGCGACGGATTCAGACCGAACATCGTATCACGGAACACCCCACGCCCATATCTTCTAGAATTCGACTAGAAGTCTTTTTGCTTTTCTTGCAGTGCGTGCAGGATGAACCGAACCCCTGAGGCAAAAAAGAGGTGCGTGTCAGGGATTAGGGATGACGACATGAAGGACAGGGATGCTTGGGGTTATTTTCCGCGCCGAGGATACTGTAAGCCGCAGTGACTGACTCTTGCATGACATTGTAATAAGCTTATTCCTCAGTAATACGTATTTTCGTTGACTCGGGGTTACCTTGCTGAGCATACTATGTATATGTTCAATGAACAGATGACTGTTTCTCCAGAAGAGAAAAGACAGCTATAGGGCTTCTTCAGTGGGCATCACCCCTGTAAATCTGAATGCATCTCCAAAAATCTCTCCAAATTTTCCCCCAAAACAAGACATCCATCCCTTGTTCCGCACCTCCAAGCCCCAATTCTTGGCGTGGCAAAAACTCAACAGCAGCATTTTTCATATCATAACAGAAACACAAGCACCCAAATCCATGCCCTTCAACTTCGTCCGCGGTGAATGGCATGATCATTAAAACATCAGACATATTAAAAAAGTACCATATTGCTATGGAAAAAAGAGACCAGAAAGGCAATCTCCACCTCGGGTCCATGCTGCGGATTTAACCCTCTCTCGGTAACGCGCCCGTCAGCCTCAAGTTCAGAGCGAGAAGAAAAAAAAGTTTTGGAACTAGGTAACTTGTAGCATAATTGCCTTTTTCGGATGAGTGTAGCCAAGCTTATTGGAACCACAATTCAGAAGCGAACAAGACATCAACAAGTACTGTACCCAGAGACTCACCTGGTAACTCATCGGTTTGATCAGTATTCTGTAGGCATCATGAAGTATCTATCACCTTGGATACCATGATGAAGATCATTCATGATAGACCCTACAACTACCGAGTGATGACAACAGCTCTATCCATTGTAGACTCCAACACTTGCAGATCAGTCATTACTAACGGCCCGGATTTATAGCCCCAAAACAACGGGCAAACCGGTCCAGTCTTGTTGCTGCTAATCGGCCTGGATTGGATTGGATTGTCATGTACGTAACATGACGGCCTTCTAGCGCGTTTCCACCACTCTGATCCCTTTCCCATGTCCCCAGCTTTTACTCCATCAATTGCACCATGCAAATACCTAACAGAAATACCCAATTCGAATCAGCGATACCCCATGTAATCCCTCACTGAACGTGGAGTGTTGCCCCCCAGGGTCCTGCATCTACTCTACGGTGCAGTATCAAGTTTGTATCTCCTCACGAGAGAGAATCCACATATGGGGAGATTCGAGGGACGAGATGATCATCACAGCTGACTTGTTACCTCATAGTCTAAGTTAGGTACGAAAGGAAGAACAAGGCACAGTTTTGCCCCCAACGGACTGATGCACTACTCCGTAGATAGGTACGGCGAAAGAAAGAGGGTCTCCCCAGAAATCCAAGGCTGTCCTTTCGCCGACTACAAGTCCTATCTTGGTGGAACCCCTCCAAATACCAAGCAAAGCACGGCCAGAATCCATTCTCTACGCGGAGCTTAATGAGGGAATTCCGAGCTCTTATCCGACCTACTTGTACGCTTAGGTTCTTGGACTCCTTGCTAACTCAGTATCTTATATATTCCTCTTCCATCTCTGTATCCAACTTGCACTTCATCCTCCCCTTCCTCCTCATCCATCCCGTATACCCATCATATATCATAACTCATGTGTACTCCCTAAGCAAGCAAAGTTACTTAATATACCTATATACATACACACTTACATACAAACAACCGCCATCATGTCTGCATATCCTCAAGACGTCCACAACGACATCTACCCTTCAGACCAAGGCCACGACTCCAGCAAAACCAACAGCAAAGAAAAAGTACCCCTCGACAATGAAAAGGGCCACGACATAGATCTTCACTCTGCCCACAACGTCCCCGTCGTAGACAATGGCTTCGGCGGCGGCGAGGGCTCCAAGAACTTCCGCAACATGACAAAATGGGACACCACCTTTGCTCTGCTGACCAACCAAGTCGGTCTCGGTGTGTTGTCGTTACCCAGCGTTCTCAAGACGATGGGCATCATTCCTGGTCTTATTGCTATTATTGGCATTGGTCTTTTGTCGTGGTATACTGCTTTTGTGCTGAAGCAGTTCTTTGGAAGACATCCTCATGTGTTGAACGTCGTTGACATGACCCGTGTTGTTGGCGGTCGTCCCCTTGCTATCGCTTCTGGCATCGGTCTGTTGGTCCAGGTGATCATGACAGCTGCTTCGGCGAGTGTCACGCTCTCTATCGCCTTCAACACGATCTCCAGCCACTCCATCTGCACGGTGGGCTTCATCGGCGTCGGCTGTCTCTGCTGCTGGGTCCTCTGCGCGCCCCGAACCTCCAAGTTCGTCTCGCAGTCCGGCATCCCCTGCATGGTCTCTGTCATCGCCGCCGCGGTGCTAGTCATGATCTCCCTCGGAATCAAGAACCCCAGCGCTGCGCCCGTCGGCTGGAAGAAGGACATCAAGATCGTAGCGAACCCCGACTTCCGCTCTGGTCTCAACGCGTGCCTCAAGATCTGCTACGCTTACTCTGGTAACATCAACTTCGTCACTTACATGGCTGAGATGATCGACCCCGTCAAGGACTTTGGCTTTGCCCTTGCCTGGTTGGAGGTTGTGTCCATCACCTTCTACGTTGTCGTGGCTATTGCCATCTACTGCCTTGCTGGTGAGTACACTGTCTCGCCCGCCCTCGGCTCGGCTTCAGAGAACATTGCCAAGATCGCCTATGGCATTGTCCTCCCCGCTGTTCTGTCCACCGGACTCGCCTTTGGCCACACCGGAATCAAGTACGTGTACGTCCAGGTGATGAAGCACTTCAAGCTCCAAAGCGAGATGACTGCCAACAATGTTCGCTCGTGGTCCATCTGGATGACCATCGTGACCGTCTTCTGGGCTCTCTGCTTCATCCTCTCCAACGCCATCCCCGTGTTCGACTCTATCTTGTCTATTGCCTCGGCGACTACCATCTCGTGGTTCACATTCGGCTTCAGCGCCGTATTCTGGTTCCACATGAACTGGCACCAGATGTTTGCCAGCCCCACCAAGATCCTGTTGACCTGTGTCAACGCATTCCTCATCGCAATTTCGATTTTCATGAACGCGGCTGGTCTGTGGTCATCTATCACGGAGCTGCTGGACCTGTTTGCCAACGACTCCAGTTCCATCCAGGGTGTCTTCGACTGCGGAAGCAATGCCCTCTTCTGAGCAGGTCTCGGACTCGTGTATGAAGTAAAGTATCCAGTTATTTTTTCGTTTAGACAGCGGGAATCATTCTTTCACTCTCTGTAAGAGCATTACGTTGGTATCTCCTGAATTCTGTCATCCCTGTATATGTGTGTCATGTTATTTTCAGTCAGCGTTTGTTAGAAACTGTTATATAAGAGAAATCAAACAGTGGTTCCACGTAATGGGTGGTGATCCAATTGTGTTGTTGTGAAGTCACCGGAGACTCCGTAGTAGTAGTCTTGGCAGTAAATCCAAGACACGAGCCTGGGATATATATCCACAGCCGGCCGACTCGAAGCTCACAACCGGGCCGGTTGATGGCAGTGATATGTCCCGAGCCAAACCGGTCGGTAGTGGATCGTCGTTCACACAAGGTTTGCTTGCCTGAATCTTTGATGGATCGGTAGTGGATCTCATCTAAAGGAAATCACGTTGAATGTGGTTCCATTGCCAGGATCTTCGGATGCTAAAGTGGATTTGCCGCCAAGCCACCCGCTGACTGACTGGCTTTGGGGCAAGTGGGACCTTGCATAGCGTAAAACTTTGCTAGAACCGCCTGCATGCGGCTCTTTTCAGCGCATGAGCCTCCCGGAGCTCGCACCTGTGAGGCTGAAGTGAACATGATCTGACTCGTGATGCGCTGGGACCATGCCACTCGCAATAAGCTCCACGACTCATCATAACCTGCCCTATCGTGTGCAAGATGGAGGGAAGAGGAGCTGTGTCATCTCCTTGTGTCTTTCTTGAGCCGACGAATTCCGGTGTTCGTGTTGATCATCAGTTTCACCATGCCTCAGCCATCAAGTGGCTAAACGCAGCGGCAAAAGTCGTCCATATCTTATCGTGACTCTCAAAGCCATGGTCAAGGCTCAAGCTGTCGATCAGCAATCGATAAGAACTTGGCGATAGAAAATGTTAGTGTTGAGGCTCTGCGGAAACCAACTGCCGATAGATGGTCAACGCACTGTAGAATAAAACAGTTGCTAATGTTCAGGCAACAGATGAGAGAACATCATGAAAAACACCACAACACAGCCTGTCTAACAATCTCCAACTCAACTTCACAATCTCTCGGTGGCTCACGGCCTCGTTATATAATTCTCCCCCTTGGACCTCTTGGAACCGGCACAGGACCACGTCGGCGTATTTGTCGTCTTGTGCCGGTCCAGACAGGGTATTATCCGCCACGATGTCCTGCGACATTGCAAGTCGTGCTCTTATTCCTGTCACTATCCAACTCTCAAGTCCCACTGTTCCTCCACTCTTTGCCGGTCCCTCTCTTATGCCGTGGAAGTGCGCATCAGCATCTTATGAGGCTCTGCCCAAACCTCCTCGCTTGCCTATTTCCATTAGCCCATCGATTCCAGTTGTTCACGCCATGTAGGCTCCGCCATCATTTCACAATTTCGTCTTTCTCGTTCGTCTTGTTCTTGATCGCGTTTCATTGCAGGTGGAATGCCTCTTTCTATTCCGGTTTTCTTGTCAAACACATTGGCTTGGCTTGTTTGTAAAAATGTACAGTTCCGGCCCGGCCCTATACCCGGGAATATTTGTCTGGTCCTCTAGTTGCTTCGTGCACCTCCCTTCGACTCCCTCAACTCGTCCATCTTGGCGACTCGCTTCTTGAACTCGACGTACTGGCACTTCTCGTAGCTATGTCGCTCATCCTAGTCAATCCCTCTAGCGTAAGCATGGTGTTTTATTGATATTGGCATTGATATCTCGGTAATGATCGGCTTTTTGTTGGGCTGAAGCTTGGCTGGGCTGAGCTCGGTGTAGCCGCGGACTTGGGCTTCCTTGGGCTCAAGCTCTGGAAAAAGGCAATTGACTTACCGAGCACTTCCAAGGGGCGTACCAAGTATCCCTTCGGCACTTGTTGAGAGGAATCAAGAGGTGAGCGCAGCTGTCTCGGTAGGCCAGAGGGAGTTTGGCATCGCGCATCTCCTCGCGGGTCGCTTCTGCTCAGCAAGTCAGCGGTCGATATTCGGTAGGGAAAAGTCGCTCGAGTGTCAATTATCGGGTCGGTACGTACGCCGCGGCTCGGTGATAGCGTCGGAAGCCATGGTTGCTGATCAATTGGACTTCGAGATGTGAGGTTGTCTTGGATTGGCAGAGCTGTCGTGAGATGCTCTTTCGGTTCAAGGTCGGAAGCGTCGGTTTGTGCCTTGTATTTCCGGCAGAAATGAATTTCTGTCCAATGAACACTCGTGAATTACCACGCCGACTTCAAATCACCATTTCACCTCCTACAGCATTAATTCAATGAAGATGCTGCTTGAACTTTCCAGTCAATTCTGTTCCAAACATAGTCCTGCCTTTCAACTCGTAGCCTTCGTTGCGAGCCTGAGATGATCACAACTTCAAGCTCATCCGTGCCGGAGATAGTGGGGCCGGGTCACCACCGGCTCCGGACCTGCACCTCGGTGAAGAGACGAACAGTTAATCAGCAAGACAATTGCACAATGCCCTTCATCATCTTTTTCTAATCTCTTGTTTTATTCCTCTTAGACTTAATCCAGTCACGATATTCTACGGAACACCTGTGGTCAACTAGCATGTTGGCATCTGGCACTTCATCGCCGACAGTTGTTCGACCGACGCTTTGACTTACAGTTCTCAAGGCACGACAAGGATCTCAGGCCCATCAAAATGTCCAGGCTTCTGAAATCTTTCATTGAAACTCAAGTACTCTTCGGTAGACCTATCAGAAGCACCGTCAGTTCACCTGGGATGAAGCCCATTCAACATTCCTCGAAAACTGCTTAAGCGTGCTGAAGGAAAGCAAACCTAGTACCTCGAGGTCTTGATCACGTAAGAACAACACGATATCAGCGCATGCCCAGCTTTGACGAAGCCCAAAGACATCACAAGGCCATATCCCAGCCCTCCACTCTTGAGTTGATAAAGTCGTGATGCTATAACCTATGCCGACAAAGGCCGATTCTTGATCTGTCACTCATCAATCACGCCAGTTATATTATTGAGAACAAATCTTATTATACATATTCCCACGCGAAGGCTATTGGCTTTATGCAAAGCACCGCGAGACACTATAGCCGATGTTTTATAGACTACTAATAATGCTGTCATAATCACGAGACAGCCCTTCAAGTCCAATGATGCCACTCCAAGCCCTCACGATACTCATATCCGACTTGAGGTCCTTCAGCATCGATCAAGTATCCGTACTCGCAACGATCAAACCTAACCTTTACCTGCTCCTTATAAAAGGCGTTAAACTTTGCCTGAAGAGCATCCTTTAAGCTCGTCACACCACCTTCTGGGTGCAGGATCTTCCATGGTTCAATGCACGTGTTGCCTTTACAAGACTTCAACACGAGCATGAGAGCATCCAGGCGATTGAGGACCTGTCGGGCAGTCGTTCCTAACAGTGCTGAATCGGCAGTTGTGTCATCGTGAGGGAACAGGCTCTTCAACTGTCCTGGGTCGGTCTAATGGGGGTTAGCATCAAGCCAGTCAACAGCACTGAGATAAACATACCTTGAGGTCGTAGAGTTCGTGCTCGTTGTTACACCAAGCCGAGTAGTAAAGATTGTAGTCCTCATGCACTATTCTCACGCCCTTATATGTATTATTCTGCGCGAAAATCTGTCCCTTGCCATCTGTAGCACGCCGTCAGCAAATTGAATTAGCATCCAAGGTAGACCGAGCATACCAAAACCGCCAATCTCGCCTTCAGCGATAGCACCGCCCCAGTACTCAACCGCTACGTGCTCGTGTCGTTTGTTCTCCTGAGTGGGCAACACAGGGATAGGAGTTCCGTCAAAGTCGCTGCGAAGGTCCGCACCTGCGAGTCTGAGAATCGTAGGAGCAAGGTCGATGTGTGTAGTCACGGCATTCTCAATGGATCCTGAGGATACACCTGGGCCCCTGATGAAGAGAGGCACGTGGATGTCTTCTTCAAAGCCACACTCCTTGCCAGGAGGCAGTCTGTGTTGACCCAGGTGATATCCATTGTCAGAGCTGTAGATGATGTATGTCTCGTCAAGTATGCCAGCATCTTCAAGCTGCTTGGTTACTTGCTCAACAATCTCATCGACACCCTGAAGAGCCTGGAGACGAGCGCGGTAGAAGTCATCGAGGTATGAGACCGATGAGTCATTGAGCTGGGCGAGTTTGTGAATCCAGCTCACACCACTAGGCTGTTACACCATCAGCATTCGCTCGACTCCGAGTATTAGTAATACGTACCGAGTCTGGGTTAAAGTTCTCCGTCCTCGGGACTTTGACCCCTTCGAAGAGATGAGAGTGTCTCTCAAGAGGAATGGGAATAGTCATAAGAGGTGCGCTCGGGTTTCCAGGTTGCCGTCTGAGATTAACATTGGAGTGTGGCGCAACAGGCGCAATTGCAACAAAGAACGGATTCTCGGCGTCAATGGCTTCCTTGAGAAGCTCATGTACATACTTGGAAATCAAGTCTGAAGTGTGCACTCCTTTGTGTTGAACTGGTGGCTCCTGGTTATGCTGGTAGATAGGGTTCAGGTAGTCATACGTGCCCGGGTCAAGTAGGAAGTTGGTTCCTGTCCATCCTGCAGGATAAGGCGAGTTGTAATTGTTTATAGTATGAGCATTGAAGAGCTTGCCGGTGTAGTATGTGTTGTACCCAGCTTCTTTCAACCATACAGGCAAGTAGTTCTCGTTCAATCCCTGTGAGACGAACTTGGGGAAGCCGCCTTTTCGATCAACATTTTATCCGAATATCAATAACCCCTTCAACTTACCATACGGTGGATTGACGTCAGTGACATTAGTGTTATGAGGCTGTTTCCCTGTCCAAAGTGCAACACGGGAAGGACAGCAGATGGCTGTGGTAGTGAAGTGGTTGACGAACGACGTACCCTTGTCAATGATATGCTCTTTGAGTTTGGGCATATAAGAGACAGAGTTTAGGACAGCGTCTTGATCGTCTGTGAGGATGAACACAATGTTCTTCTTCCCACCATTGTTGGTCTTTGGCTTGCTCTGTGCAGCGTCATTGTTGGGTGACAGTACAGCCTGGTCTTCTTGTTCGTAGTTGAATGACGCATTGGTACTTTGAGCCAGTAGACAGCTTGCTAACAGCACTGGCTGTATCCAAGCTGGAGGTCGCATATTGATGAGTCGTCGAAGGCGTCAATGAATGTAACTGCACTGCTGCCGGACGATTGGAAGGATGGTGATACAAGGCTTTCTGGCTCAGTCTTTTGGTGTTCTTCTCGAGATGACAGTTTCTATTAATGAATCCCTTAAATATCCATTTCTACAGGAAATATCTATCGGAAATACCGCTATCGAAGGCAATGGCTTTATCCGCGGGATGGTGTTGTCCAGCGACTTGATGGCGTCAACGTTAGTGTTTATATGAGATTTCCCACCAAACCACTAACAACCCCACCAATCTGGATCCGAGTGGAGGAGAGATCCGAGGAAGCTAAAAGGCTAAGCCAACTTCAACCTCGCTGGTTTCGGCGAGCCTCGAGGCATCGACGACAAAGCACGAGCTCACAATTTGGGCAAGAAAAGATGTATTGCCGCATCTCACTCCCACAATCGTTGCACTCATCTTCACCCTCCACACGGTCAAAGGGCCTGTAGTTTCGGTGGCGGCAACCAACGGGCTGAACGGGTCGCGCTACTGGTGCTGGTACTGGTGCTCTTGCTCGTGCAGCAGCAAGTTCTCCTGCTCGCGCCATGAGGCGACGCTCATCCCACTGAGGACAGTTACAGGTCTTCCACTGTCTCCCGCATAGGTAACAGAACTGGTGGCCGCATCGACAAGCTACATTGGATAAATAGTCAGACAAAGTACGGAACGAAAGATGAATGATGATCGATAAACTTACAGATGTGAAAACAGCCATGGGTCAGCTCGACCATGTTCTTGCACTGTTCACAGCGCCTCCATCCATGTTCCTCTGCCAGGCGAATAACTCGTTGTGACTCAGGGTCGTCGGTACATGTACCCTCGTGTGCCTCGCTCAGACAATTGAGGCATGTCCTCGTCTCGCAGCGAGTGCAGCGGGCAATACCAGCTTCGATGGTACGCAGAGGTATAAATTCAGAGCATGCCTTGTCGCTGCAGTACGTGCGGTTGGTTGTTTCGTATTCCTCACGTTTATTGTCACACTCAGTCAACAACTCCTCTGGGATGAATGTGTTTGTCGTGTCCACAGGAATAGCCTGTCCACAGCATTTAGGTGGAAAGAGGGACTCGTCTTTGATCGCCGTTCGAATGCTTCTAATTAGGCATGGCTGGCACATTGCGTGGAAGCAGGGAGCTTCGAAAATCATGTCGATGGGGAACTCGTCGCTGCAGTAGAGACACTCCTTTGTCTCGACATATAGCTCGGAGGGGGCGGGGGATGCGACCTGAGTGGTTTCTGGTTGATCGTCGGCATCTCCCTCTTCTTGGGTCTCCTCTGGTTGGATCTCTTCTCCCTGGATCTCACCTTCGTCTCTTTGGGAGACATCATCTCGAGGAGCTGTGTCGTAGCTCTGGTTATCAGCGTCACTCTGTGCGTCGTCACCAGTAGCGCTCTCAACACCTGTCCCATCTCCTCCAGCAGCACTCGAGGCTTCGTGAGTTTCTTCATGGCTAAGTTCCGCCTCAACTCCAGTGCTCTCTCCTTGCTGCGCAGCGACGTTGAAAGCCTGCAGTGTACGATAAGTTTCGTCATCAAGTCCACTATGGTCAGCGCCGTCACCTGTTTCGGGGATAGCATCTGGGTTCTGTTCCAGCTGCCTAGCCAATTCGAAGTCTCGTCTAGCCTGTTCTTCTTCACGGATGAGGGTGGCAATCAGCTCTGCATCGGCCTCAACGGCCTGCGCCATGCTGAGGGCGATCGCATGGTCGTTGGGTTCATCCATCGTTGAGGTTGGCAATGAGGATGAGGACAAAAAAGAAAAGATAAGGGCCCGCCTGAAGAAAGAAGATGCGAGGTGAGGAGAAGAGCAAACAACTTTAGGTGCAGACTTTGGCAAGTGGCAGTGAACAACCCGGGCTACCAGGCGACTGGCTCGCAGTGCCAAAATTCGGAGGACAGCTCACATAGCATCAGGAGCTTCACTCGGCATTGGTGCCTGAAGCCTCTGAATGTGAATAGATAGGTAAATATAAGGTCCGTTATACCAAAGCACAAGCAGGTTGGCAAATGTGTAAAACATAGCGGTTTCTTGCATGAATTGAGGGGCTCAGCGTGGACAAACACACATTCAAGTATATATTCCACCCCTCTCACCCTTTCTTCAGATGCTAGATCCCGATAGTTGCTGTTTGCGTTCAGCATTGCCGAGTGTCAACTGAACAATCTATCGCGGATGCACAGAGGCTGAGGACTTGCGAGTTGAGGCAATTGCCAAAATGACCAAACAAGAGCCTATCTTCGTTTACTTGCCAATAAAACATCGCTACGATTTCCCCTACTTGCTATAGCCCTTTTGCTACTGAGGGACTGGACGTCGTGATACTCAACTGGCTGTGAAGTCGAAGATCGTGCCTCAGACATCCCCATCTTCAGTCAACCACCCGGAACATAGCCGCCCAGATCCGGTCTCAAAACAACCTCCTTCTCCTTTTTCGTATCATGTTCGAGCCTTTCTTATCGTATAACATAGATTCCAAGAGTCGATGCTTGCCTGATCGGTATGAAACAAGTTTCAGCATACCCAGATACAAAGCCAAGCTCCTCTTCAGGAACAGATCTCATATCAATCATGAATTTCTATTCGAGATAAGATCTCAATAGCATAGTCCATGAAACAAAACACTATATGAGTCAGTCAAATGCATGCAGGGTCCAAGTCCACGACCACTCAATTAAGCATATCCCAACCTACTACTTCAAACAACACCTCGAATCCCCTCACCCAAACCTTCCCAGAGCATTACCATTGACTCAAATGTCTTCTATCCTCTCTACCTCAATCATATGCCTATTCCCCTCATTCAGTGGCTCATGCTCTCCCCATCCGAGGACCCCTAACCTCCACCAAAAATGATTGGCTCTCATTCACCCACGCTCAAACACCACAACGCAGAGTAGCCTAGCAGATTGAAACAAGTGTTTTCGAGTATTTCTCTATCTGAGCCTCTCATAGTATTCGCGTCGCGTTCGGCACGGTGCATTGATGGCCAGTGGTTGTCGGCGCAACGGCCTTGGGTGAAGTGTTGACTTAAGATATAAACCGGAGGTCAACACCACCAAGATTAACTCGACAGTCTTTTTTTCAGCGTGCTTTCTTCTTTTTATTCTATTACAACTAAATCATTTATATCACTTTTGAGTATTTGGCTTCTCTCGTTTGAGCCTTGTTATACCATACCACCACTATCATCAACACCATCTTTGGTCAACTCACTACATACCCTCTCTACAACACTACTCTCTCGACTTCAATCTTTTATAATCATCATGTCCGACATCATCGCCTGGCTAGTCCCCACAGCGCGTAACTCTCTAGCTGACAAAACAACGCATCTGCCCTCCAACATCCCCCGCGCCGTGCAAACAACCTCATCCCCAACTCTGCTCTCTCGCCTCCCAAACCTCCTGGGCAGCCGTCCCTCTCGGGCCATCAAACTCTCTTTCAACAAAACCCCCAAACGCCCTGGGTCTTTCGTTCTCGGTTCCGATCCTTCAACATGCGATATTGTGCTTCCTTCGCTGCCAGGTATTGACGCACGACACTGCGAGCTGAGCTTTGATGCGGAAGGCCGTCTTGTTCTTAATGATTTTTCTGAAATGGGAACACAAGTTTGGTATGATTGGGAGAGTAACGGTGATCAGACGGATTATACCTGGATTCTGAGCTCGGGTGCTGAGGCTGGGTTTCCCAGTATGGTGCAGCGCATCACGGTTGATATTCAGGGTGTGAGATTTCAGGTTGTTGTGAATGATCACTCTGATGATTGGGATGCATATCACGACAAAGTTGAGGATTTCGTCCGACAGCCTTCGTGGGCGCATGGTCTTTCTCCAGGTTGGGATCGGGGATCAATCTCTCCCGTTGCGCCGCTGTTCTCCAACGTGCCTCTCTTTCAACACATTCTTGTCAAGGCTCTGGGCGAAGAGCCCGTCGGAGAAGTATATCTCTGGAATTTGGCTCGACCATGGGAACCTATGGTCAAGGCTGCTGCATGAGCAGTCTTTATGTATCACGTATTCGGCGTTAAGGATTGGTCGTTTTTGTATATAAGTACTGGGCAGGATCCTTTGTAACGACAAAGGCAGCGATCTTTTAGCATTAGCGCAAACTTTTTGGTAACAGTGTTCATCATTAAATCGAGGTATCACACAACTCCTGGCTCCCTATAGTCCCATGCTTTTCTCTTCTTATAGATCCTCGGGCAGCGCCAACACCTCGCGCTTCTCTGCCTCGTTGTCCTCCGTCTGCTCCTCTCCCTCTACAGCGAAGCGCGTCATGCTGAACTCGGGAATACGTCTTCTCTGAACGCGCTGGCCACCCTTCTTGCCCTTTCGCATCTTGGCTGTCTCTGCTTCTTCAGCCACGACGGCCTTCTCACCGGCCTTGTCTAGCATTGTACCCTCCAAGCTGAGATAGCTGGTCTCACCACTGGTGCCGACGTCGAAGTTACGTATCCGGAAGCGGATCTTGCCCTTAACTTTGTCGCCGTTGCCGTCGGCCCAGAAACCGGTGCTGTGGATTTGACGAACCACGCCGTGATCGTCGGCGGTGATGACTGAAGCGGTCTCCTCGAAGCCTTGGGCCTCGGGGGATTCGTTGGGAACCCACTTCCAGTCGGGAGGAAGTCGACGAGCTTCAATTGAAGCGTTGAACTTGCCAAAGCAAACAACGCCAATGTGTCCCTCAGTCTGCAAGTTAACACTGCCCTCCATCCAAGCGCCGCGACTCGGCACGAAAAGATCAACATCGGCAGTGATCCAGCCAAAGCCAACAGCAGACTCGCCCTTGGCCATGACAGTCGCCGGCGACTCATCATCCGTAGCCGCACCCTTTCGTCCAGGGTTTTCGCCGAAAGCGACATTCTTGTAATCGAGGAGAACACCGCGCAGCGAAGGCACGTACTTGTTTCGGAGATGTGAGAGGTGCTGTTGCTGGCAGTTTGTGACAGGCTGCGCCCAGCCAATGGGGAAGAGAGGCTCGTAGAGTGACACGGTCTGTGTGAAGAAGGGGAATTGAGGGTTCGCGGGGATATCGGGTGGTTGGTAAATGTTGCTGTTCGACTTCGAGGGCTTGGCGGGAGGAGGCATGTCAATCTCCATGGCATCAGGGTCAGCGGGTGAAGCATCCTCCTCGGGCTCAACAGCGGTCTCGTCCTTCTTGGACTTCTTTGGTCGCTCTGCAATTTCTATCGCTTCGGTTTCCTTGTGATTCTTCTTGCTCTTCTTCTTCTTCTCGCTATCCGCTGCAACCGGGGTGTCGACCTCTTCTGTGACTGCAACTTCCGCATCGTGATGCTTCTTCTTCTTATGTTTCTTCTCCGGCTTTTCCTCTACCGCGGGGGCTTTTGTCTCTGCTTGCGCGACGGCATCTTCGGCATGCTTGTCCTTCTTGCTCTTCTTCTTTTTCTTCTCGGCCTTCAAATCGCTGCTTGCTTCAGGTGCTTCTACGGCAGCGACGCTCTTGGACTTTTTATGCTTTCGCTCGGTGTCGGCAGCTGCATCTTCTTCTCGGGCTCGCTTCTTCTCCTTTTTCGCCTTCTTTTCAGCCTTGGCGGCGGCGTGGTCGATTGGCGCCATTGTTGTCGTCGGGCCTGTTTGCGAAGCTATCGCGGTCGAATGGTGTTGAAGAGGCCGAAGAGACTCGAAAAAATTAAAATTCTGGCTTATCTTATCGCGGAAGCTCAGCGAACTCACCGAATTTGGTGGGGCTTCACCGCGTTCACCTTGGCTTCACATCTTGACTACCCTACAGCATCTGTTTTTGTCCTCATCCTGCACTCAAAGCAACTCTCTCCTGTAAAAATTCTTTCTTGGCACGCACTGTTAGTGCGGTGCTAGGAGCG